AGATTATGGAAGCCCCAAACCCAAACCCATCTATAAACCCCAAACCCATATGCATTTCACCCATACCCAATCCATTATCAATGGGTCTACTTGGGTTTGGGTATAATTACCCATGGGTGGGTAATTTGCCATCCCTAACATATGCTAATCATTTTAATTATATTTCTATGTCTAACATTGCACAAAATCTCACATTCGCGATAGATATCAACCGTCTCGTCGTTAGCTTCTTCTTCCAGATCATTAAAAACCTTCACAGCTATATTGGTTCCATCAGCCATTTCTGCTTTGTATACATGACCAAAGCTTCCCTTTCCAAGCAAGTTGCAATCATTAAACCCATTAGTAGCTCTTATAATCTCCTGTAAGGAAATCCTTCTCCGTTTAGATAAAGGTGGCAATTCCTCCATCTCTTTGCTTCTTTCTTGTACTTTCTTTTTTCGACAACAAGTCACCAAAAAGAAAGCAACAATAACAACGAAGATCAAGAAGAGAATGGTAGTGACCACCACAATCGATAACTTGCGTCCAAATTTCTTTCTCTTAGGTTGATGACGTAAATGCACCCCAAATTTGGGTAAACCACATAACCCGGGATTGCCCCATGCAAGATTCGCAAGCTGTGAACTCGAGGTGATAATTGGTGGCAGATTCCCTGATAGTTCATTAACACCGAAATCCATCTTCTTTATGGATGATATGTTGAAGATTGTCCGAGGAATTGAACCGCTTAGGTTGTTTACTCCCAGGAAGAGAAATTGCATACCATTTAGATTACCCAATTCAAGAGGGATTTCACCTAAAGAACATGCGTTAATCAATGAATTACGATGCTATATCTAGAGAGGACTTTGCAAATATTATGTTCTAAAATGTACCTTTTAACTGATTCTCGCTCAAATACAGTTCCTTTAGTGAAGTTAAATTCCCCAAGACTTTTTGGAATTCTTCCTGCATATATACCACCAATTGGAAAATTTCACTATCAAATGACGGCTGCATACATTTGTGCAAAATAGAAAATTTGGCTAATGATCTATTATGTATATATGGAGAGTGGTTCTTTGGGAAAAAAGACAAACCTTGGATGAAGGCCTTCCCTGCTTGTAGTTTCTCTAGGCTATGTAACCTACCAATTTCTTGAGGGATTTCACCTGGAAAATTCAGTATAAAGCTAGAAGGGATATAGGTATAATATGCCCCTCTACTACGACGTTTTATCAAACATGCCCCTGTATTTTGTAAAAATGATCAAACATGCCCTTTTGTTAAAATTTTCATCTAAAAACCGTTAACCAAGGCCGAACTTTAGTTTGGCCGACACAAATGACTAAAATATCCCTAATAAATTCACTTTAGAATTTTTTTGGTTATTTTGTACAATCAAATCATTCAAATAATTTCACTTTGAAAAGACCCAGAGAAATAAAACAGGGGACAAAACTGACATTTTCCCTCCCATTTGTCGATGTCGGGTCGTCTAAATCTCAATTCAACCATTATTGACGATTTTTTTCAATCGAAATTTTAACAGAAGGGCATTTTTTATAATTTTTCCAAAGTACAGGGGTATATTTGATGTAAAAAATAGTAGAGGGGCATGTTTGATAAAACGTCATAGTAGAGGGGCATATTATACCTATAACCCAAGATAGAATTATAACTTCCTTATATACCGTCAAGATGATCTAAACCTCTTTGTGTGAATAATTGTTTGTAATGAACTTATTCCTTGATAATAATAACCTAGATAAGCAAACCACTAAACAATGTTTTGATTCATGATCGCGTTTGTTCAATTTTAAAAGAAGAACTACAAGGTTTAATTTGTTGGAAATGTTATTAGGATATGATTACTTTGTTGGAAAAAGGAAATGATTATTGAATTTACTACGATGCATTATGATTAGTACGTAAGAGTAGACAAGGATTTGTGTACATGAATGCCAACTAGTCAATAAATATGCAAGTTATGTTTATTGTTTCACACAAAAAATTTTAAAAAATAATAATATAGGAATTATCAAGAAAGAAAAATTATTGTAAAAAATAGATTATTCCATAAATTTATAGTAAGAAATATAGAAATTATTATTATTAATATAAAATGTGAGTGGTTTTAATAGTCCCTCAAGCTTAGACAGGTTCAAACTAATCTGTTTGGATATCAAGGAGAAATGGGCTTTCTAAATCTCGAGGCCCACTTACTGTCTTCAGAAATTGCAGTATCATGTTCTCCGATTGGTCCGGTAGAAAATGGGAAATCAAAAGGCAAGGCAATCCTGATAGAATCCTCGGGATCTCCTATTATCTACACTCGAAGAAATGTGGGAATTTGTATCCAGGAACCGGAAGAAGGCGTGGTGGATTCAGTTCCTAAGAATGCACAAAAAAGGGTGGAGGAAGCCAACCCCAAGTGGCCCCAATCCGATAAATGAATGTTTTCGCATGAAATTGTCAATGTGTGAGGAATCCCTTGACATTCCAAACGCTTAAAACTCATCGTTGTTTAGATAAATCGTTTCTTTTCCTAAGTGAGACAATGTCTGCAAGGAGTACGGTGTCATCTTTTATTTCCTCGTTAGGATTTTCTGATTGTCACATTGTTGATCCTACCGGTATGTCGGGAGGATTAGTCTTTGCTTGGCCACGTTCCTCCTCAGTGTTTGTTATTGGGCCCACCCCTTTTTTTTTTGCAATTTCCATCATCAATAATAACTCCGCTTTCTATGGTGGGGAAAACACTCTATTATCTCCTATCATCGTAAATGATGTAGAAGATGATATAGAGGATCCTTTTGTCTTCTAGATCGAAGTTGTAACTCATATCGGATGTCGCTTTAAGTATCCTCCAACTCTTTACTTTAACTAGATGGTCCTTCTAGACTTATGCTCTCTGGACCTCCAACTCATTGATTTTTGATCCAATATTTTACTTAAATTCTCCTTGATTGTATTTAATCCTTAATGCACAAATAATACCAAAATGGCATAAAACAGTACAAAAACATAACTAAGGTCTAATATAAGCAGGTTTCTTCCTCCCGCGCCCCTATACTAATAAGGAAAAGAAAGCTCCCGACCCGCGTTAGAAGGGAGATTAGCTAATGAGTTGATCAAATAGTTAAAAATTCATAGAAAATAACAAACAAACAAACAAAAAAAACACACCAAAGATGCATTGATATAAAGTTGACTGTAGCAAATATAAGATCTTGAGAACACTACAATTTTGGTGTTATCAACTTCCCAAAACACTACACCAAGAATCATAAAAAAAAACTACACCAAGCAAAATGGACGAGACCAATTGGAGAGACAATAAGATGTAATGCCCTTCTAGAGCTGCATAAGACAATTTTTTGAATCGCCTTCGAAAATCACCCTCGCAATCTGGCAGTCTGCCGCAAGTGAAATGACTACCCGACTGTAAGAAGCTCTACAACCTAGGGTTATGAAATCCCATAGTTAAGACACCATGTTCACAAATGTGTGCAATGGACGAGTCTCGAATAACCAATCCAGAAGAGCAAGGATATTGACGAACAAACACATCAAAATTAATCTTTCGAAATCCCAGAGGATGAGGGCAAGAGAAATTCAAAGGAGAGGGATGATGAAAGACTACTGCCAGAGGAAGGAGAGATGAAGAAAATTCTCGGACTTGAAATGAAAACTAAGATGCAGGGAACTGGACGTTTCGTTGATAGAACTAAAAAACCACTTAATTCCACACATTGGAGAACCTGAAATTACAAGTGACAAGATTTCAGAAAATAACGCCACCAGAGACTGAAGTTGGATATTGGGGTTGATTGTAAAAACTCTTCCCGTCCCACTAATGAACAAAATCTAGTCGCTAGTGGACATATAGGCAAACTTAAATAGTCTTGTGGTGCTTCCAACAGACATGGCAACACATATGACAGTTCAACCCTCAAGAATTGAGCACATGGACAGTGGGAAGGATAACTCTTAGACTGTTATGGGCCAATTCAAGTACCACATCGGAGATATAAGGGAAGGAACCCTTGTATATTAGTGTCCACCTAGCCCAATTAGTACGAGGCCTTTTGGGGAGGACTCCCAAGAGTAAAACCGTGCGGGCTTGGCCCAAAGCGGACAATATCATAGTAATTGAACGGTTCGATTTGTGACAAGTGGTATCAAAGCCTGCTTCGGTGGATCTGGCGCGGTGGACGTTAGTTCGCGGGACCCTCATTCGATGACCTCGGGATTGAGATCTGCGTCTGGGTTTGGTGGATCCACGAGAGATCAACGTTTGGGCTTTGGCGGATCAAAAGAGTTCCGCATTTGGGAAGCAGATCAAAGAGAGTTATGCTTCTGGCAAAGTCCTTGTACCGAGAAGCCCATCGATACAAGGCGTCTGGCGGATCAAGATAATCGATGAGGTGAGGACACGAAGTTCGTGGTCCTTGCATGAGGGTAGGATTGTTATGGGGCAATTCAAGTCCCACATCGAAAATACAAGGGAAGAGCCCTTGTATATTAGTGTCCACCAAGCTCATTAGTACGAGGCCTTTTGGGGAGGACACACAAAAGTAAAACCGTGCGGGCTTGGCCCAAAGCGAACAATATCGTACTAATTGAGCGCCCCGATTTCGACATAGACAATGGGCCTGAGCTTTTTGAGAGTTTTCCAAAGACAATCCAAATGCAATATTATAACCAAATTTAAGGGTGTAAGATCCTCTCTCAGTGAGATTCCAGGAAACCCAATCCTTTTAAGGAGTCCTAGGGATAGGATCAGATCTTATGAGCTCGAGCGATTTCTGATAAAGAAACCCTGAAGTTAAGGAACATGTCACTATTTGCAACTATCTAAGACGACAAAGAGACTTTAGGACTCTTAGTAAGCAAGGGGACTCGAAGTGCAGGAGCATATGAGATATTTGAACGACGCCAACTATGAGAGAAATTGTTAATAACTTCGTCGTCCCCAATTTTCCAACAAAGAACTCTAAGTAAGGTTTCGCTGACCCCAATATGGATTAGAACCCGAGGGAGCATATAGGAATGAACTATTTGACAAGTACCATGGTATGTAGATCAGTGCTATGAGGGAATCAGGCCGAGTTGAAATTCACCAGCACTACTTAGCGAGCATAGCATGATTAAAAGCCTTAAATTTCTTGAATTGTAGGGTGCCAAGTAACTTTCTCTGAGCTAAACTTCCATGCAACCCAATGGATTGGATTTCTATACGTCTCCGAGGATCCCCATCAAAATATGGCCATGTGACCATTCATCAATCGAGAAATTTCCACTGAGATCTTGAAACAACTCACTACATGGACTTGGGGATTGGGTGCCAAAGTTCGGATAAAAATACACTGTGCGGCTTTGGATAAAGTAGTCTGCTTCCATCCTTGGAGCTTTTTGAGCACTTTCTCATTGAGGAAATGAAAGGTATCCTTCTTGGTGCGATAAATGATTCAAGGAAGCCCAAGATAACGATTTACTCCCATATAACCTCTAACACGAGTCAATTTTCCATAGCTAGGGCTAGCGTGGGGATCTTAAGGCTAAGTATAACAACTGATGTCGCCAAATTGATTCTTAGTCAGTATTCATATCCGGAGAGCATATGCCCAATGCTTTCTCACATTTTCATTGATTCATACTTGTTCTCCAACCTTCTCCCACCTCTTGCTCGACTCTGCTCTCTTTACTTCAAGCCTATGAAAATTCGGTATTTTGTTGTGTTTTGAATTTTATAAGAGTTCCCACCAAAAATGGGGGGTGAAGTTTTAACCCTTCTTTTCCTACGAAACTCTAGGAGCCAAATTGGACCCAGCCCAACACGCATTGAAGAAGTGAAAATCTATCTCCATCCTAAATCTTCGTGCATGTCCATTGTCGAATTCCAATCCATGGGTTTGGGCCTCCAGGGCATAAAGGCTCACGAACTCTGCAGTTTCCACCGGCGCGCGGCGAACAAGCTCACGGTTTCCACTAGGGCCGATAGGCGACATCAACTGCTTTCCCGGTTTCCAGCTTCAAACAGTTGGCAGCCGAATTCGCGCCGGGTCTTCTTTTCTAGGCTATTAGCAGCAGGTAATTAGGAAGTGCTTGTTGGATCAAAATGCAGCGGAACCGCAACATAGTCGAACTGCTTGACCGTGGACTCTACAGGGAAGCCATCTCCCTGCACTCTCTGCTCCACTCCGCCGGGCTTCCCTTCAACGGGTTCACTTTCCCTCCTCTTTTCAAAGCATGCGCCAGCTTCGATTCCCCTCTCCAGGGCCAAATCCTTCACGCCCAGCTCCTCAAATCCGGCTTGCACCTCCACACCCACTCGGCCACCTCCCTCACCAACATGTACATGAAGCTACATCTGCCGCACGACGCAGTCAAAGTGTTCGCTGAAATGCCTCACCCATACTTGCCCTCGCTTAATGCTGCCATCTCGGGATCGGCGAGCATCGGTCTTTGCAAGGAGGCTTTTGCGTTGTTTCGAGAGGTGGGTTTTGCTGGGTTCAGGCCCAATTCAGTTACCGTGGCGAGTGTTCTGACTGCTTGCTACAGTCCGGAGCTGTGCCGCCAGGTGCATAGCTGGGCGGTCAAGCTGGGCGTGGGCGGTGATGTTTATGTCGGGACGGCGTTGGTGACGGCGTATTGCGGATGTGGGGAGATCGTCGTGGCTAGTAAATTGTTTGGAGAGATGCCGAACAAGAATGTGGTGAGCTTTAACGCTTTTGTCTCTGGGCTTCTGGATAATGGGATGCCCAGTTCGGTGTTGAACGTTTTTAAGGATATGAGGGAGAGCTCAAGTGAGAGGCCGAATTCAGTTATTCTGATCTCCGTGCTTTCTGCCTGTTCTAGTCTTTTGTATCTTCAGTTTGGGAAGCAAGTCCATGGATTCATGGTGAAGACAATGGAGACACTAGATACTAAAGTGGGGACAACCCTTGTTGACATGTATTGCAAATGTAGGTCCTGGAGGTGGGCATATGATGTCTTTTGCGAACTGGATAATAGAACTAGGAACTTGGTCACGTGGAACTCGATGATTTCTGGTCTAATGTTAAATGGTCAAAGTGACACCGCTGCTAAATTGTTTGGACTATTAGAATCCGAAGGGTTGGAACCCGATTCAGTAACATGGAACTCGGTGATCAGTGGGTTTGCACAGTTGGATAAGGCCAGTGAAGCTGTTCACTTCTTCAGAAAGACGCAAGCTTCTGGCACCATCCCCAGTTTGAAGTCTGTTACAAGTCTACTGCGAGCTTGTGCATCTCTCTCCTCCATGCAGCATGGGAAAGAGGTCCACGGGCATGCTATAAGAACTGATATTCAAAATGATGAATTTCTGGCAACAGCATTGATTGACTTGTATATGAAATGCGGCAGTGTTTCTTGGGCAAGGAAGATCTTTGACGGATTTTACCTGAAGCCTAGTGATCCAGCATTTTGGAATGTCATGATATCAGGGTATGGAGCAAACGGGGAGAGTGAATCAGGATTCAAGATTTTTTATCAGATGCTCAAGGAGAAGATGAAGCCAAATTCGGGTACTTTTACTGCTATTTTGTCACTGTGCAGTCACACTGGTCAAGTTGACAAAGGATGGCAGGTTTTCAAGAGCATGACTAATGAATATGGCTTGATTCCCAAGCCAGAGCATTTTGGTTGCATGATTGACCTTCTGGGTCGAAATGGGAGGTTGGATGAAGCTCGGAAGCTAATGGAGATTGTACCAGAGCAATCCACTTCAGTCTTTGCCTCGTTGCTTGGTGCTTGTAGGCATCACTTGCATTCCGACTTGGGAGAACAAGTGGCTATGAAGCTGACAGAGTTGGACCCATCTGATCCAACTCCTTTTGTGATGCTTTCAAATATATATGCTGCTGGTGGAAGATGGACAGATGCAGAGAGAATCAGAATGATGATAAACGACAGAAGACTGAAAAAACTTCCTGGATATAGTTTGATGGGAGTCGCATAAGAACGAAAATTACATACAATTGTCAGCTCACAACATAGCTGGGACGTTACATTCAGCTTCAACCAACCTAACGTTTATATAAATTCTATCATCAAGGAGTGGCACAGATAATAAGAAATGGGAGTTAGCATGATGTGCTATCCCACAACCTATCATATTCAGAAAACCCACATAGCTAAGTTTGACAGCAGATGTGTTACTTTTCGAGGACTTCTTTGATTGAAGAGTCAAAGTAGACATCGAAAAGGTTTGGTGGCTCATATATGAAGCAAGATATCACATCTCGAAGTGTTATCACACCAACAACTCCATCGTCTTGGTTTTCCACAACATAGATCCTGTGGACAGATTTTGAAGCAAGATGGTGAATCACACTGCCGAGTGTTGCATCCGATTTGCATGTTATGGGCGGCATTACTTTGCTATTCTCATGACTTGAGATCGTCATCATGAAATCCTTTACAGTAAGCTGCCTGGAAGAATTTCAGGTAAACAGAGATATCAGCAAACGAATGAACCAAAGTAAGTGAAATTTGAAGTTTGTCTCATGTTATCCTTTATAAATCAACCTGAAATTGTTGAATAGTTCACGTTTCAGCAGCAAGAATCGAATGTCCCTTATGCTTATATTTCCAACGATCTTCCTTTTTGGCCCTTCCACCACAGGAAGACCACCAATTTCGTTATCCCTCATCAGCTTGAAAGCTTCTAGAATTAATTCATCACTTTGTATGCAGATAACCTGGCCAGGAATATAACAATACATTACCGAGATTGAGGATTGCTGAATAGAATTTACCTGGTAGAAGAAGAAGTGCTTTATCACAACAAGCCATCACCTTGTCCGGGGACATGAAAGGGAGTCCTAAATCTGAAAGGGGACAAGCAGCTATGCAATCGAACCAGTCCCTTCCTTTGCATCCCTCCAGGCCCTGCACTACTGCAGATTGTGTAATGAAGTTCTTCACATCTGGCTTCCCAGGCTCAATCACAGGTACATTTCTCAGCCTATACTTTGAGAGTAAAAGCAAGACACTCAACATTGAGCCGTCTGTTGCAACTGGAAGGAATGGGGCCCACCTGTATGACTTTAGGATCGTCTTTACCTGGATACAAAGCCCACAAATCCCCAACCATGCAACAAGCAAGCATCAAGTGGAATTAACGGCAGCCTATTTGAAACCACATTTTTGCATGGTTTACAGAAAGAAAGTTATGAATATCACTGGTACGTAATGATGTTATATTAACTTACAGTAGTAGATCTGAAGGGTTCTTCTTCAAGGATAACTTTATAAAAGTCATTCCCTAAGCTGTCAACTGCTGTAGGTGCATCTTTTCCCACGCCTCTATCAGCCGCCACACCACCAGCCACAGCTGCACCTACAGCTGCTGCAGTCAAGCCAGCAATGGCAGCAGGACCGGTCACCCCCAATGCTACTGCTCCAATGGCACCAACAGCTCCAGCTCCTATCCCAGCAGCGGTAGCAGTGCTGGCAGATATAGCTACTGCAGCAAGTTCTGCACTCTCCAGCACCCACAGAATGATAGCTGCATAGTCGATGATTCCAAGGTATCTTTTCTTCCAGTCAAGGCCATCGCCTGCATCTGGGTTTCTAACCGGTGCGCTCATGATATTGCATTCTGACAGAACCTTAACCGCATGGCAGACTGTCGTATCTGCCTCTATTTCAATGACTTGGTGGCGGGGAAAAAAATAACATACATGTCAAACCGTGCAGAAGAAAGAACGAAGCAAGAAAGGAAGCTACTCACTGCTATACCTTTGCCGCCAGGCACTTTTGGGAAGGAAGAAGCAGGGATCCTACCAAATGCAGAAGTCAAAGTCTCCTGCAAAGAATGTGGTAGTTTCTTCCTGGCCTGAACCGTCTCGAAATATGCATCACAGCTAGCGAGTTTCGAGTTGTTGTCTTTGTCATCCTTCGATTCTGCCATGTTTTGTGTCTAGGAAAGACAGTGATCAGGAACCATAATTCAGTTGCTGCTTACCCCATCCATTGCCTCTTCCTATCAGGGCTAGGACTAATACCCCTTCATCCACAGATTATTCCTACTTTTGGTCTAAATAAATGCAATTCATTTCTTACTCAGAATCTAAAAAGAACAAGATGATCAGCGTAAGACATTTCTGAATCTTGATTCACTGCCACCATCAATAATACATGGTATCGAAAAGCTTCGTTTTGATTTCAGGATGTGATATAGCCATAAAGGTTTGAGGCTCTCCTCGATGTGCATGTTTGTTAGATTCAAAGAAATTCCACAAAATCACCATTGATTTGCATGTTTGTTATATTGGGATACATATGTGCGATGTAAAGAAATGCCAAATGATGTGCAAGGAACGAGAAGACATACCTCAGAAGTCAAAAGCTTTGCTCCCTTTTTAATGCAGTTTTATGGGAAAAGAAGGCATCAAATTTTAAGGGATAACAGGAAGAACACTTCGTGTTGGCTCCCTTTGATTCAATTTTGATGTGTTTTTGGGTGGTTTGATTTCAGGTTGCCCATTCCATTGGAAATGGCATTGCATGTTTTGGCTTCTGCTACGTGCCTGAGTTTTAGGCCCCGCAAGCAACGTGAATGCACAGCCGTTGTTCGATCTGCAGCAGGAATTTTAACTTCCAAAGAAAATTGGATATGGGCTGTAATTATTGGGCTCAATAAACCCCAATGGATCCGGAAGTTGGCGGGTGAAATTTGCCAAATTTACCATAATAATTGGCGGGTAAAATAATATAAATGAAATAAAATAATATATTTTGAAATAAAATTAAAATACGACGCTTCTACTTTTATGTTATACAAAAGCACTTTTTGGCTATACAAAAGCCGAGCTTCTATGTTTGGCTTTAATTAAACTTTTGAAATCAAAAACCACTTCTAAAAGCGGGACCAAAGATAGACAATCACTTTTCACCACACAAAAAAAACTGGGAAATTATTTTTTGTCCCAATTTTTTCCACTTTGTACCAAAACATATGAAAATTGATCAAGTATGGAGTCAAGAGGTTACCAAACCGACAAGGCAAGGCTTGATACCAAGACACCAAGAGAGTACCAAGCCGGCAAGGCGGGCGTGGTACCAAGATAGGAAAAATGGCTAAGTATGGAGCCAAGACGGTACCAAGTTGGAAGGCAGGACTTTGTACCAAACCCTGAAATTTGGCTAAGTATGGAGCCAACAGAGTACCAAGCTGGCAAGACAGGCTTGGTAGCAAGGCAACATGGTGCCAAGCCAATAAACTAGGTTTGGTTGCCAAGAACGAGGGTGCCAAACCGACAAGACAGGCTTGGTATCTCTAGATTATCAAGATCAAGTATGGAACCTCAAGGGAGTATACTTGTCAGCCAAGGTACCGAGCTGATAGGGTATCAACTTAATGGAGAATTGGTGTAGAGCCCCATAGGAGCCATATGGAGACTAAACCTCAAGACGGGCTTGGTGGTCTCGGGTACCAAGCCGGCGGGTGGCAAGAGACCAAACTGGCAATGCTGACTTAGTAGTAGGGGCCGACATGACTGGCTTGGTGGCAGGGGGTATCAAGCCGAAGAGACAACAAAAGTAGGAGCAAGACGATAACAACAAAACTAAGTATGGAGTCTTGGGGGGCTACCAAGGGTGTGGTCGAGACTTCATCATGGAAGCAAGGTTAAGGGCTTCAACTCCATCCAGTCAAGACAAGGTCACAAGACCAACACCAACCCGGCCGAGCTTCAAGGGCATAATGTATCAACCAATCAACAAGACTGGGCAAGGAGCCCCAAGGCAATGAGGGTGAAGACTAAGACAACGGTTACCAATTGGCCACCCAGGCGACGACAAGGGGTCCCTAAGGTGGTTAGAGCATACGACTCGTTGGCAGTTACCAAGATGGGGTAAGGAGTCTCGAGGTGGTTGGAGCAACAAACCAGCTAGCAGTTACCAAGGCGATAACCTTATCAGTTACACTCGATGGCTATAAATAGAATAAACGTAGATGGAAAAAAAAAAGCCCACAACCAAACATTTTACAACAAATATCAAACTTTATCTTTTTCTCTGCAATGTAGTCATAGCCTTTAGTTTATGGAGCTCTCACTGAACCTCCATAGGAGTAGGGTAACGTAACTTAATTTGTCCCAAAAGCCATCAAAATCATCAAACACCTTCGTTCAAACATTGTTCGAAGAGACGTGAACCGTATTATTAATCGTTATTCAATAAGTCAAGATGAAGGCATTAAACTCAAACGCTAGATTTTCCTCAAGCCGGAAAACAATTATACGAGAGGTTTTGTAAACGATTCACTAACGAAAGTCGACAGTGTAACAATTAACCACTTAACAATAAATTTAAGAAGTGTCTGTTTGCTGCTCTTCCAAGTTCCAACATAAATTTTAGCTAAAAAGTAGATAGAATGTCAAGTAATTAAGCAGTACAACAAAGCCAAGCAAGCATCCAAGGAGGAATACAACCACAACCCGATGTCCTCTCCTATAGGAATTGAATTTAAACTCGAGACACTGAAACCATTTTGGATCTACACGCCAAAAAGCAAACCTTAATCGGCAGTCCAACTCTGCTCAACAATCTCTCGCACTCTGCGATTATACTCACGCTTGTTCTCACTGAACATCCTTGCAGCTTCTGAATTCGCAGGAGAGTTTGGGTTGGGATCGCATAGCAGAGACTGTGACAATACAAGAAAAAGCTTGTTAAAGATGGTGTCATGAAGAAAAGCAGAGAAAAATCTTCTGAGAAAATGGAACTAAGAAACAGGAGTGTTTAGCAAGAAAGAAGTTTTGTCAATTCACCACAACTAGTTTCGTAAGTAGAAACCAGCTGATGGGACTGAACAGCAGGTACAAGTAAAACCTAAGAATGGAGTTTTGCTGCAAGATATACTAAAGTAGGAAGGTTTACAAGCAACTGCAAATCAATCTACTAAGCTAGGAGAACAGCATCACAGTCTTTCTTTTACCTTCCAGAATGACACAACAGTCTTTTTTTTTTCTTTTCCTTTTCCCAGAATGACGCAACAATCCAGATTAGTTTAAATTACTACATATAGCTGTTCATAATAAAAATGACAACCGAAACATCTAATTCTCCATATCTCTAAGCACACAGCAAATCAGGATCTTTAAGCAACCAATAAGGTTACAAATTGTGATTAAGATGCATGAACGCCAGACTCACATCTAACTTTTATCATCACAACAGTGAGCCAAGTAATAGTTGTCTTCAAACTGTTCTTGAAGAACTCCTTATCACGAAGGTAATTACCTGGATTGATGTGAGTATTGCAGCCACGTCGTATATAGGACTCCATTGATTTTGTAGGATGTCCAAGCAAATGCTCCCATCTGCATAGACTGATCCAAAAGGGTAGCGATTGATATTTGTCAAACAGATGCAACTACATCCAAGGTCGACAGCCAGGTAGCGGACAGATGTAACGGTTTAAAGAGATTAAAACTCACAAAAACATTCTAACTTACTATTTGGATGAAACATTCTGGAGACAAACCGTACTGTTGGCGGCTTATTAGGATAGTCCTCAGAGAACTGGAGTGTCAACTTAAACGTGCCTGGAGGTAAAAACAAAACAATGTTAACACAGAAATCAGCACATATATAAACAACAGGGCTAAGATATCTGAAGCACAATAACATGTGCATGGAGAACTCATCACAAGGAGATATAGAGAGCTGAGTGACATTCACAGAGGTCAAACTTCAAACCACTGGAAGATCAATAAAGAACATTCACACAAGTCTTAATTATAATCAACATTACTGCCCTATACTTTAAGAGCATGGCGCTGTTTGTTATGGAATAAACTTTACCTCCATCCCATGGGGTGTCATCAGGCCTGCAAGTACATGAACAAGGATAATTAAGTTATAAGAGCACCCTCCAAACTGCATATTAGCACACGGGAACACACCGAGAATAATTGTTCGATTCACTTACCCAAATATGACAGCATTCCAGAGCAGTATATTGTTGTCTTGGGGAGCGCCACTAATGCCAGCAGGAGGATCCTGTTGCAGCCTCTTAAAGTCCCTCATCAGTCTCTTCCTTGAAGGAGTCGTCATTCTAACCAGCTATAAGAAAAACAACAATAAGGATCAAGAACTTGACGATTGTCTTCCAATTCAGTCAAATTAAGCAATCCCATCTAACAATTTCATCAAAGAATCATACAAACTTAAGTTCCAGCAACCTAGAAGCTTCAGAAATCAGAAAGCCAACTTTCAATTTGCAGACAATAGAAAGCAAGAACAATCAACAAAAAGCAACAGTAACAGCAACAGCAACCCTAGATCCATAGGAAAGACTCCAATCAACCCATTAAAAACCCCCAATAACAAGGAACTGGTACACGCACTCAGCATCTGGAAGCTCACCGATTAGACAAAGCCGGCAGCAAAAGCTACAAACTTTCCCCCGAAAGAGAAAGCTTTGCTGAATTTGCAGGAAACCAAACAGAAAGTGGAAGTAACTGGAAAATCGAGGATCAGAGTGAAGGATCCATGAGGATCCGAGGCAACAAATGGAAGCGGAGGTAATTTAGGCGAATCGATAGAACGAGGTCCAGTCAGCGATCTCTTCTCAGCTAGACCTATAATTCTGATATATTATTATTTCTTCCTTTCCCTTTTCAATTGTCTATTTTTATTTTCTTTATGTTTTCTTTTTATGGATTCTTTTTTTCGGTGCGTCCAATCTCCGCCGAGAGTTATCCTCCCGATCATTGTTTTATTATGTATGTGATTAATTAATTAACGATGTTAAACATCATAACAAAATTATTTCCTTCTAAAAAATTAGGGAATAAACATGTGTAATTAGTCTGAATCATTGTCCCTAAGCTTGTCAATTATATACCCATGGGTTTATAACTATTCAACCCATTTGGGTTGGGTCTGAAATCCAATTAAAGTGTAAATGGATAAAGTTAGATGGGCCAATACCCATACCCATGGGTTTACTTGAGTTTTACCCATGAATTTGGGTTAAAAAATCCAAACCCAAATAATTAAAAAAAATGAAACTAAAAAGAAAAATAAGAATCTCTTCGAAGACTCAGTCGAGGTCACTCGACAGTCGACAACTCTTCCTCTCTACCCATCTTCGTCGACGACGAGCCGGCTGAGCAAACAGAGACGCCCACGACGTCGCCGCCCCGGCCACTGCCAGTCTGCCACCAGCTCGAACGTCGCCGCCCCGGCCACCTCCGATCTCGGCATCCCCTCCGGGCTCCGACCACTGAATCGCATCGGCGCCACCAAAGATACAGAAACCCTGCCCCGATTTCGTCGCCGCCCCGGCCACTCCCACTAGCTCCGACGTCGCCGCCGCCCAGTGCTACCAAGCTTCGAGTTCCTCCATTCATCGTCCCCCAAACCCTTCCCAGGTAATTGACTAATTGGGTTTTGCTAATTGAGATCAGGCTTCGAGTTCCTCCATTCATCGTCCCCCAAACCCTTCCCAGGAAATTTTTGCGGGGATGGAGGAGAAGGTTCGTGTTTGGAAATGGAATTTGGCCAATTGGGTCTCTGTGACTTTCGATGAGGGTAAAAGAAAGAAGAGAGACGGTGGAGGATTGGGCAATGGCGGATCCTTATATTATTTCCCCTTTTTCTTTTCTTTTTTGTCTGTCTATGGTTAAATGCTAATAATATACCGTCCCTGACTCCCTGTCAACGTTTCTCCTTTACAGTGACTGAAGTGGTGCGAGTCCGATATGGATTTTCAGTTATTAGCTAAATTGGAAAAACAGATAACGTAGACGTAGAGAAGACGGTGGCCTGATCCGACGTGTGCAGTACAGGAGCGAGACTGCTAAGTTTCAGGCAAGTTCTTGCTCTTCCTTTGTTCTTCCGGTTTTCTTTACTCGTATTGTCTGGAAGATGAACGTAGGAAGAACCAGAATTACTAGCACAGAGTATATGAAATCGTAGCAGGATCTTTCTTATTGTTGTGAAGCTATCTGTGATTGCTTGCAAAGTGCATTTTTAGTTGTGCCCAGTAGTAGGGGAATTGCTTCGACTTTGATAAACTGGCGTTTGCTTTGAGGATCCGAATGCAGCTGAAATGGTGGAATTCTGGATTTGTTTTTGTTTGCGAATGATAGGATTTGTTTCTGTAGTCAAGCTAGTAAAGGCAAGTAGGCAACCTGCCATTTGGTTGAATAATTGTGTATTGTTGTCTCTGTTTGAAGCATTTTTAATCCTTATTTGATTGAATGATTGTACTGTTGCACTAGTTTGAATGATTGTTTGTTGCTTGCTTGATTTTTCTAGGGAAATATGGCTTCAGAAACTAATGATGATAGTCTATCTATGAATCATGAGAGTAGTAATGGACAGCCTAGTGTGTCTTCTAGTCGTATGGTATGGTCTTCTGGGAAGCAGTGGTCTGAAGTGTGGAAGGATTATAATCGAGTTGTAATTAGTGGGCTGAGAAAAGCTGAATGCAAATACTGCCATAAAAAGCTTGCGGCTGAATCCAACTCTGGAACTTCTCATTTGAGCAATCATTTGTTTAAATGTCGAGTAAAAAATGCTGATATAGTCAAGGTTGGTAGACTTTTGGGTAGTAAGAAAAGGAAAATTGGTACTGGAAGTTCGAGTCATGCTGTTTTTGACCAAGAAACTAGTAGAAGGGAGCTTGCTTATATGATTGTTCTTCATGAATTTCCTCTATCGGTTGTCGATTATGTTGGGGTTAGGAGGTTTGCGTATTCTCTTCAACCGTTGTTTCAAATGGTTTGTAGAAATACAATCAAGAGTGATATTTTAAAGATATTCAAAAAGGGAAAGATGAATGTAATGCATGAGTTAGAAAAAGTCAGCAGTAGGGTGGCGATTACCACTGATATGTGGACTTCGAATAACAGGAAAAGAGGGTTCATGGTAGTAACTGGCCACTTTATTGATGATGCTTGGGTCCTTCAGAGTAAGATTTTGAGTTTTATCCACGTTCCTTCTCCACATACCAAGGATGTTCTATGTGCTGTATTATTGAGTTCTATGACGGAATGGAACGTTGAGAGAAAAATTTCAACAGTGACGGTGGATAATTGCAGTACTAATGATGCTATGATTAGAGCTCTTTTAGGAAAATTGCAAGAAGATACGTTGTTGCTAAATGGTTCTATATTTCATATGTGATGTGCTGCTCACATTCTCAACCTAATTGTGCAAGATGGGTTGTCTGTCATTGGGGAATGCATTGGGAGAATTCGTGATAGTGTTGTGTATTGGACTTCATCTGTTAAGAGAAGACAAAAGTTCAATGATGTGTTAAGCAGACTTACAAATATTGATTGTTCGAGAGAGTTGGTGCTTGATTGTAAGACTCGTTGGAACTCTACGTATCTTATGCTATCAACTGCTTTGATATATAAGGATGTCTTTGATCGTTTGATTGTTAGAGATTCAAATTATGTATGTTTTCCAAGTGAAGAGGAATGGGATATGGCATCTGAATTATGTGTGAAGCTAGAGTTGTTTCATGAAGCTACAAAGACATTTTCAGGAACTACTTACCCCACGGCTAATACATTTTTCCCTAAGGTCTGTGAGATTAAAATAGCTCTAAACGAGTGGCAGTTGAGTCCAAATGTAACTATTGCAACCATGGCTGAAGATATGTTGGATAAATTCAATAGGTATTGGGAGGTTATCCATGGAACTTTGGCTGTTGCAGCTATATTGGATCCTAGGTTCAAGATGAAGCTATTAGAGTGGGCCTTTCCCAAGATTTATGTTGGCACATCTACCTTTCATTTTAATAGGATTCGAGACTTCTGTTATGATCTTATGAGTGAGTACAAGACTATAGAACCTAGCATGGATTCTTCTTCTTCTTCATCGACACATAAACATGCAAGTTCTGGGTTTCTCGCCAGCTTTGATTCTTATGTTGGTAGATCTAATTGGAATGTTAAAGAAGAGTTTGACAAATACTTGCGAGATGGTGTGATCCCAAGAAGCGAAGAGTTCGACATTTTATCTTGGTGGAAGAACCATGGCCTACAATATCCAACCTTAAGGCTGATTGCTAAGGACATTCTAGCCATTCCAGTGTCAACAGTTGTCTCGGAATCTGCATTTAGCACAAGTGGAAGATTATTGAACCCTCATCGTAGCCGCCTTGATGACACGACTGTGGAGGCTCTTATGTGCACCCAGAACTGGCTTAGGAATGAACTTCAGGGTAAGAAACAACTTGTTTAATATGTTCTCTGATGCATGAGCATCCATTTCTCTGATGCCTTAACTGCAATGTTTTCTTTCCTATGATTAGTTACTTAAGCACCTTAACTATGTGATTGACATTAATTGTCTTGAGCTGTCCCATTTATGATGCAACCAATCTAATGTATGTTGGCTGTCATTTTGTAGGTGTAGCCATTTTCTCTTCAGACTTTGATGGTTCGACTCAAACCATATTCGGTGACAACGATGGCGGTGATGATGAACAAGTTATGGAATATGAGGACTGAGAAAGGATTTGGGAGTTTGTATATGAAGTTATCTATCTAAGTTATTATTAGGGAAGTTGTTTTCTATGAAAGATGTTGCACTTTTCTGAAGCACGAACTGATAATCTTAGGTATTATGTATGTTGTTGGTTTACGTCGTGAGTGGCATGGATGGATATTCCCCCATTTTGTTAAAAAGAAGAGAACTTTATCCCTCTTCCGCGGGGTTTTTTTTTTTTTTGCTCATCTTTGATTGTAATCGACATTAAATTTCGTTGGTTTGACTTTCTGGTTGGACTTTATGGTGTTTTGACTATAGGGTTGTGATTGGATTTGCCCGATGATGAAAGGTTTTGTTGATTTGAGCTCTTCCGTACTCAGAATCTTCTTCCTCTCTCTCCAGTCTCCATTGTTGTTGTTGCTGCTGCTGCTGATGTTGTTGTTGTTATATGGAACTTCGGTGTACTGCTACTGCTGCTCTTACTGTTTGCTGGTAGCGGTAGTGACATTGTTGTTTCCCCTTTTGCTTCCCGTGACTTGATAAAAACATTACATCGATCCGCAACTTAAATTCAGTGTCCCAAATCGAATAATTACAATTGCAAACTCCTAATCATAACTCTACAAGGGACTCGAAACTGAGCTCAGCGGCCGGTCTCGGAACCAGCCAACACGGCGGCGGGTCGAATTTGTCTTCTTCAAACTCATCATCAATCCTCCTAATCTTCCCCTCTCTCAAATCAAACACCCCGATGTCGTTCCCTCCGTACAAGTAATCCTCATCCATCCGCTCCCAGCCATCGTCCGTGTAGTATACGGAGTCCGCCGCAATCCCACCGCCGGCGGGGACCGAAACAGAGTCACCCCCGCCCAAAAACAGAGCCCTCTTCTCTTCGTCGCCGGCAGCGCCGCTCAAGTTCGCGGCACGCACCCATCTCCTCCGATCAGCATCCATCTTATACACCTCGAACGCCGAGAAGGGGCGATTCCCGACCCAGTTGAGGGGGAACAGCGAGCAGAGCTCTGTAACCTGAACGCCGAGAAGGGGCTCGGAGAAGCCGTGGCGATTCCCGACCCAGTTGAGGGGGAACATCGAGCAGAGCACCGGCGGGGTGTAGACCGGCTCGAGGATATCGGCGACGGCGGGGTGTAGACCGACATTCGGCACCGGCGAAGCGTTCGGCACCGGCGAAGCAGCTGGACTTGGCCAAAGTTACATTTTAGTACCTGAAGTTTTTAAGAAGATACAAATAGGTTCAACATCATATGTGGAAAATTATATTTTAGTACATTAAAAATTTTGCTTTACATTTTAACACCTAATAGAAAAAATATATACAGGTGGGTCCAAGGAGATGGGTACCCAAGCCCAATCCAAACCCAACTCCACCTACCCAAACATTATCCAAATCCATATAGAATAAATCCATACCCAACCCATATAAATGGATATAAATGGGTTTGGGCAAAAATACCCATGGGTGGGTAAATTGCCATCCCTACTTGTCCCCATGCAGACCAAGTATGACACAAGGTCTCCCCAAAGTATACTCTTTTGTAAAATTCCTTTATGGGTACAAACTAAAGTTGTACATTTATGTTATTGTACAACTTGAAGTTGTACCACAACATAAAAGTCAAATTCCCTTATGGTACAACTTCAATTTGTACTTTAAGGTTATGGTACAACTTCAAGTTGTACTTTGACGCACTAATACTTTAAAGCAGAGTAGAATTGCTCATCAACTTTATATTAACTAGGTACCTTTGTAATAGTGTATCATATTTAATTAAGTCATTGATCTTTACTGCTAATAATCGAGTGCTTATTGCTACGAGTTTATAGAAATTATTATATATTAGTTTTCTTCTCTTCATGGTACGTAGTACACAACACCAAAACTCCCGATAGCTAGTTCAATCCATGTGTGAAAAATTATCAATAGCTTCATGAACATAACCAACAACGGTTCCTAGTTTTCCTTCAACCAAATTGGCACGACAATATTGATTTAGATACACATACATATATAAGATAAAATGTACAAAATTGTAATAATATTAGATCGTCACAATATCTAGCTTTCGTATGGCATTTTTAACCACCTAAATAACTATTCAACCCGATCCTCGCTATTAGCAGCTGAAAACGGACGGCCTATAGATGCATTGGCTGCTGTTGGCGGGAACAAGCTCATCATGACGTTATCATTCCCTGCATTGTTATTACCGTTATGGCCACCTTGAAATACTGTAAATGGCTGATGTTGTTCCCCATCCTGATTATGAACCTCATCGCGAGCTCCTGTACCTTTCCCGACGAACGACGTGATCGCAGCGGCCAACGCGGACCTGAAACTTGGGTTGGAAGCAATCACCTTGGTCGCGGCGGCGATTGTCATGTGATCATCAGCTCCAACTTGCGTGCCGTTTGGTTGGTAATGCCCTTGATGCAAATGTTGTGGCGGTGGTGTTGGCTGCGGCGGTTGCTTCCCCAACAAGTTACCGAAGGTCGACGATGACGAGGAGTAGTAACCTAACATCATGTTGCTTGTGTTGCAAGGCAAGACAACAGAGGAGGAGTTGGAGAAGTCGAGCGTGGAAGAGGAGGAGTATCTAGGAGCCAAGTTCGACGACGATGGCGATGATCGATTGTTGTTGAAGGCAAAGAGGTGGTGGTGGTTGTTGTTGTTGTTGGTGAGGGCTGAGGTTGTGGTAAGGTCGAGGGTGATGGTTGGGTGAGAGTTGCAAGTTGAGATGGAGGAGTTTGGGAAGTAGAACTGGTGGAGTGGCCTTGTAGTGGTGGTGGAAGGATTGGAAATGGAGGAGTTAGGGTTGGAGGAAGAGGAACAGGATTGGAGCATTGACGCAGCTGCCGACGTGGTGGACGCCATGGCTGTTGCCGAGAGTGGAAGAGGATGGTTGTGGGTTCCTTCGTATGTGGTGATCAAGATTGTCATGTCGTCCACACATCTTTGAACCTGCAAAGAGTTTGAAGTTGTCTCTCATTCTATTAGGTTTCTGCCGTGAACAATATAATTGTGAAATAGATGAGGCAAAGGGATCGAAAACCCCAACTAAAAATGAAACTTAATAATTTCGTAAGAGATCGGAATTTATATTCGTATTAGGTAGAAGAAAAAAAACCCCAAAAGCTTAAATATTTACTTCAAAGATGAATGTTATGACTTACGAATGGACACCAACCCCCAGATTGATGTCGTATGAAATTAGGATGTACGAGTGACGGATAATTTGGGAAATGGTTATTAATTAATTATATCAAAGAAAGAAGTTGGAAATGGCAGTCAAGCACTCCACCACCTATAATGTCAACTGCCATCCGTAATTGAAGACCCCAAATTAGAGAGAAGAAGAAGAAACAGTCTCAACTCCCAACTTGGATCTAAACTCTAGTCTAAACCCATTTAGGTCTTGTTAATTAGTTTGGTAGATGCAAATCGCGATCACAATTAATAGGGCAAGTTGGGGAGAGAATAGTGTACCTGTTTTCTGACAGGGCAAGTTGGGGAGACGGTGCAGCGATAGTAAGCTCTGGGGCATGGATTCCCTTTAGCTATCTTCTGTCCGTATTTCCTCCATTGACACCCATCGCTCATCTGCACAAGATTAAAAAAAAACTCATTTTACGGCCTAACAAAAGTTTTGTTAGATCTGCGCGGTATTATCACTGGTCTTCAATTTGAAGGTTACAGGTTCGAAAATAGAAATAGTACTGACGACAGACTGACCGTGGGGGTGTCGACCCTGGCTCGGATAGAAACCCTAGCTTTCTTGAGCTGCGGCTGTAACTGCAACTCCTCCTCCTCCTCCCGTTGTTGTTTTTCATCCGAACTACTGCCACTCCTCATCGTCTTTAGAACTTTGCTTGGCGGCCACGCGTCCGCCGCCACCACCTCCTCCTCCTCTTTACCCTCCGATATTGACGACGGCGGCCTTATCTTGGTATCATCATTAATTTCCGGCGGGTTGGCAGAATAATATTCCATTGACCCAAGGGATAGCCCTTCTTCTACTACTACTACTCCTCCTTCCTTAGACGACGACGAATCCCTCTTCCCCAAAATCCCTTCCTTTTTGTCGGCGCTTCTGCCGAGGCTGAGGGAGAAGACGAGCTCGTCGGATTCTTCCTCCTCCGCCGGCGCCGAGATGGGTCGTTTGTTTCGTTGGTCAACGATTTGAAGGAAATGGGCATGGAGAGAGTGGTAGTCCTTGGCGATCTTGGATAGCTGCTGCTTCAGCCTCTCGTTCTCTTCCTTCACGTTCCCCATCTCAGCTTTCGCTGATCTTATCATCATCTCTTCCTCCTGAAAGTTAATTTGGATCGGTACAATCAAAACAGAATCTACCAATTAAGTAATTTATTTATAACTGAACCTGTCACAACAATTCGAGTTATTAAGAAACCTCGCTCTACTTACTATGTCCTGCGGCGGCGGCGACAGATGATCAGAGACTACGACGGCTTGTTCTTCACGTTTCATGGCGGTGATTGTATGTGTTAATTCTTGAGGAGATGAGGACTTTTGGATTGGGGAAGCCATTAATGGATAGAGAGAAAGAGGGAGAGAAGAGTTGGTTTGGTGGTGATGGATTTTTCTTTAATTTGCAGCAAGTGGGGAGGGGAGGGAGGGGTTTTGGTACGTAGAGAGGGTTGTGATATATATATATATATATTGGTGTGGTGTGGGGGATGAAGGGAAGGAAGTAGGGCTGGCAATTTGGTCCCGGACTGTTTGGTTTTACCCGAAACCGGACCGTATAACACGGATCGGGATCGGACTGGGACCGGATAGCAAACAATCCAATCTCATATTCGGGCTTAGATTTGAGGTAAAAACCCCGGATAAAGACCGGATAAGAGACCCCAACACTCAAATCCCCACAAGCTCAATCTAAAATCAAAATCAAATTGGGATCGGATCGGGTCAAGACCGGACCGGATCAAGACCGCAGTGTATTCAATCCAATCTTTGGTCCTTATATTCACGAAAAGATCGGACTGAGACCGGATCAATTTGATCCAATTTAACCGGACCGTATAGCCACTCCTAGAAGGAAGGAAGGAAGGAAGGAAGGAAGGAAGCGTATTAATTAAAGAAATGCGTGATGGATGATGTTGACTTTGTCTTTATTTTTGTGTTGTTAGTATTCAACTTCAATGCTGGATCAGCAAAGGCTTATCTTATTCAGTTTTCTTTCTCGGCCCTGCATGTTGCCGTTTTTTTTAGCTTGGAAATTTCAAATGAGTAAGTTGGACAAGCTAGCCTAGCAACAAGTCAATTTGTTTGTTCTTCTTTTTTTTTTTTTTTTTGTTCATCTCTTTACTTTTCTTCTTAGTACTGCTGTCACTGTGTCTCTTTGTTACTTAATTTAACTTGTCTTAGGGTTCTCCCCATCAAGTCCTTTGTTAGCTAATTCGAGCCATTGTCTTCTTTAACCAAATGCCTCAACCTGTTGTCCATCATCACCCTGCCAAACCCACTCTAACAGAAAAGTCCGTTCGATTTCGGTGATAGTTAGGATTCGAAACTACGTAGAAAAAACTTCAACAGATTTACAGTCTGTTGCGCTTTTGATCACTCGGCCACTCTCCCCCTTACCAGGCCGAGGCCCCTCTCTGGGTTCTAAGAAGGAGGGTGGCGCCTTGAATCAATAAAAAAAACATACATTGTTGTAATTGAGGGAGTTTGAACATTATTAGTACAGGGTGATCATGACGCGTCTCATATTCAAATTAATCTTCATACGCGATTCTTTATTTTAACAACAATTATTTGAAGTGAGAATATGCAAAATTTATAGTTCATGTGTTTAAGACATTTCCAATATTTCTGAGTTATTTACCAACCTATTCTTGACAACTTACAACTGTGAAGAAAAGCGTTGCAGATCAATCGAGTCATTTTAAGAACTTTATATTTCAAAGGACGGGGAAAAAAAAGAAAAAGTTACACATTATCAGAAATATTCCCGTATAACAAGTTACATAAATTACTAGATAAACTGGCCGCTGGCGGTCACGTTCAACAATCGTAAAGGGCCCAAAAATAAAAAATTAATAATAACCGCCGCCGTCATGGTCAAATGTTTTCGTTTTATCGCAGCAGCCACCGTCACCGTCTGCCGTGTCAAAAGTCAAAACCCAGTAGTAATTATATCAACGGTAATCCTTATTACGTCTTTGCCATTAAGACCAAATTGTGTCCTCTCTCAGGAATGGTCAACGACTTTTAATTGTCAAGCTAAGCCGGCAATTCCATTGACCTTAATCCGAAAAAGGTTTCAATATTTTGTGCTGGGGTTGAATTAGTGTAAAACTCAACGGGCTTTAAGGTGTATTCATAATCATAGTGGTTAATGACATTCTTGATTAACCATCTAAATGATACTATACTATACTATATATATATATATATGCACGAGTGTTCTACTATGCTATAAAGCATTAGTAATTCGAGATACAAATTGAACTAATACCATAACGTTAAAAGGTATAAGTTCAGTTGATATCATAAAAGAATTTTATGGTACAAGTTGCAATTGTACTATAACATGTATAGGTACAAATTCAAAACATAAATGTGTACCGTTGTATGTGTTAGCGTACATGTTCGATTTGTACCATAACATAAATATACAAATTCAATTTGTATCATAAATGAATTTTTACAGAAAAGTTTAAATACAAATTGAATCTGTAAAATGTGCAAGTTTAGTTTATACTATAATTTTTTTATTTTATAAACCAATGCACCAATATTCTTTATATATAATATATTGCAACTATAGCAAGTAGATCGATGCGTTCGTGGAGGAAACATGCCTAGTTTCACATATTCAATAACATCATATTTTGAGTTAATTAAATGATCAATGCCTTCCATTAATATCATATTATATCTCAATAACGTTTCTCTTTGTCGCTTTTTGTTAGCTTCTTGCATGAATGATATGTAGGAGGCAAATTAATCAAGACCCACAAAGAATTTCAACTTTTGTCCCTTTCCATACATGCATGCGTACCTTAAACAGTTCGACATGGCCTGCCAAATAATTTGGCTTAGGGTTTTTTCTTTGTTAATTAAGGGCTTCTTTATATCTATGCCACTGTGTTTGCCGGCTGATCATTTGAATCATTTTGATTTTTAATAGTGGTGATTTTATATTATTTGCCTGTTCTTTGGAAACAATTAGTTTCTTTCTTCCTTTGGAAAAATAATAATAGTGGTGATTTTATATTATTCGCTTTTTTTTCTTCCAAAAACTCGAGGAAAAAAAAAGAACAGAACAAAAATCAGAAGGTACAATGAAGACCCATTAGTTAACGGTTTGTTTTCATTACATATCAAGAAGACGCATGAGTTAACAGTTCACGAACTATAATTATGATCGAATAGTTATCGTACGATGAATCAGATGCATAATAACTCTGATTTTTGTTTTTCAGCAAGTGGTACTTAAACATCCAACTTTATCAACACACTAATAATTTGGAAGTATCCTTCCGAGCAGACTATTATCAGAATTTCAAACCTCTCCGAATAATCATAAAAATGACATCTCTATTTTACGTTTTCATTATATTCCGACCAATCGATGGGACTAAATATTAAAGCTTTATCTCGACCACTCTTTGCACCTACCACTAATCCAACGAAAAGCTAAGTTTGAGACGTATTTGAGGGAAGAGAAGACCTTATGAATAATGTTTATGTTAGATGTCTGGCATCACTCACGCCTCTTAGGTCAATGGTTTGCAGATAATTGAGTGTCAATTGACAGATCTCTATATATAATATTAACCCCCCTCTAATTAATTAATATTTATGGTCACCTACAATATGCAATAAATAAATAATTATATGGAATTGGGAGCACAATTTGACCTACAAAATCTAACTGATCAACTTGGTCATAAATCTAATCGAAATCCAGTAGTACTACTGCATGTTGCTTCTTCCAGCTCGATTCATCAAAAGTGTCAACGTGAAAGTCCATCTTGTCTGAATTTAAAAATTTGCAATGATTTGAATCATTGATCAATCAATAATTTCGTCGAAAAATAATTAATGGGGATAGGAATTGAAAGAAGAATACTTGGAATTGCAAGCAAGAAAATGATTCAATTAAGATGAATTTTTCCGTCTCGATCATTTCTCATTCGATTTGTAATAGTACGCTATGTTTCTTTTTTTTGTCGTAACACAGTAAGCAAGACTTTATTCGTAATCAACTAACAATCACAACTAAGTGATGAATGAGAAGGACAACAAGTTTTGACTTTTAAACCCATTTTTGACATGACTTACATCAATAAATCACTATCTGTAAATATTTAGAAATTAGCTTGCAAGTCTTAACAAATATCTGTAAACCAAATTAAAATCTCTTGACATAGCAATTTTTTGTTTGTTTGTAAAGACTACCAAATAATAAAAATAGAATTAAATAGGGAGCAGCAAAAATCTAGTGGGGCAGTTGTTTATGACGTGAGGTCAATGGGCTGCCTAATAAGTTAATTCAGTGACCATTCTTTGCCACGAAACACAATAATTAATGTGTTTACTCTCTCAAATTCGGCCCCCAAAATTCTCGAGGCTGATCTCACAAATTAAGTATTATACTAATTAACTCAAGCAGCCACTTACTCACCCACCTCTAATGACGGATTCTAGTTGTTCATTTTATATGCAAAATTTCAACCCTTTCCTTCCTCAATAACCTAGTCAAGGCCATAAAATGTCACATTAAACACTTTTTTTCTATCTTATTTAGAGTGATAAATCGATAATTGTCTTCATTTAACTGTGTCGTTATAGGTTATTTTTTATCGCTTCGCATATTTTTGTTAATATATCTATTAAGAAAACTTGGTCTAAGTCCGCATTTCCATAAACTGGGGTGGAATTTCAGTGGAATGGGAATAATATTTGTAATTTGTGATGTATGCATATACAAGGAGAATGAATCTGAGAGGCCATTAATTATATAAAATACTCTTACTAATTAGATAAATGGAGTCCAAACGAAACTTGACTCAAGGCGGGTTAGGAGCTGGTCCGGTCCACCTAAACACAGCAGCCATTGCAGTCGACATATTCTCGTCATGATGCCGTAGTCCCCAAGCTTCTTCTGGATTAACAAAAAGATAATAGCGAAAACTCCTTGAGTCAAAATGGTTGGATCAGGTTTTAAGATGGAATCGTGCATTAATGGTCCAGGTTGAGGGAACCAAATCATCATTATTATGTACTGATTAATGAAACTTTCTTGGTATTATCTTAAGGGTTACTTCCTAACTTTGCTAAGCCAATAAGACTTCCGCCATGTCGTGCGACTTTGCATTAGACTCGATGCTTAAGCCGTCTTCCTCGAGTTGTTCTGTGCATTTCTGCACAAATTCACTTCGAAATCAACTCGGAGGACAAAGAAATTGCAGCCAGATTATCAAACAGATTTGTTCTGCAATGAAAGAAACCGAAAATGATGCAGTCCAGTTCAATTTGGTTGAACCAAACTGGATGACCATCCATGACATATATAGCAGAGAAGCCAAAGAAGCGAAGGAAGGAACTTTGGGGAGCTGTTTCAGTCTACAATCCATCCTACAAAAAAAAAAAAAAAAAAAAAAAAAAAAAGAATTCCAACTTGTTTCCTGTCGGGTCATGACTCTTCCAATTTCTGACCTCTAGAGAGTCAGGTCAACCCCAGCAGCCAGCCTAAGAAGTTCATATGCTTGAACAGCCAACCTAACCTAAAGAGACCAACATTCCACTGTAACTGTAGTACCTACATGGAAACTACGCAGACGCTTGACTAATATCTCAATACTTAGCTTGTAGAAAAGCTCTACACCCTAGCAATACAGATAACTAAGTCCCCGAGAGGAGAAGACAGAACTATGGCAGAAGCAAAATTTGCTGACCTTCATCAATGAACCAATATGATACAAGAGGATGATTGCCCCCGAACAGGATAAATGATACGAAAGCATACGGCTTGTTGCAGATCCTTGTGTTGTCGTTAGAATTGCCTCACCGGTAAGCTACTTGCTCCATTCGTAGTCTGCTCCGTAGCTCGGGCTGGCATTATTTGGTTTTGTGTTCGAGTCGCCCGGTTGTATTGAATTTGTGTACGCATGCCAGCCTATTAGGTAGGGTAAGATGTACTGCAAAATGGAAAAAGAAAGAAGAGTTGGTAAGAAATGTCTCTACTATTTTCATAAGATAAATCGTACAAAGGATTCAATTATTCATGCTACTTTAACATGCAAAACCATGCCAACCCATCTTCAGTGACATCGACGGCATGGAATTTGAAGGTTAGGACTTCTCTACTTGTTAAAACTTCTTCCTAATGCCAGTATGACCAGACAATGTATTAGAAGGTTCTAGGGCTAAGTAGTGGAGTTTATCGTTGAACAACTGTCGATTGACCTTCCAAGTGGCATATTCTAACTCTCCATAATGTGTTCATGGGAAAGAAGGCAAGATAGGAAACATCATAATTCATACAGAAACTGTGCTCATAGAACCATCTCCACATAAGAGAGAGAGAGAGAGAGAGAGAGAGAGAGAGAGAGAGAGAGAGAGAGAGACGTACATTGAAAGCTGCAACAAGGACAGTGTACTCTGCCCTTGTAATTGGAATGTAAATGCTATCATCCACGTTCAAGAGTCTGTTCTGGACACCTATAAGACATAATGAAGTGCAATGTGAGTCAACAAAGACCGACTACAATGGGACACAATGAGTTAAAGGGGAGAGAAGATTACTTAGGTTAAAGAAGTGTCCTGAACCATCTGGAAGTGGTTCTACCTTCAATACCTTCCTGATCTTACCTTCATCGCTGTAAAGGACCGATTTCAGTAAGATTCTTAAATCAAGAGGTCTACCATAGTTCAAATTCCAATAGTACCTATGTCAATAAAGCTAATGTCTTCCTTCAACGTCTAAATAGTGTTTGAAGAATTTGGCATTACCTTTTCCCCATATTAGGATCATGGAAAAATTCACATGAGTCCTTTGCTCTGAGACTCGTTACAGTTCCAATTTCTGCAACCGACAACGAAAATACCTAAAGGCATGGAAGTCAAACATCATTTTATGAGTGCAAAGCCACGTATAGTCCCAAAGCAAAGATAATACAGCAGTTTCTCTCAAACAAAGGTTAGAGATCTGCTGTTCCAGAAAAACAGAAGTTTGACTAGACTTAGGATTGAAACGCATACAATCATGTAGATATAGCCAACAGCTACAATACCCGTAATCACTCGCCCTTAAACCTAACAAGAAAGAATTAGTTCAACTTGTACTATATATGAATTGCATTGCCACATGCAAAGGGAGCTTTATACATAGAAATAAGGCCTTATATTGCTTCCACAGTATTGAACGCAATATAAAAACTGAATTGCTTGTTCAAATAAGCGATTTGAAGACAGCGAATATCACAGCAATCTCCAGGGAGCATATTCTTTCCCGTTCCACAAGACTAGAAAACCTCATCAGCTAAGTAACCAAATACTCCATTTAATACTACAGAAAAGAATTACCTGCTTTCTTCCCCAATCATACTGGCGAACACCAGCTGAAGGCGCGAATTGCAACAACACAAAACCTTCCCTGACAAGCTTGAACGCTCCTGACTGGGCATGGCAATATCAAACATCAATGAAAGAAAGAAAGAAAACAGTCCACCATCATAAAAGGGGCGTGCTTTCAGATAGCTAGTGAAGTGATACACTATGCAATACCCTTTTCCAGAACAAGCATGAAGCAAAAAGCTTACCTCTAGTGCTGTGAATTCCGGTGCTCGAGGCTCTACCGTAAGTGCAGCCTTCCCTTTGTATATTGAATGTCCCACATAAACCCTAGCAGGCGATTCCCCAACTACAGCACAAGGTGAAAAAAGAATAAGAAATCAGATATCACCGCCCTAGCAAGAAGAGATCATATGACATTGTTCAGATGTACCATTTGAAGCTCCCTCGGAGCGCGAAGCAAAAGAACTGTTCCCTGAAGAAATCACGGGACTGTTGCTGGTCTTCTGCTGGTCGAAATACGACTTCACGGCTAGCATCCCGCCCCTGCTCGCGGTTCTAGTGAAAGAAAGGGCGCATCTTTTGGCAGGAACGGGAAATGTTCCGTGAGACTGTGACGAGGAGAGCGAATGCTGAGGGTGGATTTTAGGGTTTTGGGTACTCAATTGAGAAGAAGCTAGCGAGTTGAGCTGCAACATTTTTGCCTCCGCCACTGTGACTCACTGACTCCTCCCTCTGCCTGTCTCTATCTCTTCCGGAGGAGGGCCAGGGCCGGGCTAGCTCACTCCATTAGGTTGTTGTCAAACCCGCGGGTTGACCCAGACCCGGTCGAGTTAGTGGGTCAAGGATTAATGGGTCAACTGTTTTAGCTCGGTTTGGCCCGGAAATATGGAAAGAGTCATTATATTGTACTTTTCCTTATAAATTATATCAAATATTATCTAACATATGAGTTATAACATATAATATTACACCAAAATAACATATCGTACTATTAATATTGGAGGACGTGGATATTCAAACACGCGATCACTTGGCCAAACCAGCGCTGATACCATGTCAAGAACCAATTGGTCTCAATAACCCGAGTTGTTGAGAGAATGTTATGCTGGATCTTATACCACACTCTTATAGTGGTGTGACTAACCTGATAACAAACATAGAGGATGGATAAAGAAGATAAGCAAAGGCAATGAATATGATTGCTTTTTTTCATTGGACTTTCTGCCAAGATCGCCTAATAGGGGTGTACGAGAGCCTTCCTCTTCCATCACGAGTTGGAAAAAAAGGCTTAATTGCAAGTTTGGTCACTCGAATTGCTATAAAATTTCACGTTTGCCACTCAAAATCATTTATTCCATTTATAGTCACTTAAATTAGGTTAACAGTCCAAGTTTGGTCACTGACCGTTTGTCTCCGCTAACTTTTGCTTATGTGACGGTCAACTCTTATAGTTGACCGTTAAATTCATGACGTGGCAATTAAAAATTTTAAAAAAAATTAAAAATTAAAATTTCCACCTCAATTATTAGAAAAAAAAAACTTTTCTAATCCTACACTAAATGCGAGACTGAAAAAAAATAAAAAACATTGGGTACCAGAAAAGGGGGAAAGACAACCACCGATCTAGTCCGATCACTAGAGCCCTCCGGGACGTGCGTACGCAGCTTCTCGCACGAGCGACGATTTCGGCAGAAGTTGCCAACGACTCGTTGCTCCGGTGATAGCCTTCTCACCTGCCTGTTCCGTGCAGGTGTCGTTTCCGATGTCTCCATTAGGCTGATGCGCCCATCACCGGAAAAGTAAATGCTTTCATCCTTATATTGGTGGCGCAAAGCCTCTTCCACGTGGCTCCAAAGCTCACCGAACGAATCTTCATCACTACCGCCGTCGCAGTTATTCTTCGTTGCTAGCGACATTGGTACGTCTCTGTTCACGACGGACGTTATAGTCTTGAGCGGCTAACGAGTGTAAAATTTCACACAAAAGTAGAAACAGAACGCAGTGATTAGCTATATCTCTGCGTTTGGTTCCTTCCCTCTTATACTGAATCTCCAGTTTCGTTCGTGTATATATATGAGTAGGCCACTCTGTTTCCATCTCCTAATCGGCTTCCGATTTTCACTTACACGAATCCCTTCATAAACCAGTTGGGACTCTGTTTTCCTTTTCCAAGTAGCAAATTTCGACTAAAGTTCAGATCTTTCAAACTTTGGTACCCAAATCCATACCAAAATCCGCAGCAATTCTTCATCGCTCACAAAAACATAGCAATTTGCCCCAGAACAATACAAATTCCAAGTGACAAAGAACCAAAACCCACAATTACTCCCCGCGAGACATTTTTGCTAACCCCATCGCCATCCCCATCCTCACCCTCATCGTCGGACTCATCATCCGCCTTCACCTTCTTCGCCGCAGCCGGACCCGCCGCTGCAGGGGATTTCTCCTTGGGGCCGAAGATAGCCGCGGGAAGCAGAACATCGTCCACTCGATATATCGCCAGATGGGTATCCGTGTAAACGGTTCCCGACACCGTCGTGTTGATCACTTCGGTCGTCACGTTGTCCGAATCCTCGCTCGCCGTCACGTTCAGCAAGAAATGGTCCCCTGACCCGGCGTGCGTCTTCAGGGGATTGCTCACTGTCTCGAATTGCTTCCTCGAGATGAATGTGGGAACGATGTGGAACTACACGAGCTGCATCTTCTCTTGCCGGTTCAATGACCGGCCGGGGGTCTTCAATTTGGTGAACGCGACGTCGCTGGGGCCGAAGATGGTGAGGCCGTTGTTGGTGTCGCCAAGCTGGGAGTTGAGGTTGAGGTGGAAATTTTAATTTTTTTAATTTTTTAATTGCCACGTCATGTATTTAACGGTCAACTATATGAGTTGACCGCCACATCAGCAAAAGTTAACGGAGACTAACTGCCAGTGACCAAACTTGGACTGTTAACCTAATTTAAGTGACTATAAATGAAATAAATTAATTTGAGTTGCAAACATGAAATTTTGTAGCAATTCGAGTGACCAAACTTGCAATTAAGCCTGGAAAAAAGGACTGTGTTGAGTATGAGTTAAACAAGAAAAAAGAAAATTCATGAAACACTGAGTTTGATACAATTCTATGTATCTGAATCCCCAATACCATAGGTCATCATCATCAGAATATTCTTTGATAAACTCTCACTTGCTTGACAATATTCAGTTAAAATCTTTCAATGACTCCCCAGAGGCTTCTGTATATGTTGTAAATTGATAAAGTCAAAATCGCGCTTTAAACTTAAAAGATTACGGTTTTATGTTTTTAGGTCACCAGAGTACTTTCGTTTTCATATAAGAACTTTAGTGTATAAAATCAAACTAAATTGCGCTTTAAAGCTTAAAAACTTACGCTTTTATGCTTCTAGTTCACCAAAATGCTTTACGCTTTTAGTTCTCTAAATGGGTTTTTTCTTCATGAAATTAATTATAAGAAGTATATTTTAAAGGTAAATTACCAATAATATGGTACATTTGAGATTAAAAGAAATATTTTATACACTTGTATAGCCAAAACTTTCACGATTGTGCCAATAATAGCCAAATTTAGAGAAATACCACTTATAGCCGGAATTTTAAAAGTTTCATGACAAATATAGCCAATTCCGTTACAAAATTTAACACCGTCAATGACACCATTAATTATTTTAACGGTATGCTTACTAGACTGCCAACTCATCGGACACGTGAACGACAACTCACCATACGATGATAGGTGGATGCCATGTCATTTTTAATTAAAATTTTTATTAAGCAAAAACAAAATAAAACAAAACAAGATCCTCAATTCCACTACAACCTCCGCCATCCCCAATTCCATCTATATCTTTCAAAACCCACCCGCCACCGGTACTTTCACAACCCACCAATCTCTACCCTCTGCTCCCATTGTCTCATCCTTCATCCCCTTCTCACCTCCATCAAAACCTAGAAAAATAATCAGAACACCCAACCCGGAATCAGACAAAAACCCTAAAAATAACTTCAAATGCAAACCGATAGGAGGCGTTTCCTTAGCTCCAACATTGTCGCTGATTCCACTGCCATCATCGTATCTGCTACCGCCGCCTTCGTGCCGTCGATGACCATCGTCGCAATCACCTGAAGTTGTCCTCTAGCCCCTTTCCTTTCTCCTCGTTGTTTACCAGAAAGTAGGAGGAAAGATGTTAGATTGGAAGGAGATCGAAAAAGGGAAAGGAGACTAGAGGCAGATCGAGATGGGAAGAGGTGGAATCGATTTGGGAATGAAACGGAATTGAAGAATCAAAGTTGTAGGTTGTCGTGAATCAGCAATGGCTGGGTGAGATCTAGGTATTGAGATATGTTAAAGGCGATTGAGATCTAGGTATTGATGCTATTGAGTTTGACAATGGAAGATGATGATGAATGGTGAGGGAAAATCAATGATGGAGCAAGGTGAAGAATACGAGGAAGTTAGGTTTTAGTTTTTGAGGAAGAAGACGACGATGGAAGACGACGATGGATATGAGATGGCGGTAGAGGTGGGGAGTAGGGAAGATAGAGGATAGGTTAGGAGTGAGGATTTTTTTTGTCTTATTTATTTTTTTGTTTTTATTTTTGCTTGTGAGTGCTTGCCACATCAACATCACTGTTTGTCCAGTCATACTTAACGTTAACACTATTAAAGAATGTGACGAAATTGACTATAAGTGGTATTTCGCCAAATTTGACTATTAATGACACAACCTTGAAAGTTTTGGCTATACAAATGTATAAAACATAAAAGAAATATACCAGGTACTTGGATGCTTTCTCATCAGCTTCAATAGAGTAATCTAATTCACTAGCCAAGCTCTTCTCACATTCATTATCATAAAGGGGAAGATGGCTTATTGTTAAGATTTATGAACTTATTATTAAGAGGCTACAAGCTGCTCTACTTTGGGCATGAATTCTAGGTATTTATTAACTTATCTAAATTATATGCACTCATATTTTTAATATTATATGTCGTACTTAACAGATTTTAGTTATTTTACAGTATGTGTCAAAATCTTACGCTTTTATGCTTTGATTCTACGCTTTACGACTTTACCCGTTCTCCAGTTCTAGGTAGAATCGCGCTTTTGACTGCATTGTTCATCACTGTTCAAAAAGAACAAGAGAAAGGGAGCATTACAAAGAACTCCTCATTGGGTTACAATAGGCCAAAAAACAGGATTCATATATGTGCTGAGCGTTCTTCTGTACGACTTTAGTAGGGATGACAATAAAACCAAGCCCGCGAGTAACCTAACCAACCCAACCCCATCAATGTGTGTAATACCCGTGTTGACTGGTTTTGGACCGGGTTCAGGTTTAAACCTGTTCATTATTCACCGGGTTAGTTTTGGGTTTAGGTATACCCGCCCCATGAATACCCGCCCACACCCATATAATTAATTTTTCGGTATATTTAATATGCTAAGCAACTAATCTTCTTTATGTTTGTGGAGACATGTCTAATTTTTTCTTTCTAATTGTGTAGAATGAAGGTGATATTATAGGGTGGAGAGTGAAGAAGCTTAATTGACAAGGAGAAAAAAGCTTTCCTTTAATCATGTTGTTTATGGATAATTTGTGATTTGCTTCAATTTTCTTGAGTTTTCTAGATTGGTGTCAAACAATTTGTATGGTTAATTTGTGATTTGCTTGAAATTTCTAGAATGGTGTTTTATATATGGATAATTTGTATTGAGAGATTGATATTTGACTTTTATTTTGATAGGAACTTGTTATTGTAAATTTTTTACTACAAAAATCCATGGGTACCCATGAACCCGCAGATACCCAGCGGGTTGGGTTGGGTTTGAGTTCTCCAAACCCAGTAAATTTTACCCCGAATTTTTTTTCACCAATAAATCATTGATTTGAGTTTGGCAAAACCAGACCCAACCCGACCCATTATCATCCCTAAACTATAGGTTCCTTCCTCCTAGCAATTCATTGTGTTTATATCATTACACTTTAGGGTTAAAGACATATTTGGTCACTGTGATTACTAAATTGTGTCAAGTTTAGTCACTAGAAAAAATTAATATCAAATTTGGTCACTCTAATTACTAAAACAGGTCACGTTTAGTCACTCTCCGTTAGTCTCCGTCCAACTCTGTTAAGGGAGTCCGTTATGTGCTGACGTGGCTAACGGAAGCGCCTAGTCAGCACCATTTTGGGTCAGAAATGGTCAAACCCAACCCGCCACGTCACTAAACCCGCCATGTCATACACCCAATCCATTAACTCAACCCGACCCAAAACCAAACCCTCACCCACTTAAACAAAACAAGATTGGAAAATCGATCGGGTTAGTGGCCATTTCAGACCAAAACCCTTTCTCCTTCCTCGCTTTGCTCCTTTCTTGAATCAATCCCCCACAAATAAATCCCCAAATTCGTCAAAAACCGGAATCCCTAGAAGCACGTACGTTCGATTGAAGCAAGCTGGCGATAGCTCGATGGAAGATCCAGATTAAGAGTACCCAAAACTCGACAAACTGGCAGGTGACTTACTCTAAGCGCCGCAAAGGGCTCTTCAAGAATGCCAACGAGCTCACCGTCCTCTGCGACGCCAAAGTCTCCAGCACCGGCAAGCTCCACGAGTTCATCAACCCCGCCGCCACGTCAGTCTACATCACCTCTACTTTCATTCAATCTCTCCCTTCCTCTCTCCGAAACCCTAGATTCCCGATTCCAGATGAGAGCGAGCTGAATCCGAGTTGATCAGTCTTCGTCTTCGTCTCGGGAAGTTTCATTCCAAGCTTGGATAGCACAATTTTTCAGTACCAGTGAGCTCTCGACGTAGACATCTGGATTACTCACTATGAGGTCCGATCTCTCTTCATCTACTTCTTCCCTCCTGTCATCTTCCATGTTTGCTGAACGAGAGGACGGACCTCACTCTCCCTCTCCCTTAATCAATCTCTTTGTATGAGTGCAGAAGATGCAAGGTCAATTGAAGGAGATTTTTTATGATGAATTTGGGGATTATTTGGTGGGGGAATTGATTCGAGGAAGGAGAAAGGGTTTTGGTCTGAAATGGCCAATAACCCGATCGATTTTCCAATCTTGTTTTGTTCAGTGGGTGAGGGTTTGGTTTTGGTTCGGGTTGGGTGTATGACATGGCGGGTCGGATTTGACCATTTCTGACTCAAAATCGTGCTGACTAGGCGCTCCCGTTAGCCATGTCAGCACATAACGGACTCCCTTAACGGAGTTGGACGGAGACTAACGGAGAGTGACTAAACGTGACCTGTTTCAGTAATTAGAGTGACCAAATTTGATATTAATTTTTTCTAGTGACTAAACATGACACAATTTAGTAATCACAATGACCAAATGTGGCATTAACCCATTAGACTTTAGCATAGAAACGATATGAATGGCGCAATCATCAAGTTTTGCAAACCCATATAATGTTTTGATGGGTGATGAAAAAATGACTCACCCCCCACTCATTTACACCATTATGCGTCATTATGTGTGGATTGGGTGATGAGGGTCGAGGGATGGTATGTAGGTTTGACGGTTTTTTTTCAAATATCAAGATAGTTATAGATCATAAAAGATACAGTAAGGTAATTTAATATAAAAGTTGCAAAATTCGAGAAGGCTGATAACCGTTGAGCATAGTTTGTAGCATAATCTAACACCAATAGTCTCATTCGCGAACAAAAACATGTCATAGATAGTTTTTTTTTTAAAATAATCGACATATAATTGTTCTTGTAAGTCAAGCAAACTTTATAAAATTATTATCATGTAATCGAATTAATCACCATCAATGTAGTCAAAATTGTGCTTTAAGTTTAATTTTTTTTTTTACAATTTTAGATCCAGAACGCTTTTACGTAAAATCATACTTTTGACTATATTCATCACCATTAAAACATTTTGATATAGAAAAGAGATCAATGTATTATTATAAAATGTAGATTAGGTTCTCAATATACGAGCAACTTTTCTTTTATGTGTACAGAAGAACTATGAAATTACTTCTTAAAAATAATTAGTAGCTAAAATGACTAGAAAATTACAAAATTTAAGAAACAGTTGCTAAATGGTGTATATGTAAATGGATTATAAGAATTTATATATTCTATTATTATTTTAACCTTATCCAAAGTTTATGGGCCCACAGGATTAATAACCACTAACTAAACTGAGCACGTAGGGGTAGTGCACAAAATCTGTTTCAGTAAATGCGAAAAATTAGCAGGGTAGTTAGGTTGTAACTTGTAAATGGATTATAAGAATATATATATATTTTTTATTATTTATATTCCACGTCATCCAAAGTTGCTGGGGCCCACTGCAGTCGGGAACGGCGACGAGACGACGACCCTTTTTCCTTCCCTTTATAAGCTTTCCCCTTCTGTTAGCCGCAACAAACCAAGAGAATCAGAGAGTCTCAATCATTGGGAGACCGACGTATCAACCAGCCAGAGAGGAAGCCATCGCCATTTCCCCTCTCTTCTTCTTCTTCCTCTGCTCTATCTGCTTCAGAAGATCGAAATTCTTCGGCGGGAAGCCGATCCAGAGAAGTTCTTGCTACCATGCTGACTACCGCTGTTCCCATTCACGCGCCGCCGGTGCTCTTGACCTCCCCGGCCTCCTCCAGAAGCATTCACAAGAAGCTCTCCACTGTCACCTCTTCTTGGAGAATGCACGAATCCAACGACGATTTCTCCTCTCTTTTTCTGTTTCTTTGCTTGGTTCTTTCTGTTCCTTCTTTTCTATCTGGGAATTGGGTGGGAAATTAGTGACCGCCAGCCATTGGTTCGATTTTTTTTCTTCTTTTCTTTCTCTGGAATTCCCTGATTCTGTTCTTGTTTGGACATCTTTCGTCCGAGTTTTTCAGGTCGATGAATTCTGGGGCTTTCCAGACCAAGAAAATGGAAGAGCTTTCGTTACCCGTACATCACCCCGCAGCTTTTGATCCAAAAGGGGACGACACGCCCAAGCTGCCTGATCTGCGCTTTGATCGCCTGCAGATACCCGAGCAGGATTTGGTGGACGTTGACAAGATGGAGTTCGGGAAGTTCGTTGCTAGAGAGGCTTTAATTGATGAAGAATACTGGGTAAAGCCCTCTTTCTAATTCTATACATTGTTTCCCTGTTGATTCCCCCCGTCTGGGTTCTGCTGCAATTGGGGTTCCTTCATCTGGGTTCTGTTTGTTTTCTGGAAGGAAACCTTTAGAATCATCTTGTTATCCCTCGCACTTCTTGTTTTGATTCCTGTCCACAGTATCATGATGTGATCGTGGGCCATTGAAGTTAATCTGATACTAAGCAATGACTCCAATGTTTGCTTCTTGTAATTGCCGCAGATAGCAGCCTTCATGCGAGCTTGTAACCACTGGGCGGATCGAGTTGAATACAGGTACGGTAAAATCCGTCGAAACTGCCTTTTACTGATTCTCAATTTCTGTATTGTTATGGTCCTCTTCCTTGATTCTTGTTCATGCCGTTCTTGTCCACTTGCTGGTTCAAATTGATCGCCTTTCACTTGAAAACTTGACTGTAGTGCATTTGGAATTGAATGGTTCATTGTTAAGGTTAAGACCAGTATTCAGATCCTTAATGATTTTGGCCTATATCTGATGAACACAGATTTGCTCGTAATCTGAGGATCAAATATGTGATTGAGGTAGCATTTGTGGACTTTTCTTTACTCTTCTTCAGTTGGCTTCTTCTGGTGTAAACAAGGATTCCGCTGAATTATCTATTTACTGGCTCTGTTTCCTTAATTGGTGGCAGGAGTTCCTGGCCATTAGAAGGCGATCCATTGGTCCATTTGGCCAACAGCCTAAGTGCATAATCACAGTACGTGCTTCCTTCGTCTAGAGTTTTATTTCTTTGCATAGCAGCAGGAGGGGAAAACATTACAAAGTCATCCTCGTTGTTTCTTTTCTTAGCTGAGAAAGCAAGTTGGGATGGTGAAACCCACACTACTGTTCAGTGTGGTTGGGACTCTGGACTTGAGCATCCGCTGGTTTCTGCCTGGAGAGATCTTCCCTGGGGTATATGGAAAGGCTCCTCACTTTTGCAACATCGGCGGAGGACAAGACGACAGATACGGTTACGTCTCTGACTTGGTGGTCGCGACGTTTGCTCGTCGTCTTGGGATAGCAACTAACATGATGCAGTTTGCAATTGAAACGGCCAAGTCTAATGGTAGGTATTAAAATCACAGGATATAAACTTAGAAATGGCTCGTTATTACAGTTCATGCGGCTTAAGTTGTGAATATTGTTGATTCCTGTGGCAGGTGTGCAACTTATGTTCGTTCATGTGGACAGAAACAACAAACTTGCACTGCAGTTTTTTGAGAAGATGGGATTTGAGGTTAGTCCAGTAGCGAACCATTTATCAGTTGCTGCCTAGTTACTCAGCTCGGTTCTCATTCGTTTGTTTGTCGGTCTTTCCGACTTCGATTATATGTCTGCCAGATGATTGAAGAGGCAAGTGAAGGACTGGTGAAAGACAACACTTACCTCCTACGTTGCATTTTGTAAAGATGAGTACAGATTTGGTGATACTGGAAAGGAGTTTAGTGTACAGAGCAGAGAACCAGCACTGCATAGGCCAGAGTTTATTACTAGTTTTGGCAGGAACTTGATCTGATAGTGTATGTACAACCTTAGATTGGAAATTCAGCACCAATCTCAGCGCAAGCATTTCTTGAGAGGGAAGCACACCAATACCATGTATGGATCTATTACAGTTTCAGAACAGTATTTCGTACATAAAGTTGATTGATGTTCATTACTTGCTACCAATGACTACTTCAGTTTAATACAAATACATGCCGTCTCATTCGATTCAATCATAAACTGCAGCATTTGCTATTGGTAAAGACAAAGAAGGTTACTTGCACCCTTCAATTCTTCATCCCAATGATTTCCACTAGAGTGACCACTTAGTAGCACATCTGTCAGCTATTCCAGAAGAAAAACACAATCACCCATATCAGGTGTTTCAAATGAGATGGAAAAATTGTGTTTTGGCTTATATGAAGCCAAAATGAAGAACCAAGCTGGCAAATTTGATAATTCCTTCCGCTGCCGCGATTTATTTCACTGACTTCTTCCACCAATCGCTAGTACCGCTTCAGGAGAGGAGAAGCACCTTCTCCAAATCATTATTTTCCAATATGCCAGTTGATGTTCTCTCTTGAGGTTGTTTCTTTCCGAAGAAATATAGCGACCGGGACGATCTGGGATATGCGAGTATAGAAGTTCTTTGACGAGGAGAATTACCTCGGACGATTTTAGTTACAGGGAAAGAGATGAAGCAGGTGCCAAGGAGCTCATTCGCAGCTTTAGTAGATGCTGTACCTGGGAGTCGCCCCAAGCCTGCTGCAACTGTGAAAAACCCAGAAGAAAGATAATGCAGGAAAATGGTCAAGATTGGAATCCCGGCAGAAAAAAACCAGAATTGGGATTGTCCTTAGATGGACTATTCTCATTAAGCAGCATCCTGAGACGAGAAATGAGCCCTCAACCATGTTCACCCCTGGTTGCTTCATCAAGTAGTCACTTGACGTGACGAGCAATTAGCAGAATCATTGATCTTGTTTGGCCCAAAGCAATGAGCAATTAGCAGAACCACTGATCAGACAAGACAAGGAAGCATCGGTGTAGCATAATGGCTCAGTAGATAAATATGTCACGAATATGAGAAATCATAGGCCAAAGTTCCCCCTTCTCTTGTTGACATCTTAGCCTTAGCAATGGGCACATGATTATAGATAAAAGATGAAGACAAGATGGAAGCTTCTCATTTGGTATGAATTCAAGCTCAGGGCAGTTCTTGATCTTCAGCCTTTCGAGAGAGGTTAGGTGTCGAAAACATCTGGTGTCAAGAGACTTGAGATTTTGCAGATCACTCATTTCAAGTGATGTCAGAGTTGGAGGCAGCATTGCCTCATCATGAGGAAAGGACTCCATTGCTATGTCCGAACCAATGGACAAATGCAAGAGTGCGGGTAGTGACTGCAGGTTCCAATTCCGACGCCATGCTATGAGCTGACAGCAACCATAGATCTCAAGTGATTGTAGCTTGGAGGGCAGACCCCCTTCAGGAAAAGACTCGAGTTCCGGACAGTCAGTTAATCGCAGTAGCAGAAGAGAAGGCATAAGTGAGTGCATCTTTTCAGGGAGTGACTTCAGCTTCAAGCAACTTTGCAAGAGTAGTTGTGTCAAGTTTGGTGCAAGCAACCCACCCTTTGGAAACGACACCAAATTAGGACAGTTGGAAACTTCCAAGGAGTCTAGAGAACTAGCATCACTGCAAATTGTGCTGTCTGCAACTTCTAAAAGGGACTCTAGACTATCACAGTAACGGAGGGAGAGCATCTTTAGTTTGGGGAACGCGTGCAGAGGAAAGTGTGTCAGTGAGTTAGATCTACAAATCTCAATCTCTTCTAAAGCAGTGGAAAGGCCATTTACTAGCTCCAAACTGTGCCGAGGCGGATGATGACAGAAGAATCTAACAACTTGAAGGTGTTGTGGCCTAATAGTAGCAAATCTGTTCAACCACACATCTCGGTGATCATCCACTAAATGCATGCAGTAGGTGGCCCGATCACTTGGAATTGTAGCCATGTTTAGTTGCTGGCACCCCTCAATAACTAGGGTCTCCAAGCAAGGGAGCTTGCTAGGCATTGCTTTGGAAAGGTTCGGACAGTCTTTTATGTAAAGCTGTTCGAGGACAGGGAATGCTCCACTTCCAATTCGGCCAGCACTATTCCACTCTTGCCAATTTTCCATCTTTTCGAAGAGCAGAGTTTTCAAAGATCCAAATGATTTCTTCCCCATAGGCAAGCTCCCGTAGAATTCGGGTCCAACAGCTAAAACAGCATCAAATGCTACAATCGAGAGGTTCTTTAAGGAGCCTAATTGGCCAAGTGGCGGTAAGGAGGAGCAATGCTTACACCCCCTCAGTTCAATAGATGCCATGGTTGAGAAAGAAAAGTGTCCTAGCCAATCAGGAAACCTTGTTCCTCCATAACCAATGATGGAAAGACTCTCTAAGTTTGTAGTTGGCTGCAACTGCTCCAAAACAACTCTTTCATGTACTGAATCATCTGTGTTACTGTTCCAGACAAACTTTAGTAACTTAAGGTATTTCTTTCCTTTCAAATTAGCCAGAGAAGCATCTCGAACATCATTAACAAACTGAAGATTCCATACAGTAAGTGATTCATGAAGATAATGAAGCTGTCCCAACTCCTTAATAGTAGATCCGCTTCCTTTACCAAGAACAAAATCAGTCAACTTCCTGAGGTTTGAGAGTTTACCCATTTGTGACGGCATCTCCTTCAGTTTTGTCTCTCCATTGTTAAGATAATGTAAGTTGATTAAGCAGCTGAAAGATTCAGGTAAATTCCTTATTGATGTTCGAAAGATATTCAAGTGCTGCAGCTGCTTTAACTTGCCAAATGAATCAGGCAAAAGAGTTAGCTTTCTGCAGTCATTCAATATCAGAGTCTGCAAATTGTATAAGCTGCTCACTGAATCATACAGCTTCTCTATATGCGTTCCTGATAGATTAAGATATCTCAAGTGTTTCAAGCCGCCTACTGAAACTGACAACTCAGCCACATCATAACCAGAAAAAGACAGTACTCTCAAGCGCTTAAGTGAAGATAGTAGATTGTTCACTACCTCACCTTCAATAGATTGAGTCCAATCGCTTAACAAGTCTGCCCAACCCACAGGCAAATCTTTTCCCAATTCAGTGCACTCGAGGCTTCTACTCTTCCAACTCCATCCTCGATGGAGAGGAAGGAAAGTACGCAAAGAAGGATATCTGCTGATGGCCTCAAACTGTACGGATGGACTGTAACAAGCGGTCTCAAGTGACACATGACGAGTCATTTGAGAAACCTTCCACGAGTCACTGCCCTCTAACCTAAAGCACAACTCCCCCGACACAAATTTGGCTAAGTCATGGATAAGGTCGTGCATTGTGACACAAGATTTATCAATAATTGATTGCTGAAAAAGGGATCTCGAGATAAGATCATGAAGGTACTGCTCTCCTATTTCTTCAAAATTACTATGCCCTCCAGGCTGAATCAGAAACCCCTCCGCCATCCATAAAAGGACCAATTCATCCTTCCTGAACTCATAATCCTCTGGAAAAAGAGCACAGTAAGCAAAGCATCGTTTGAGATGAGAGGGAAGATAATAATAGCTCAACTTTAGTGCCGGGAGAATCTTGTTACTTGACAAGTCCCATAGATTGCTATTCAGGACCTTCTCCCATTTGTAGACATCTCTTTCTGAGTGCAAGAGACCTCCAAGTGTTTTTGCAGCTAAAGGTATGCCTTTGCACTTTCTTACTACTTCTCGACCAACTACTTCCAGATGAGGGTAATCAGCAAACTCATGAGCATCACCAAATGCATGTCTTGAAAACAACAGCCAGCAGTCATCATTATCAAGCTGATTCAGGTGATAAATGGAGCGAGTTCCCATGACTGAAGCAACGTGTTGGTTGCGCGTGGTCACTATAACCTTGCTTCCTTTAGCCCCAGACTTGAATGGCATCTGCAAAATGTCCCATTTCCCATCCTCGTCAATCCAAACATCATCAAGAACAAGTAGAAACCTCTGGCCTTTCAAAATCCTTTTCAACTCAAGCTGAAGCTGATTAAAGGTGCGGATGTCACAGGCTTGCCGAGTCACCTCTTCAATCACATCTTTGGTAACCCCGAACACGTCGTATTCTTCAGAAACACAAACCCATGCCTGATAACCAAATCTCTCCTTAATCCTCTCATCATTATACACGAGCTGAGCAAGTGTGGTCTTACCTATCCCACCCATCCCCACAATCAAAACAACCTCTAAATCACTACTCCCTCGATCATCTGAAATCAGTCGATCAACAATGGCTTCCTTATCGGCATCCCTGCCATAGACATCACATTCCTGTACAAGAGAAGTTGTGGGTATTCTGAGCAGTGACTGCTTACTCCCACTGCCACTGGCTTCACGGGCATCGTGTTCCCTCAAACCAAGGGCATCCTGCTGGCTAACTAGGTCTTGCAGTCTCTCAATGACATCTTTCAACTTCTCCTCGCTACCTTTCTGAAATGGGTTGTAAGAAGCTAAGAGGTTCCATACCTTTCTTGGGTTGGTCTGAGCTGCAGATTCTGATTCTGATTCTGATCTGAGAGCTTCATACCCAATCTCGTCCAGTAAGTCATCCGCTTCGTAGACAGCATCCTTGAGCTCGTTGAGCCACTTCTCCACCGAGGACTTGATGATCTGCTTCTCCTCGGCATCGTCGAGAACTCCGTTGACCGAATTAAGCACGGTCTTGAGCTTTCTCAGCAACTTGTCGTTGAGGTTTTGCCGCTTGCAGAAGCCAAGGAAGTGCGGAGATGCCATCCTGTCAAACAGGACTTGGAGGAAAGCCGAGAGGAATGATCCTCCCACCACCGCAGCAGCCATCCTGTCAAACTGGATTTTAATCAATATTGTTTTTGTTGCAAAGAGTGGGGAGGAGAGCGTTGCAGAAAACGTACAGCGTAGCTCACTGCTGCTGCGATAAGAACACAAAATCAGATAGATAAGAGTTTGGGGCACAGACGGTTGATTTCTTTATCCCATAGAAGCATGTAAATGTAAAGCCCTCTGCATTTCTTTTTCCTTTTAATGTTTCCCGGGAAAAAGAAAAGAGTCAGCGGAAGATCATTCAGCGGTTAGATAGATGACGATTAGATGTGAAAATCAAGATTGCTTAACCAATTATACCTATATAATCCACTGATATTGGAAATTGCTATCATCATTTCAACTATCTACCATATAAACTCAATTAGCTCAACTCATGAATTTTCGTCAAATTAGACAGTCAACATCATTGATCGTTAGCAGGGCCGTCCCATAAAATTTGAAGATCCAGTTCGACAATTTAAAATGTGGTCGCAAATTTTTTTCTCACAAATTTTTTGAAATAAAAATTACATAAGTTCAGAAAATGATTACAAAAGTAATCATATTATTACTGTCCATCCCTACTATCCATATTAGAATTGGGTTTGAATAATTCATATTTAGGCGTTGTATCATTTTGAAAAGTTGAAATTTTTTGAGAAAAGGGAAAAAGAGAGGTATTAAATACTCTAACGTTTAGTTTAAATTCATCAAATAACCTCTAGTTCAGTTGTGTAATCTAGTTTTGATGAAAAGAAGGCCTACGGTTCGATTCCCTTGCCCGCCGGTTACAGTCTTTGTATGTGATTTTTGTGTGGGAGTTGTTGCCCGCCCAACTGGGCCTCTGGACTCTTATGAATTATGTCTACGGTTCGATTCCCTTGCCCGCCGGTTGCAGTCTTTGTATGTGATTTTTGTGTGGGAGTTGTTGCCCGCCCAACTGGGCCTCTGAACTCTTATGAATTATGTTTTGTGTGGGGGTTAGAGATGACAATGGGTCGGGTTTTGCCAAACCCAAACTCATGGGTTTATCTGTAAAAAAATTCAGAGAATAATCCAATGAGTTTGGAAAACTCAAACTCAACCCAACCCGCTGGGTATTCGCAGGTTCATGGGTACCCATGGATTTTGTGGTAAAAAATTTACAATGACAAGTTCCTATCAAAATAAAGTCAAACATCAATTTCTCCATACAAGTTATCCGTACAATAAAATACGAGTCTAGAAAATTCAAACAAATCACAAATTATCCATACAAATTCTAAATTAGATTGAGGAAAATTAGAATTAGGGTAGAGTTTGGAGAGAGTAGGCGATGAAATAAGTGTGGGCGGGTACCCATGGACCGGGTATCCCTAAACCCAACCCGGTAAAAGTGTAACGAGTTTAAACCTGAACCCAGCCCAAAACTCGCCAACATGGATTTTGCCCGCCTTGACCGGGTTGGGTCAGGTATGATACCCATGTGTTCGGATTTTGTTGCCATGTGGCAGCCCAAGTGGGCCTCCAAAATTATGGATTATGTGGGTCTTGCTGGCCCAAGTGGGCCTCCGGATTTGTGTATTATGAAGCTTCAAATATAAAAGTTTTGGCGTTTAGGTTAAATATTATATTTAAGTATGAGTATTTGTTATGTTGTATTTTATTTAAATATAGATACAGATTGTAAGCAAATTATCTTTTTAAATTCATATGATGGTAATGAGTTTTCACATTTATACATAATTTATTTAACGACACATCGGTTGTACCGCTCATCCAAATCATTTCACTACTAAACCTATGCAACGATATAAATTGGTTTCGCAACCTAGATTCGGATAAATTCTTTTTAACAAAAACAAAAAATAGAATATAACATCTTATTTTTTCGACATATTGACTAAAATGTATACCATGTACGAGTTAATAAAATTCTTTATAGGAAGTGTGAAGGGCAGTTCACTTATTTAATACGAAATCTTTTCCTAATCGCTCAAAATCTGTACTCTTTTTTTTCCCTCGAAAACATTCCAACTCGACAATCGAACTATCGAAGTGGGTTACATAACTTACATTACAAGGCTCCCTCCTCCACCCTTTTTGGAACGTCCGGCGCGCTTTTACAGGATTTTACGACTTCTGCTGCGTTCTGCATTCCCTAATCAGTCTCTTTTTCTACCAACCGTTGGCTGCAACTTATCAAGGTAGCTTCTTCAATTGCAGTAAAAAAAATATATAAGCTACAAAAACTAACACATCTTACAGTTTCAAACAATGAACGCCATAGCCGAGCTGATCGAAAGCTTATGAATGCGAAATGTCAGATGGACCTCATGGGCCATGGCTGTTGATGTGGATGATCGTTTTCCAACATGGTAATACTGCTACCATACTGAGGCTAGCTTATAAAAGTATACTATACTGAGGCTTTCTATTCTCCTACTCCTGCATCTGCTACATACTCCACACAAGCAGCCTCTCTATGGTCAGCCACCCGTCCTTTTCTTGAACAAAACGTCGAATCATCCACCATAACCAAAAGACTCACTATCGATGATATCGAAACTTCGGCAGAAAGGAATATGCAGCCTATACCTTGAACCTGCTTTATGGATTGCCTCGGGCCATACTTCAGTTGCCTTTGACCTATTTGTAAGCTAAATGTACTTTAGCTAGAACGCAAAATGACACTCTTGTGTAGTAGCTATGCATTAGGACGACTCCCAGATCTTGTAATCCCTTCCCTCGAGAGCCGGTGACCATTTGCGTGGGCCATTAGGGGGTTCGAAATGGCCTGGACCAATCTTCACTGCTATTTTCTTGTCGATGATGGCTGCGTACACATCTCTTGCTGCCTTGGAAATTTCTACCTAAAATATGCAAACCTAAGCGGTTAGTGCTTGTGATTTTGTATACTTTTTATTTGCGATAGACTGTTTTTGAATACAATTCCATGTGGTCATTTCAACATATCTTGGATAGCATTAGGTGGAATACTGGAAGCATGGAGTTTCGAGGCACTTACCACACTGCGGCAATGGATTTTGTGGCGGTTTCTGAAAGCGATGAGAGCAGCAATTTCAGATCGATAATTAGAGGAGTAGATGTGGTCAAAGAATACTGCAGGTGTTCCTGGGTGAGTCAGGATGTAGGCATATCCTTGCATTTCCTTTCCACCTGGGAATCTCCAGTGACCCTATGAAATTCAGCAGAATTCAGAGATAGCGCGAGCATGAAATATATGTCGGACTTTCTTTCTACGTAGGAAAGCAAATGCTGTCATACACACTAAGTTGCTTCATAAATCAATCGTACCACTATCTGAGACAAGACAATGAACTACATGATGGAGTTGGCTTAGTGATAATGAGTAGATGAAACATCTAGTCCATTCTACATTTGAAACTCTTAGACCCAATAACACGTTCTTCTCTTGAAAGAAACATATTGGTGGCTAATGCTTCCAGATACCAATGGGGGAGCACATCACATCTATTTTTTTTCTTAAGATCAATACTTAGCCATAAACTCTCATTTTTAAAAAGTATATAAACAAAAGGATCTTTGCGTACTAGTCTCCTTCAATAGTCAGAGTACTTATGTAATTGTCTTATGATGCTTCCACATAGTCAATAAAGAAAAAGGAGCAATTCAAATTCAAATGATATATGTTTATGTACCTGTGTTGAGCCAGTGTCATGATTCTCCACAAATGTAACAGCACGAGATGGCCACCATCCAACAACTCCTGGAGGCTTTCCCTTCTCATCTGCCAAACGCCAGTACTCGCATCTTTCCAGTGCCTGCACGAAATAGATATTCCCTCTAAGACTAAGGTAGTCTGCACCTAGTAACACATAATAAAAAGCCAAACTTCCGTCGTATACTATTCACTCCTTTCTTCTGCCGAAATGAGGCAATAGCGATAACATTTAATTAGATAATAAATTATGTACTTTCCGGTGTAACAACGGCACATCTTAGCCATCACTCTGCAGAAAAATATGATGACAGCTTTATGAGAAGAAATTATTGGGGGCTCACCTCATGAAGCACCCCTTTTGTGGTGACATCAAATGCACCCGCAGATCCACTTGTCGCGTTTATCCAATCAATAATTCTTTGTCGATGTGCATCTTGATTGTGATCCATTTCACCATAAGTATAACTGAGGGAATCCCAATACTCGCCAACTGCAAAATAAGGACTGGTTGCATCCATGTAATCCTTTACATAGCCACCCCAAAACCCTCTAACAAAATCAAGGCGCCAACCATCATAACCAATTTCTTCTCTGCACATCAAAAAGAACTGGTAGATTAGCAGTGTCATGTTACACGGTGATGATGATGATCATCAATAACAGAGCAAAGAGATAATACTAAGACCATCTCCATCCCTAAAATTGGTTAGCAATTTTTAATCATGGTCCCTACCACCACATCATCAAATCTAGTAATTTTTAACCTAACAAGTTCTACTCATCAACATCCCTAAAATGTGTTAGCAATTGCCAAAGTGGATCCCATTTATTATTTCAAATCTACCGAAACACTTATCAATTGAAAAGTTAATAAGCAAGAAAACAGAAAAAGAAAATAATTATCTATGTGGCATTTCTAGAAGAATTGCTAATTTAGCAATCTTGCTAGTTTAGAAAGAACTCTTCCATCCCTAGCCATTGCTAAGTTTTTGCCACCTAAGCTCCACCTCACCTTTGGCAATTGCTAAAATTTGGGGATGGAGATGGTCTAACACAAGAAAGATAAAAAGGAAAATCGAATATTCACCTTAGCCAGCTCATCCATTCTTTTATATCTTTCCTCACAAAATCCTGAGAGTGATCAATGTTTGGGGCAGCATGAAAGTTGTCCCCACTGCTCTTGTTTCCCCTACCCTGTACAAAGGAAACAAGGGTTATACATCTTATACCAAATATGTCAGGCAAAGATATACTGCATTGCATCTCATTTACAAGTTGGATCAGAAGCATCAAGCTGAAATTACAAGTCACACAATCAGTATTATGATTATCCTTCCAATGCGTGTCCCTTGATTCATTTGCTAAAATACGAAACAAGAGTCGCCAACTTTTTGTAGAAGAAAAATAAAATATCGATGCAGTATTTGAACAATGCCGTATCCTTTTATTCTCCTAATTCTAGCGCTTCTGAAAGAGTCTTTTAGAAGGCGAGTAGTGTACTATAGGTTATCATACAATTTTAAGTACCTGGAAATGTGGATCATCAGCAACAATTGCTCGATCATCCCAATTTAAGCGACCACCAAAGATGTTCCATATTCCATTTTGGTTCTGATACTGAGCACATCGATGGTTTAGGACAGCATCTCCAAGAACTTTGAGGCCTGATTCATGAAGCTTTCCGACAAGTTCCTTGAGCTCATAAATGTTTCCATATCTGTTGGTATACAAGGTGTAGAAACTGATTGGTTTGCTATGGAAATACTGACAATCTTGCTGAAGTGTTTCTAGTTAAGAATAAAAGATATGCTCTGAATAGAAATAGTAGCACTTTTCCGATAAATTGTTCAGAATAAATTTGTCCAACGGAACATGGGTAGAGATCATTCGTTTGGCACCATGTTTAAGCCCCCTTGTCAAGGAAAAGTCAAATTGACTATTTCTCATTTAAAGCTTGTCAAATTATGTTAAAAAAATAAGCAAGAGTTTAAAGTTCAATTCCAACGAACAATTGATCCCATTGGTCTCTGACTGAGCCATGTAAAAGTAATTGCATGAAGAGTATGACAATCCATATCAATAGTTCATGGAAAGTACCTGGAGTTCAAATTATACAGATCCTTTGGCATGTAGCCTTCAGGTGACACTGACTCTGTAGGTGGAGGCAACCACACAACTGTGAACCCAAGTGAAGCTATATCTTCTGCCTTCTCTTTGAGCTCCATATACCATCTTCCAGATTTATGGGATTCCCAATTGAACCCCTGAAGCACTATTTCATAACCACTCCCAGTACCAGAGCTCTTTTTAGGAGGCGATTTCTCCAGCTCTTCTTCATAAACAACCTCTTCTTTGAAAGTTGGTATGGAGCTTCTGAAGATGCTGTAGGCTTCAGCAGCCAATTTCTCAATCTCCTGAAGTATGCTTTCTTGTGCTTCTTTAGTTTTCACCTTCCGACTGTTGTCAGAAGAAATTCCACTCACCAAGTTCCTTATTTCTTTAATTATCTCATTAGTGAAGGCAGTATCAGAACCTTGATTTTGATCTAGAGCCTTTACAGAGACTGGTGAATCTTTAGCGTGTTCCTGAGTGAACTGAGCAAGCAAGCTACTTGAACTTGAGAGTGGGACATAAAAGTCATTTCCCTTACATTTCAACCAAGTATTATCATTTAGCTTGAGTACAAAAAGAAAGCCTGCAAGACCCTCATCCAAGGTAAATAACCCCGAACATCCACGTCCATCCTCCTTTGCCTGAAAAGTAAGACAAGGAGTTTCAGAAAACAAAATAGGACATAGTCAATAATTATTACAAAGTACCAAACCATTGATCAAAATTGTCAGAAAATAGAATATTAATGGATCTGGGAAAGCCAAATGTTCTGAGAAATTGCAACTAGTTATGCTAAGAAATTTCAGTTTTTCTGTCTTGTGTCATTCAAAAGCATATCCAGCTCCTCACCAGTCACCACTACAAGTAGGAAAAAAACAATGTGCTTTTGTATCAGTAATGTCAGAAAATGTGCAAATGTTATTAGGTAATGCGGAATATTACTTATCGGCTTATCTTTTGATGAAACAGATATCTTCAATCATTGAAACCATGGACATACTCTTTAATCTGAAAATTCACCACCTATACTTTATTCATACCTGCAACAAAGTCCGCAAAGCCTTCTCCTTGAATATAACTGTTTCTGGTGGATGAGGGCCAGGTGGAATTTCCCAATTTTTAGCAGCATCTCTGCACACTCCCCAGTGAACAACAACTTCAGGTAGATCAGTTTCAAGATAAAGGAGATTCTTAGACGTCTCAGGGCACCTTCTAACTGAAACAGTAACAGAGTTTTCTATAGCAGTATGTTTGGCAATGGGCTGCTCTTCATAAATCCCTTCTACTTTCCTCTCTTCCTTTTTAACATTGTTGGGCTCCTGGGTATGGTCTTGTGTTTCTGGTTTGAGCAATATGTTGGAAAAGAAAGGCCCTAGGATTCAAAGTAAGCCATTAGAAGCAATTAGTACACGAGAAAACAGACATGGGCAAAAGAAAACCATATGGAGACAGATGATGAGAACCATCCAACTGATCACCCACCGTTGTCAACAATCAAAACTGCAAGACTGATCCACAGCTGAACTAGAATCATACTAACTAGTTTTAATTCCAATGACCATTCACATACATGACTATACATCATAAGAAATTTTGATTCAGGAAATATTTATAACGATTCTAACAGTCATGTTGATTCAGTTTCAACCTGGCCAAATATTGAAGCTGTTTGCGCCAAATACAGTGCCATCTTCAAGAAGGTAATCTACGAGAGGCACCTTAAAATCTCTTCCCTTATGTTGATACCATGCTCCAGTTTCTTGATCCTATAAAACATTACAACCGACATAAATGGAAGAAGCTAGCAACTCCAGCACTTACATGTGGTGACAAGCATATCAAACATTAAAGTAAAACTGGCGAAAACAAATAGACCTTTAGGACGAAATTTATGGCAGCAATTGCACTCTTGGGATCAATATCAATCTTCACTTCATAAAATGAATCATCACCAGATGCTTTCTTTAAAGGTGTCTCTATTGCATAATTCTGCGGGGAAAAAACCATGGTTCATGGTTTGTAGCTCAACTAAAAAACTGCACTGCAGCCAGCACTGGAATATCATGAATCAACAATTATTTACCTTGACTGGTACGGAACCAGAAGGTCTCATATGCTTTGGAGGTTGATCCCATTCGCTGAAATAGAAGAAACAGACTACATAACTGATTTTCTAGGTGAATATGAACCAAAACCAAGAAACAGTACATAATTCCATAAGGGAAAAAAGGCTAACAAATAACACTCTTGTGAAAATCAATCAATCAATCAATCTAGCTATTAAAAGAGATCTAATAAGTCAACAGCAACTTTCCTAACCTGCCAATATCATTAACATAAGAGACTCCCCAATGAAGAATCCATTTCCCAGGAAGGCTACATCCCACAGTCAGATGCCAATTACCTTTCCCGTTTTCCTGATCTATGCGCACAAAAATCTTCCCTTCAACCTATCATTCCAAACCAAACCAAACGTCAAATTTTCAGCAAGACCGCACGCTACTCAGAATGCACAATGCATCATCTCACTTCAACGGCACAATACAAAAGAATCAGAGGAGCCAAACTTTGTTGCAGATACCAAAGAAGTCGATTAAGCTTTACAAAAACCTAGCACCGCATCCGCATCATTTCTTCAGCTTTATCAACGATCAAAACAAACAATGAACAGACAAGGAAAATGGAGAAGTTACCGTTTCAGTTCGGGTGACAGGGAAGCTGTGCCGGAAAAACACATCTCCGGAGGACTCGAAAGTCTCCGCGAGCGCAGTATTAGAAGAAGAAGAGCTACTAGCTTTGATCACGACGGGAGCAGCGGGCCGACGACGCAGACGTAGCTTGCATTTCCCGCGATGAAACAGCTTCTGCCGCGAACAATTCAGCGAAGAAGAAGAGTAGCAGGAATTCGCAACCTTCCGGAGTCCAGAAACCTCCGTCCGGTGGTGATATCGGAGGAGTGGCTCAACGGTGACGGAGGACATTGCCGTACGCGGCGATCAGACTCGGAGAGAGAAAGATTTTTTTTTATTTTTTATAAATGAGGCCAGGGGAGGCGACGGCCGGTGGTTATCTTATTGGCTTTCGCTTAAAATCTCGCTAAAGCTAACTTTTCAACTTCTCGAAAAGCAAAATCTCCCTTTTTTTTTTATTTTCTCGTTTCGTCCGTTACTGAACTTGCGAAATATTCAGGGCGAGCTTCCCGCTCTTGCTGTTGCTGACTATAACCAGCCAGCGAATCTCGTTACAGGTGCCGTCTAAGCTACCAAAACGGAGGTACCTGGCGTCGTTTTAAGGCCCGTGAATACTTGGTACTGGTAGTGTACTTGGGCACTGGGCCGTGCCGCCCACGAGCTAGCACGGCACGGCACGACACGATTAGAGCACGACATGAGCACGGACACGAAATAAATGGGCCAGCCCGGCACGAGTACGAATAATTTATGGGCCGTGCCGGGCCTAAACTTTATGAGCACGAGCACGAGCATGAACACGATATATAAGTGGGCCGTGCTGGGCCTAATATTTTCGAGACTTTATTGAGTATAAGAACGAACATGGCACGAAAATAATATTTATTTGATAGAAAATAAATATAAAAAGAATTATAGGTTCAAATATTACAAAACACAAGTAGAAAAATAATTATTTTTTGTTGTTAGAAGTGTCATAAAGATATATACGTAATTACTAACATAAGTAAAAATGGATAAAGAATTAAACAAAATCAAATCACACTCGCTCTACTCCCAATTTTCTTTTCCCCCTGATTTGTTACTTTTCTCAAACATTATCGATCAATACTATCTTGCTCCGTCCAATTTTCACCTTATTTTTCACTCTCTTTTGTTTTCGTTCTTTTCATTAAACACGAATACGAGGATGGCACGTGCACGAATAGGCACGACATGATTCGAACCGTGCCAGAACATGGGCCGGGTATAGCAAAGTTAACAAATGGGCTTGTATGGCACGGCACGAAAACTGACGGGCCGTGCCAAACACGACACGAAATAAATGGGCCCGAAGCGTGCCTGTGTCGTGCCGGTCCAAACACGGCCCAGCGCCCATGTAAAACTGGTAGCCTAGTGGACACGTATACCCGGGCTTATCCGAACCACGAAATCGGGTCTATTCTTTCTAGCGAACCACAGACAAGCTGTGCAAGTTGGAGGCAGGATTTTTCTGGTTATGTTTGGCTCCCGGGAGAATCTACGGAAATTCACGATATGCCGGTGATTTGTGGCTGTTTCTTCAGCACTGTCATTGCTCCATGGAAGCAGAAGGATGTTTGGTTGTTCATTCCTCTCCACTCGGGGAGGAAGATTAGTCGTTCGATTCACTGCTCTGGTAGCAATGATCAGCTACCCAAACAAATTCAGGTGTTTTTTCGTTCTTCTCTGGTACTTTAAGCCAGTTGATCGATCTTAGTTCAATTCTTCCCCTGGATTATGTGAATCAATCGATTTTGTGCTGTTTGGGCAGCTGGGTTATGATCCTTCGGAGGAATTGCTAGGACTCCCTGATCCAAAATCAAGGTTGTACCCGAACTTCCATGATGGGCTGGCTGTTTGCAGTGAATTCAGGAGATTGAAGTTATGTAATGTAATGGGTGTTGTTTGGTTTCAGGAATATTTCGTCTAGTGCAGCGAAGACAAGGTCATGGTTTGGTCCGAATGGACAGTATATCAGAGAGCTTCCTTGTCCAAGTTGTAGAGGGAGAGGCTATACTCCATGTTCTGAGTGTGGCATTGAGCGGTCCAGACTGGATTGTCTTCAATGTAGTGGCAAGGTAATTTTGCTCTTCACTCTTAACAGTAAGAACTGCAAGTTAGTTCAGGGAGAAAAGGTGGGAAATATATGGGTGTCAAAAGTCAATTATACGACTTTATGGTTGCACTGCTAGTTGATGCATTTGGTTTCTGAACATTTTGTTTGGTTGTTTTTACTTCCCTGGCAGGGTATAATGACTTGTGGTCGCTGCTCTGGCGACTGTGTCATATGGGAAGAGTCAATTGATGAGCAACCATGGGAGAAAGCTCGCTCGAGGTATCTTCGTGAAGTTAATTAACTATTTCTGGTTAAGTGGATTTGCATTATGAAGCTCTCTGCAACTCCGATGACACATTTTTCTCAACTTCTAATATCGCCGTTGTCATACGCTGACATATGGGGAGAAGGAAGTGGTATCTGTGTTATTTCATTTAATTATGTTCTTCAATGTTCAGCTCTGCATTCAAAGTAAAGGAAGATGATGAAGTTGATAACTTAGAAATAAAGTTGGAGACCAAGAAGAAATCCAAGCGAGTGTACCAATCTCCATCTCCTGAAGTTGGACTGAAGATTAGCCGATCGCTGAAGGTTATTTGCCTGCTTGAACCTGTCCTAGTTCGTTCAAAATCCTGGGTTTATGAAGCTTCTTAATCCAAATTTAAGTCGTGACAACGTGCAAAGTTGCAGTGACTAAAGTGACGGAATGTGGGGGTTTGCTTTGGGAACACATCTTAACTTCCACTTGAATTCTTACGATGCCCTTCTTCAACTCAATCTTCTTTGTTTAGTTTGCTATGTGCAGAGTTTAAATGCCAAAACAGGATTATTTAGTAACCGAATGAAGATCATCCATAGTGACCCAAAGCTCAGTGCCGAGAGAGCTGCATCGATCAAGGTTGGTGTTACTGTGACCGAACTTAAACTATTGTCTTGTATCAAATCAGAAAAATTGCAGGAGAACTTCAGTGATTGGACACTGTTTGTTTGGCTTCAACTTTTTGTGTACAATTACAGAAAGCCAAAGGAACTGCTGCTGCTAGAAAGCGCACTTCTGAATCCTTGAAGGCTTTCTTCAGTGATCCAGAAAATCGCCAAAAGCGAAGCATTTCCATGCAAGGTCCGCAGAAGCTGTTTGATAAATGTTACCAAAACCATGTCCCGCATAACTCATCATATCGCTGACGGGCGTTGAAACTTTTTCATTTGAAATGCAGGCATCAGATTTTACTGCACAAACTGTGGAAGAGAAGGCCACAGGAAACATTATTGTCCTGAACTCAAGAATCACTTGGCAGACAGGCGGTTTAGGTGCAGGTTCTGTGGAGAAAAGGGTCATAACATAAGAACCTGTTTGAAGTCGAGGCAAAATAATCGCAAAATCACAGGTAGAAGAGATCGACTCTGCAGGATTTGTCGTCAAAGTGGCCATAACCAGAGAACATGCTCACAAGTGACTGGATTAATATCCACAGAGAAGAGGCGTAAACAGAAGATTAGAAGGAAGTACAGCTGCAGAATATGCCATCAAAAGGGTCATAATAGAAGGAGATGTCCTCAGATTACAGGTTTAATGGTAGACGATAGTGTTATGAAGAAAGGCTTTGTTGTTGCGACTTCTGAAACTAGAAGTAGAACATATATCTGCAGTTCATGCAAAAGCAAAGGGCACAATGTGAGAACGTGTCCTAATAGAAGCACGGAGCCTACAGTTTCAGATTTACTGGCCAATGGAGGAAGCTGATTTCTCTGTGTCGCGGAGTTTGAGTCGTGTTAAGTTAAGTTGAGCTAAGAAAATGGTTTACAAGGATAATTTATATTGTATGATTTTTTGGAAATGAAACTCTAACTTGTGATTAGCGGTTAATTGGATGCTAGATGATAATATTTTATTTCGGTGTGATCATGCTTGGATATGGATAATTGATGTCTGATATTTTTGTACAATTACAAAGATTTGGAGAAATAAAATATTGTGATTTGCATGAGATGTGGAAATGTTAATTGAAGTTTAAGAAGAAGGATTGGATAAATGATCTTTGTGATTATTGATACAATTGATAATGATGTGTTGGGATTTAGGATGGTGTGGGTGGGAATGAAAGGAGAAAGAAGCATGTTCTTGAAGTATCATGTTGGTGAGATGTGGGAAGATACGGTTTCAAATTCGTTTGATTTGTAAATATGTTGGTAATTGGTTAGATTGGTTTGTATAAACAATTCGAACCAAACAAAAAGAAATATAATTGTATTAAATTGATGTGGCGGTTGGGATAAACCAACCGATCCAACTATATGGGCCGAACTGACTATTTGAAGTTCAATTTGGACAAATACATAATTTAAATATTAAGGACGAAAACTAATAATTTTATGAAGACCTTTGGCGATTCATAAATACATAGGATTAGGAAAAGTCGGGCAGATAGAAGGAGAACTCTTTTTGGTCCTTCAATCACACTTTCTAGAATGTGTCCTCATCTTGGAACACATTTTTTAGGGTTTTGACTTTTAAGTGGTAGAGAGCAAAGGGATGGGCTCTTCACCTCTAAAGGTCAAAATGAAGCAAGAATATCATTGATTGATGAGATTCTTATGGTTTTATCTTTCCCCACTTTCCCCAAGTTTATGAGGAACTAAACCGTTTATCGTTGATTTGGTAGAATCCTGATTTTTTGTGTGGAATTTGATATGATTTGACTTGTTCCACATATTTCTTCCTTCGATTGTCATCTATTGTACTTGAAATTATTCTCACTTGATACTAAGTCACTATTACAACTGCGGTAGGCAAGGGATCTTGTAGGGCTTCAAACATCCAATTATTTTCCGCCTATGTCTATGGTTCATCGATGCCTATTATTTTCGTCCCTAACTATGGGGATAATTGGTTAGTCGGTTAATCGTTTAACCCTCTCTTTATAATCGTTTAACTGTCAATTAGTAATAAGCCAAATTTGACTACCGAAAGCCGACCTTTAATGTTTAATCAATTATTAGTTTTGCTTTGATTATCGGCTACACCGCTAACATGATAACCATTTCCCAACCATAATATTTGCCTCTTATCATTCCAAGATGTGTCCCTTAGGCTGTCCACAATCTCCTTTTTAGCCCCAATCAATTCTCTTCAACCATGAGAGGGGGGGTAATAAAAGGGCAAAGGCGGTTTTAGGGGGCTAAAATGACACCTTTTTGTGTGTGTGTGTGTGGGGGGGGGGGGGGGGGGGGGGGGGGGGGGGGGGGGGGAAGAGGGGCTATAGGGTGAGAACCATTAGCCACTCACTCTATTCCCTTTTTTTTTTTTTTTCATTTGCGTTTAAATGGTTTTTAGTGTTATTTTAGCCAACAAAATTGATTTTGATGAAATTTTCGTCTGTTCGATTTCAATTTGAAAACCAAAAGTTACATTCAATGAACAGCTTTCAACGAACAACAAAAGTATCTCATAAATTGATTAAATAATTGATTAAAAAAAACAAATGTACATGTTTGTTATGGGTGTTTTTTAAACCACAAAAACTCATTTCGTTGTAACTTTCGACCATTTGATTGTTATTTAAAGAAACAAACATTAAAAATTAGGAAAGTTTGTCCGTTTCTACTAAAAACAAAAGTATCTCCAAAAATTTTCAAAATCTTGAAATTGTTTTGATGAACGAAGATCCTTTCGTCTAACTTTTGTCCATTTCAACTAAAAAGAAAAGTATCTCGAAAATTGCTCAAAATTTATCGAAATGTTCGTATCAAATTATCATGAATGAATATATATAAATTTTAAATTAAAAACCAAAATTTTCATTATTCATAAGTTAGGATTACTAAATGCTAAATAGAAAATTACATCGCCGGGGTTGTAGCAGTTTCTGTTTTTGAGGGGGCTAAAATACTAAAATAGCCTTAAAAACTCCAATTTTTGCTCCCGGGTTGTGGTTAGCCTTAGGGTTAGATATCTGTTGAGAAAAGGGATTGGTTGGCAATGGCATGTCACTTTGTGGTCAATAACCATGCACAACCCAACCACAGTTTGCCACATCAGCATCCCTCTCTCTTATGAAAATCCTTTAATCTTTTCCCCTTTAATCATTACAGACGATTTCACTCTCGTTTTAAGTCGAAATTCAAAAAAATTTGCACAAATAAATCAGATTAATTGTGCTCTTCAAAATGATATTCACTTTGATATATTTTTGGTAAAAAAAGAGGTATTTTTTACTAGTCTATACCATGGTGATATTGATTGATATTAAAATAAGAACATACCATATGGTAAGAAAGAGTACCATGAACATACCAAGACTGTAGGATGGTTGAATACATGATAGTAGGAGTATACTAACTGTTATTTATGACTTTTAACATTTTGTATCACAAGATACCACCCCCATACCAGGGTGGTATAGTGTGGTATTTTTTGGTCCTTTATTTTTTCCACACAAAATTTTTTAGATCCAATAGATCATGATGAACTCGTTTTTTTGTGCAAAATTTTTCAAAAATGACTTAAAAATGAAGGAGATACTATATGGTATGGAGTTGGTAATAAGAGATATGAATTTTGTTTTTCAAAAAAAATTGAAAATGGATCTCTTTTTGTGGAGCATAACGAAATCGTTCCATTTGTGCAAAAAAAAAAAATTGAAATCCGAGTTAGAACAAAGAAGATAAAAGTCGATTAAAAAACTACGGAAAATAAAATATTTTTAATTCTCTGTCTTTATATTTGAATTTTTTGGGCCCACTTAAAAAAGAAGGTTCATATTTAGTTATGGAAGGATGCATAACCCTCTATCCAGAGTCCCTCTAATAAGTTATAATAATAAAAACTACGTATAATATTTATTATAAATCTATAGGATATATTTTTTCCCCTTCCAAGGCAAGCCCAAAAGGCATGGGACAAAGACTAAACACGATTACAAGACCGACTCAAATCTTACGCGGTAGTCCGTATGCAATTAGACTGCCGATGAAAGAGCTTGATAGGCCACTACATGGGTAGCTCTGAAGAAGCTCCGAGGAGCAAAGACACGACACTGACGGGGAAAAAAAAAACAAAAACAAAAACCTAACGTCTCCAAGATAGTCTCGCCAGCTAGTGTAATTTCCTTCGACACAGTATGTCGGATGTCCAACATCAAGTTGCCACAAAACAACAACAAAGAAATGAAAAAAGACATTAGTAATCTTCAGCAGAGCATGCTTAATTAACCTCATAATTATGGTGCAAACACAACCATATTTGGATTTCTAACACATATTGTAGAGCTCGAATAACTGGGTGAAGGGAATACAGTGTATCACTGAGTTTAGTTATCCTGTGGATTTTCTTTTGAAATACTAACTACAGTGAATCCCTGAAGATGAAGAACCACGTCTTAAAGATGTGTGGTTTCTCGATACTACAATATCTTCCTATATGTCTCCAAATAGGGATTGCTTAATAACTTATGATCGTAATGGTGAATTAAATATGATTGTGGAAAATGAAATTGTTTGCAAAGTAGTTGAAACTGAATTCATCAAGGTAGCAACGCTTGACTGTTCTTTTTTCCTTGTGACCGAAGTTAGACATGCTCCAAAAATTACTAAGAATTTATATATTTGAGTTTATTAGATAGTAAGAGTTTTAGTTATGAAAGAAAAGGCGCAAAGTTATAGGTCTACTCTGAAAGGTTATGTTGTTGTTTCATCATGTGAAAGTTCACAATGAGGATATAACCACTATATGTTATATGAGAGTTGTTTATGATATGCTAAATCTTCATTCTCTAGTTCACATGTTCAATCATTAATAAATCAGGATCGATCCACGAGAATTAGTGCAGGAGTACCTCCAAATTGGTATGCCTTTGAGGTGAGAATGTGGTGTCTTATGCATGCATTAGGGAAAATGTGGAAATGAGTGAGCCATCTACCTACAAAGATGTTGATTAGTGGTCAAACGACCTAAGGTGTAGTCACTTGCAAAGAATTGTACTTGGGAGCTAGTCAAACGACCTAAGGAGAAAAAGAGTATTACTTTCAAATGGATCTTCAATAAGAGGAAGGAATATCATCTATAGAGAGTATTAAACATAAAGCTTGGATGGTTACAAGATGAATTACACAAAGGGAAGGTGTTGATTAGTGGTCAGACATACTTTCATCATAGCGCTACTCGCAATTGTTGCACTCAAAATTAGGAGGCTAAGAAACTAGATATGAAGACACTTTTTTTCATGAAAATCTAGTAGAAGATATTTATATGACTCAATCAAAAGGGTTTCATGATCTAGGAAATTAAGATTATGGTTCTAAGATGAAGAAGTCATTTTTTAATAGTAAACCAATTTCCAAGGTAGTGGTAAAAGAGGTTTGATAGTTTTATGCAATGTAAACAAAAATCACGCTTTAAAATTCAAAACATTATGTTTTTACACTTCTAGGTCAAATGCTTCTATGTTGAATTTCACTTTTGAGTGCATTTTGTGCAATATTGTAGTCAAAATCGCGCTCTAACACTTTAAAGCTTACGATTTTACGCTTATAGGTCACCAATATGTAGCGACGTAGAATCACACTTTTGATTGCATTTGTTTTATGATTGAGCTAGGCTAAACATAAGTCCATATTATCTTGTGTGTATCAAAACAACGCTAATGATGTTTTGATGATTTTTCTTTTCTTGTATGTAGATGTTATGCTCATCGCTACAAATTCCAAGTTTGATGTCCATAAGTTGAATGGTCTTCTCAGTGCTGAGCTTTAGATTAAGGATTTGGGGGATGCATAGAAAATCATGGGAATAGAGATTTGCAGGGGAAGTGATTAAAAGAAGCATTTCTTATCACAATTAGATTATGAAGATATTGTCCAAGTTTGAATGTCATCAGCCAAGCCAAACAATACTCTTAGTGCTTCCTAGTGTTTATTAGCCTTTTATGTACGAACCGTGATCTGAATTTGAGGAGTACATGTCTCGAGTCCCATATGCTATAGTATAGCAGGAAGCTTGGTGTACGTTATGGTCTACTGTAGACATGATCTTACACATGTTGTTAGTAGGTTCATGGTGCAAACTGAGAAGGAACATTGCAAGAAATAAAGAGGATTTTCCAGTACCTTCAAGGTACATATGATATTGGTGTCATTTATAGAAGTGATACATAGTGCTTAGTGTTTGATTATTCTAATTCTAACTATGATGGAGTTTTTGACACAAGGATATCTATAATTGATTATGGATTCGCTCTTGGAAGTTCTTTTGTTAGGTGAAAAAGGAAACTTTGCAACCTACCATTACTTTTTCTACTACTGAAGCATAGTAGATGTCAATGATAGAAGCTTCAAAAGAGGAAATATGGTTGATTAGTGATAAGGATACACATCATGATTAGGGAATTGTAAATTGTGAAAATTTGAGTGCAATATGTTTATCCAAGGATGAATTCTATAATAGAGGACTAAGTACTAGTGGAGGTATTATTTCATAAGAAGAGAAAAGAGGATTAAGGTGATGAAAGTGAGTGTTGTTGATATTATATCGATATGTTCACCAAGTTGGTTATGGCAAGCATCGACGTTGCTTGGACTTGCTAATGTTATGAGTCCTTGATCGCCCTTAGGAGAATTATGAGGCAGGAGAGAGTCTGGTACATTTGACAACTTTTGTTGCATCTCGTACATTTGGTATTTGAACGAGAATTTAAGTCAACGTTGAGATTTTTTACAATGATTTGGATATATTTATTGGCCAACGATTAGAAATCATGGGGTCTCATTTTCCAATCGACAAGTTGGGTTCATGAGGTGAAGTGTCCTTTTTGGGGATCTTGGGGACACACCGTGTTCCGGGATCTAATATGGGCTTTTACATTATTATTTTTTTGTTGGACCCAAATTTATCCTATTCAAATTTTTTTTTTTTACAATTGGTAGATTTCATTCCATAACGATTGAGGTACAAGCTTGACCTATTACAACAGAGGGGAGATCAAGTCTAGAATCTGAATCCATTCCGAAGGGAGGGATCCAATTCTAGATTCTTTAGCAACCCAGCCAACACACTTGTTGTTCCTACGATGAGTAAAAGCCACACTAATGTGGTCATTATGCGCGAGGATATGCTTCATACAATGAATCCATGCCATCGATTGCCAAGGCTAGGATTAGCTTTGTCCAAGCAAGATACTGATGATGATTTGACAGTCGGAGAAGACCACAAACGGGAGACCCGAGTCCTCGGCCATACGGAGAGCGGTCAATAGTGCTTTAGCTTCCGCCACAATAGCTGAAGAACAAAATAAAGTCCCAGCCTTTTCGTTCATTAGACTAGGTAACACATATCATGTTAGTGGACCATTTCAATATGTTTTCTTTATGTTCTTGGTTTGTGAATTACCTCCTCCGTCCTAACATTACCACATGTTTTTTTATATGCAATATAGGTATTTAATAAATCCTTATGCTCATAGTTTTTTGTCTTATATTAAATGGTTGATAACCTAATCAGTCTTTGGAATTTAGTAATTGAAAGAATGTGTTGTCTTAGCTCATTGGAACCCTTCAACAAAACTAGAACACCAAAAATAACTTTAAAAATATTTGTCAAAGCAGGAAAACCAAAGAATAGGAGAACAAAATCGACGATATACGTCTGGCAATCCACATTTCCCGCCTTATATGCCTCTAGACCTAATCATTTCCAATTTTCTTCCTTTTTTGCCATTATTGTTTTTTTTTCAAATTTAGAATTTTTTTATTTATTACTTTACAGTTTCTTTTTTCCCAGCATGTGTATATAAATAATACATGCCCGCCACCCTTCCTTGACTCTCAGGCTTTTGAAATAAAATAAAAAAAAACCCAAAATCCTCTCACTCTGGCTGCCTGTCCGTCGGTGCGGACAGCCAATTCTGGTCCTGAATCTTTCAGGACCTTGGCTTTGAAGCCTGAGAATTTCACCTTTCTTCTCCCGGGATAAAAAAACCAAAAAGTTGAAAAAAAAGGGAAAACACAGGGAAAAAAAAAAGTCTCTAATATGGCTTCCGTATCCATCAAATTTGCCTTTTTCTTTCTCGTGTTCGGCACATTAATTCCCTACCTTGAGTCTCATATTGCCGATTTCGATGAATATTGGCAACAAAAAGCCGAGGAGGCACATCAGGTGTCCTTGGAGACGTACCACCCGGAGCCGTACAACGTGACGGAGCATTTCAACGCGGCGGTTCACATGGACCTGTTCGGTTCCAACAACACCCGCCGAACCTTGAGGAAGAACAGGGGCAAATGTCTGGCCACCAACCCGATCGATCGCTGCTGGCGGTGCGACCCCAATTGGGCCGACAATCGCCAAAAGCTGGCCGACTGTGTCCAAGGTTTCGGGTACAGGACCCGAGGAGGAAAAGGAGGCCCAATCTACGTCGTCACCGATGCTTCCGACAATGACCTCGTCAACCCGAAGCCCGGAACGCTCCGGCACGCCGTGATCCAAAAGGGCCCGCTCTGGATCATCTTCGCGCGGAGCATGATCATCAAGCTCAATCAGGAGCTCATGGTGAGCTGCGACAAGACTATCGACGGCAGAGGGGCGAACGTCCACGTGGCTTTCGGCGCCGGGATCACGCTCCAGTACGTGAACAACGTCATCATCCATGGGCTCCATGTCCACGACATTGTTTCCGGGTCCGGCGGGCTGATCCGCGACTCGGTGGATCACTACGGCCTGCGGACCAGGAGCGACGGCGATGGGATCTCGCTCTTTGGGGCAACCAACGTGTGGATTGACCACGTCTCCATGTCCAATTGCGCGGATGGGATCATCGACGCCATTATGGGTTCCACTGGCGTCACCATCTCTAATGCCCATATCACCGACCACAACGAGGTAAAGATTTGTTAGTGTCCATGATTTTGAATCTCTCCCAACAACTCGAGTTATTCATATTTGGATCAATTGGTTTATGACATGATATCATCATAGCCTTATGTGACCGAGAGGTCTTGTGTTCGAATTCCGGTAACCTCCATTTGTTAAACACGTGGTATGTGGACCTGTAGTGCAAACTTCAAGCCCTTGTGAGTAGCTTTCGTTTGAGTGGGCGTGTTAGTGTGTGGTATATGATCTATGATTGAACCTCTCTCAACAACTCGAGTTATTGGGACCAACTGATTTATGACAAAGATTGAATCACTCAGATTTATACTTGAAATTCTATCTGTGTATAATTTATTCTTCCATTAGGTGATGTTATTTGGAGCTAGTGGGAGCTACTCTGGGGACTCGATCATGCAAATTACAATTGCATTCACCCACTTCGGGAAAGGTTTGGTTCAGAGGATGCCAAGGTGCAGATGGGGTTTCTTCCATGTCGTGAACAATGACTACACTCATTGGCTAATGTACGCCATAGGTGGTAGCAACCATCCCACCATCATTAGCCAGGGTAATCGCTTCATTGCTCCTGAAAACAAGGCCGCGAAACAGGTAAATTTAGAGCACTCGTTTATTTTTTTCTGTAGTTTAGAGAATTATATCACTAGCGTCACCACTAATGTATAGAATTTGGAGAGACCTCGCGTTATAGTAAATTATGTATATGATCGACGAATGATCTTTTAACACGATTCGTCACCCATCCAGGTGACGAAGAGGGATTATGCGCAAGAATCAGAGTGGAAGCATTGGGACTGGGTATCAGAAGGAGACCTGATGATGAATGGCGCTTACTTCGTGCAATCAGGGAACCCTCAAGTGTACAAGAAATTCTCGAGGCAACAACTTATTAAACAAAAGCCTGGAACCTATGCTACCAGGTTGACTCGCTTTGCCGGAACACTAGAGTGCTTTGTCGGGAAGCCATGTTAGATTATCAAATACGAAACAGAAAGGAGAAAAAAACACAGAAACATTTTGATTTTTCTAAGATTGAAAGAAAAATCTCATACATATATATCTCTCTCTATATATAGAAGAAAAAAAAATATACATTATGCTAATTGTTTGTATGATCATCCTTAACGACAACTACAGAAGAACAAACAAACCTTAGCAAGATTAAAGGATGATCATATTCACGCTTAAGCATAATTAATTAATAAATCAACTAATTAACAAATCTTACCAACATGTTTCTGTCTGGCATTTTTGTTGGGTTTTCTTTTCTTGGTTTCTGGGTTTCTTCTATGACAAGGTGGCGAGCAAGGGTGGACGGAGGAAGAATTTGAGAGGTTTTCTTCTACTTTTCTCTACGTATCTTTTGAAATCGAAAAAGAAAAAGAAAAGTGTGCATTGTAATTAGAAAATTGAAAAGGGCATTGATGAGTTGTGTTGAAGTTGTCCTTTTATTTTTAATCTTTAATAGATTAGCTAGTAAAAAAAGGGCTTCGACAATATAGTAAATTACATTGAAATACAACTCTGGTAATTATTCAAATCATTCGTAATTTATTAGTTCTATCTTCACGTTGTGAAACTGAATAATCTTAAAATATAATAAAATGGTTTGAGATTTTAATCAGTGACATCCCTGGGGGGAAGCCGAACGTGGATTGAAAATTAGGGTTTGAATCTCAAGAATAGAATGAGTGGCGACTTCTGCTCCGTCAGAAAGGAGGCGGCTATATGTGGATCTATGCTGGACGAATGAGAGACATCACTTGTTGATGTGAAAGATACTACCATAGAAAATCTCTTAATCACAAATTTTCCAACTCAACGAATGAGAGACTAGTTAGAAATCAAGTTAATCCAATGCCAAAATTTTATTGACAAAAATTTCTCTGAATTGATTACCATTAATACCGCAAACAAGAAGATTTTCCAAAATAAAAAATTACTTCTAAATCATAACTCAAAAAGTTTAAAAAGCTATAATATTAATAAATTAAATATTATATGTATAATATGAATCATATACTCCGTCGTCCGATTGAGTATTAAGCTAGTTTGTATATCAGATTTGAACCATTCTAGGTCACGGCCGTTGAAAACACATCATGCAAGCAGTGGTGGATCTAGTGCTATACCGGGTCATGTCCCAGCCCTCCTTTGAGTACAAAAACTAGTATAGTAATTATAAATTTTTTTGATTTTATGTATTTTACTTAGTACCATTCAAATTCGGCCCAGTATTATTTTCAATCCAAATGCAGCCCAGTGCTCTACTATGTCCGAGTTCCGCCGCTGCATGCATTGGAAGGGAAGTTACCAGGACCATAGCTGGGACCAACCCTAAAGCCATGTCTTCATAGTGGTAGCTTTTAGTTTGAAGATTCTACATCACCTCCATAGAAGTAGCCATATATGAACATGAATGTAGATAGTGCTCAAGAAACCTTCACACGAGTAGAATCGTTTAACTTAGACGGTATACACATCAAACACCCTGGTTCAAAACATTATTTAAAGAAATTTCAGAGGTATTTATATAAATCATCAGATAAAAAAGTTAGAAAAAAACAATCATTTGATTCAAAACGAGACTTTTCATTTTTCACCAACACAACAATCAATATTGCGAAAATTTTGAAAAGATCTATCATTGGATTGCCGATCTAACGATGCTAAAAAAGACTCCCGCCACATCCCACGAGCCAATTATCCACAAAGGCAAGAATTGGCCTCTTGACCAACTATAGCATGTATCTGTTTTTGGTCTCTACTTTCCTTTGTCTTACTAGTTTTTGGTTTGTTTTATACCCACCATTATTGCCATCTCTAGCTCTAGATGAAAGCGATGAACGAAGCTTCATACCCATTTCATTTCTTCATTCCTTTTCATTACACAATCAAATATCCTTCGTAAACCCCGACAATAGTTTTGGAACTGTTGGATGGAAAGGGTGAAACAAGCACCCAAACCACAATAGCCAACCAAATACACGTACACTTTAAAATCCTTCGTAAATACCAAGGTATGAATCCTCACTCGCATATAACATTCTATCTCTCACTCGATTGGCCACTGCCCTGCAATAGAAAAAATCAGCAACCTTTTTTCTTTGGCAGGTTTGGTTGTTTCGGCAATCACCATTCACCCCACACGACAAATTCAGATTTTCGGAAAAGCCAATATGCAGACGTTTGGCCACAAGGAAATAGCCAAATCCCCATTTTGTCGCCATTTGTAAATTAATTGCTTGTCTTTACCGTCTTGTCGTTTGGTCCGCTAGCTCCATACAGTCTAAATGCCAATTATAAACTTCTACAACCTGGGTGGCCCTCTTTTCTTCTCCTTTCTATTTTTGTTTGAGGGGTTTACTTGTTTCACCATCTAGCATTAGGTAAATTCGAAGCAGGGAGACTGCCAAATTAAAGGTTGTGTTGAAAACACAAGTTCGTCTTTTAAGGCTGTCTCCAATCCAAGCATGCAAATTTGGAGAAAGGGAGGTTTTTGGCTTTTTTAATCTCCAACCCACCAATTATTTGGCTTGCAAATTTGGAAAAGTGGGCTTGGGGGTGGATAGATAGAAGCTCATATGAAAAAATGCAAGGAGAAGGTGGGGGCCAACCATGGAACCCAAGCCCACACGCTGGGGCCCTCCACTTTAAAGCATCTTTTTTTTTTTTTTTACTTTCTTAATTTTTGATTGGTTGGTTATGAGTTGGGAAGGCAAATTTAGAAGGTTTAGGGTTGGAGCAAAAAAGTGTTTTTGGAAGGTAAAAATGCACATTTGAGAGCTTGAGAGGCTAAATATAACCTTTTGGGTTGGAGTTAGTCTAAACTGATAGAAGGTTGATCATTATTTTATGTTTTTTTAGAAGAGTGAAATGGGTTTTGATTTTTAAATTTAGATGCTATTTAAGAGTTTCGAATCTAAAATGAGAGGTATTACCGCTGGATATAGGAAGATGGAGATACTCGACTATCTCTTCTAGCATGGGATGCATGAAAATGAGCCACTCAACTACGTACACATGAGCCAAACAAAATAATATGTACAAATGACAAAGTTTCATTCCGTCTAACACTAGCTACTCCACAGACAAAGGATGATAAATTTCACTATTTTGGAAAAGGGGTAGAAATTATAGAACATATTTTTGAAGTAGTTTAGGACTCATTTAAAATTTGATTAACCTGAGTACATATTAGAGTGCTAAAAAAAATATTTATAAACTCAATTTCTAAACATTAAATAAAAAGACCAATATAGTACTCAAGCAAATAATAAAAGAGCAATATAGTACTCAAGCAACTAATAAATAGGCAAGTTCCATACAAATATTCAAGACTTCCCAACAATGTATATAGGAATATTTCCAATTCAAGAAGCTAAATTTAGCTTTCTTGAGAGCTAAAAGTCTATAGTTATCAATCAAGTTTTTACTCCATTCCATACCCTCACAAATTTAGCTTTTTAGATTTGTTACTTTGTTTTTTAAACATAAATCGTGCTAATATACATGTTAATTTATGTTTTTCACTTATTTTTAGGGTTATAGGTATAATATGTCCATTTACTATGTCATTTTATCAAACATGCTCATTTACTATTTTTAACATCAAACATGCCCCTGTACTTTGTAAATATGGTCAAACATGCTCTTCTGTTAAAATTTTTATTGAAAAAATCGTCATCATGGTTGAACCAAGATTTGGAAGATCCAACATCGGCAAATGGGAGGGAAAATGTCAGTTTTATCATCTGTTTTATTTCTCTGGGTATCGTCAAAGTCAAATTATTAGAATTATTAGACTACACAAAATAACCCAAAAAAATCTAAAGTCTAATTATTAGGGATATTTTAGACATTTCTATCACCCTAATCAAAGTTTGAACATGGTTAACGGTTTTTGAATGAAAATTTTAGCAGAAGGGCATGTTTGATCATATTTCCAAAGTACAGGGGCATATTTGATTTAAAAATAATAGAGAGCCATATTATACCTATAACCTTTTTTATGTAATTCATAGTTACTTTTGAAAATAAATTTCTTGATACAATTCTGTAATTAAGATGTAAACTTTTTTCTTAATTGTTAGCTACTTTTTGACCCTTTTTCGTGAAAAAAAATCATTGATAATTTTTTCATTAACTCTTTCATCTCTTTTAATGAAAAAAATACAAGTTAAACATATGTAACACTTTAGATAAATCTCACAAAGATAAACCTCGCGAGAGATCGATTTATGATTCATAAAGAACATCTCACCTTAAGTGATAAGACCATGGTTGTCAATCCCATGTCATGTCGACTGGTACAACAGGTACCAGTAACAAAACTGACTCGAATGCACCCGGTATGACCAACATGACCTATTTCTAGCTTTCAAAGAAAAGGGCCCATTTTGTTGAATTTAACTAACAAAATAAAATGATTTGTTTCTTGAATTTCAAAGTTAATTTGTTGTTATTTATTGGATACTAGTATGAACGTTTAGATGTTTATTTTATTTGTCGGATTCAAGTATAAACTTTAGGATGTTTGGTAAATGTTGTATTGAAATATGAAGATTTTTCATTTTGTTTGGAATGTTGTATTTTATTTTAATATGGATGTATATTTTAAAGAGATTGTCTTCAAATATATTTTACATATGCCTAAATTCATTTAGTGTTAATGATTTCTCACTTTCCTACATGTTTTGCTTGAATTGACATGAACTGACATAAACCGGTTATACTAACCATCGGATCATACCACTTGCCAAACCAGCATAATGGTACAAACCAGTTTGAAAACCTTGGACAAGACAAGACACATTTCTAGGTGAAATGAATGAGTTCGTGTAAGAATTGTGAAGTAAAACGTTCTCATTATGGAGCAGTGCAAAGATGGGTGACCTCCCAAGAATTCATCCTAATGCCCCCAAAAGTAAAGTCGTGTTGCATGATAGACCTATAGTGGGCAATATATATCTTCGTCAGAAAAATCGGGATGTTACAAGTGGTAACAGAGCCTCTTCACGTCCTTCTTGGGTGATTGTGAGACAAACCTCAAAAAGGACATCCCAAGAGGGGTGTATGTGACACCTTAGACAAATCATACATCGAGCAATAGCTATGATTCACAAGTAACATTCAGCCTTAAGTGATAAGACACGATCCGAAAAGTTTTTCCTTCTCAAATTTTCCTTCTCCCCTTCCATTTCTCTCAAATTTGCCTCCTAAAACACCAATGCTCTATTTCTACCTCTCAATATTTCATTTAAATTTGAAGATGATTTTAAGTAGATGAACTTGGCGAAAAAACATGCTTCCAAGCTAGGGATGGCAATGGGGCGAGTTTTGGGTGGATATCGCTCAATCAATCCTCATTCCCATTTTTAATTCGTAAATCCATACTCTCCCCATCCTCTTATGGTGGAAGTTTCTTATCCTCATTGTCATATTCATCCCCGCGGCTTTTAGATACATGTGGATAATAACCTCCCCACAAATTCAAACCAAACTCAACTCAACTTAAAGTTAATGTAATTAAGTGGAGGACACGTACGATTTAGAGCTAGAACATTGACCATAGATTATATGTCATATATGAACCACACAAAGTATGAGAAACATAACAAAAGTTTAAATCCTTAGGAAAATGTTGGGATAAAAGGTGGCATATATGTATTAATTAAATTAGAAAAGTAAAATGAAGGTTTTTAGTGTTATACTATTTTAAATTTTAGTGAAAGATGGAGGAGGAAGAGATCGAATGACATGTAATTGGGTGTAGGTAAAATATGAATTACTTGCAGGGCAATTATGGGTATGGGGGATGGGGCACAGACACCTAAACCTAGGCCCGACTCATTCCCGCCACTTTATTTGTGGGTATTACTTATGTCACTCCATACCTGGTTAATACAAGGATTTTTCTTGTTGACTGGGTAAGGGAGGGTTGGATACTCAACGTTGCGGGTACAATTGGCATCCCTACTCAGAGTTAGGATCGAAAACCGTCGACCGTTGCACTTAATTGTACCCTTTATGTTATGGTACAAACTTTGTATTGCATAATTAAAATATTGTTGTCGAGTTTGTCAAAGATGCATGTTTTGTACTTTTTCTTAAATTTGTTAAACTTTTGTGAAGTTTGCGAAAATATATGTTTGATAAGAGTTTAGAAAAAGTAAAGTTGATGAAAAGGTGAGTTTTCTTGTATAGGAAGGTAGTTTATGGGATGATTGATAGTTTGTTTTCTAGTAAAGTAGTAAAGTGAAAGAAAAAAAATTAAGATGAATTTTAGGTTTAATTCAATTTGTAGGTTTTAGAGCGAACATGAAAATGTTTAAAAGTGTATTTGTTTTAACTAAAACTTAAATTTGAGAAGAAAAAAATTAAACAAAAGATTGAAAACATGTATTCCTAGATTCCTTCTAATATACTCTAAAGTATTGATGCTTTGAGGTGTTAATTGAACTTGTTCCATAATATTAAAGGTACAAAATGATAATGAAAATTGTACATGTATGTTATTTTACAAGTTTAGTGTGTATCACAATAAAAAGATATATATTCAGTGGAGAAGTACTATTACTAGTCTGCCCAGCCATCTTAATTAAGATAAGATAATATAAAATAATACTAGCTAATTACTTTCCAAATAAAAATGAAAAGCCTGTCAAATAATTATGGAAAATAAACAGTGATGATTCCGAGAAAATTACATAGCTCATTGTTGACAGTAGGAATCTGAATGAAGAAGATTAGGTAAATTATGATTATAAAACAAAAGGGTTTAATTGTGAAGCTAGCTCCTTCTCGGTTGGCTAATTAATAGCAGCAGCAGTATCTACAGCCCACCACTTCCCACTGTTTCTTGTCATCTCATCAGGCTTTCCCTTGAAGACATCGTTAGCTTTGTCCTGTTGGAAAATGAACAGTGTTTTTGTTATTACAGCACAATCCAAACTAAGAATGGAACAAATAAAGAGGGAAGCTACAAGGCCATGTATAAATACTTCCAGCTAACTGCAAACCCAAAGCCAAACATTCCAATCTCTCCTATTGATCCTAGGCAGAACCAAGCAAAGTAATGGAGATGGTCCCTGGGAACATTCCTGTAGTGAAGCGCAGGTTCGGCTCTATGGAAGGTGATGTGGTTGTGGAGGCTAAGTTTCCTAAAAGGCGGCGAAGAGAGCCGAATTCTTCAGCAGCAGCAGCATTGAAAGAAGGTACCAATCAAGCTTCCTCTTCTACAACGACGACGACTAGTACTACAACTGCTCCCATTGTGAAGAGAAGCTCCAGGTTCAGGGGAGTTAGCAGGTTTGTGTCAGGATTCTGAATTTCAAGCTTCTTTGAGCTCCATTCAGCTTGGAATCCCAATCTGACAAAAGGGTGGTACGTAAAATTCGTTCTAATCGATTTTGGGATTCTGACAGGCATAGATGGACTGGAAGATATGAAGCTCATTTGTGGGATAAGGGGTCCTGGAATCCAACCCAGAAGAAGAAAGGGAAGCAAGGTTGGTAGTTACTGATAAAGTTGCTTCCTTTTGTGTGTGCTCTCTTTGGTTTCAGGAATGCAATTTTTTGCTGATTAACAAATCATTTTATCTTCTTTTCATGTGGTTGCTCGATCGTTTTCGCGTCCAACAGTTTATCTTGGTGAGTAGCACTAACTCTTCACTCTTTGGTTGATGGGACAGATTTCACCTATCAATGCCTTGTCATGGAAGAAAGATTAACTAATCTAGCACTCTTTTGTTTGTCTGTTTTTTTTCCTGACAGGTGCTTATGATGAAGAGGAATCTGCTGCAAGAGCTTATGATCTGGCAGCTCTTAAGTACTGGGGACTGTCAGCCTTCACAAATTTCCCTGTATGAACCCCAAAACAGAAACTTCTAGGACTTTGGTATCGATTGTGGAGACTTGCACTCTGGTTCTAATGTCTCCAATGGGTTCTTTTGCAGGTTTCTGACTATGAGAGTGAACTTGAAATAATGAAGAATGTGACAAAAGAGGAGTACCTAGCCTCACTGAGAAGGTAAAAACAAGAAAAGTGTCTCCAAACTGAATTGAATTATTGCCTTTTGTCCTGACAGAATGATCAACCAAAGGCTTGCTTTGTTTTGTTTACCAGAAGAAGCAGTGGATTCTCAAGAGGTGTGTCGAAATACAGAGGGGTTGCAAGGTAAAAAAAAGCAGAAAACAATTCAGCTAACCGAAATCTGTTCGCTATCACGAGACATAAATTCTGGGTAATGTTTTTGGGCTAAGGTGGCTGGCTGATTACCTTTGACAGGCACCATCATAATGGAAGATGGGAAGCAAGGATAGGGAGAGTCTTTGGGAACAAGTACTTGTACCTTGGAACCTACAGTAAGTGTTTCTAAGACAAAACTGAACTCTTCTTCCTGAAACAAGAATTATGAAACATGTAAAACTCAAACAAAAACAAATCGCTTACAAGTAACCTGGTTCTTGCTGGGGCTGTTGTTCCAGGTACCCAAGAGGAGGCAGCTAGAGCCTATGACATAGCAGCAATCGAATACCGCGGTATCAATGCTGTGACGAATTTCGATCTCAGCACATACATCAGGTGGTTGAAACCAGAATCTGATACCCCTTCTTCCACTGATGTTCAACAACACCATGAATCCAAATTGGACCTGGAGAACTTCCCACTGACAACAGCAGCAGCCGCAGCAGCTTCTTCTTCTTGCCCTTCCATGGCCTACTTCCAACCTAACAAAACAACAGCACAAAACCACCACCACCTCCCACTTCTACAGTCCAGCCTTAGAATACTAGAGAATCTAAATGAGAACCCACTGGAGCAGGAACTCTTCCAGACAAGACCAGCAGGCATGTTCTCCCCTCCAAGTGGCAACAAGAACACCTGTCTGTCGTCGTCGTCACCATCTTCATCACTGGCCTCATCCACAACTACTTCCCCATCGGCGCTCGGCCTCCTGCTCAAGTCATCAGTGTTCAAACAACTCGTTGAGAAGAACTTGAACAGCAGTAGCAGCAGCAGTGGTAGCAACAGTAATAACCACCATCATCTCTCCACTGAGCTAAAGAATTTCCAGCTCCCCTCAATGGGTGGGACTGGGACACACAAAGAGGAAGTGATGGATGAGGAAGCAGCAGAGATGTACTGCAACGGGATCAGCCATAGCCAGAGCTCCTTCATGATGTACTCATCAGGGAGTGGCAGTGGCAAGGAGGCCGCCGGTTTGTCGAATTTGGAGTGGAAGGAGGAAGAGAGTTTGTTGCCATTGTTCAACTCATCAGCAGGAGGGCAGTCTTTCTGGGATGGATCACTAACCCTCCCTTCTCCTTTCCACTGAGTTATTTTGTTTTTGGTGTCCACTTTGTTACTGTCACTTTTTTCACTAACATATTGCAGAACCTCTTTTGCTGTACCTTTTTACTGCTTGGGAAAAATGCACCATCTGTTTTGTGTATAATTTGCACACGCTTGTATTGAGTAAGAATATCAGAATAAACAAGCAAGAACGTTGTTTCATGTACTTGTAAATTTCAGTCCCGAGAGAGAGAAAAATAACTGGAAACCCAAAGTTTTTGGTCATGTATGTAAACACAGACAGGTCAGTTAATAATATTTTACTGTGTTCATTGTTTTAACTTGCTGTTGCCATCAGAATTCAGATTGTTGCCTGCCCTTTATTAATCTAAAAATAAAGATCAGGTGAACATCTGTATAAGTCTAGTTGATAGTTTCTAATATTTCCTTTTTCTTCTTGCTTTTCAGTCATGGTGCAAGCTAATTATGAAAGAAAATTACATGGTGAAAATGGTGAAAAGGGAAGATGTTTGAGTTCGGAAAGATTTGGGTACATTCGTCCTAATGGTGAAAGGTTGGGAAGTATAGTGGTATCTTGTATAAATTTTTTTTTTTTGATAGTTTTATATGCAAGAAAAGTTGAATCTACACATCCTCCAATAATATATGGTAGAGTTTTGAGTAATTTTCTCCATTTCAAATTTTCTGCAACGAGAGTGAAAATAGGAAGGACAATTTGGTCTTTACAATTAAATATTTATTTTATATAAAATATCAGTAGCAGGATTTGAACCTGGGTCTCTTCCAGAAAAGACAACAATCATAACCAATTACATTAAACAAATTTAATATATCTTTTTGAATAAAAAACATACAAGAAGTTAAACTCGAAAAATCTGAGGACTTTTCCATCATGATTATCAAGCTCACTAAGTCTACCGTATGTATTTTTTAATTTAAATATTTTTTTATGATTTTTTTATCTTTGTTCTTATCTCTTTCTAACTTACTCCGAAATTTCCTACATCGTACAATAGTTTGCGCCCCTTTCACTTCATAGTAAAAGGACGTCTTTGAAAATCAATATTCTGGTATCTCTGGGCCCTGCGATTTTATTGTTGAGGATTTAAGCTGGGCAAGTAGAAGATTTCAACTCCAATATCAATCTATGACGAATAGAATCAAGTTCAATAAATGGAGTTGCAGAAGGAGGATTAGAAATAGAATTTTTGGTCGAAACATATGCCTCTTGAAATTGGCGATAGAGTGAATAAAAATTTGGTTGTACGACGAAGAGTGGTGGCCATTGGATCTTTAGGTTTATGATTTTTGCAGCTATCACAACCTATTTATATTTTAAAACGAGGAACTTATAGATAAGGAGTGTCTAATTTTGTGTCTTATTAATTTGATCGAGTCTATTAGTTTATTGGAGGTAACCCAAATTGTTCGTTTGCTCTCAAGTTTTGATGGTCCACTCTTAGCTGAGTTGTTAGTAGTATATAGTTGACTTGAATCAACAACTCTCCATTTCTTTTTGGGCAAATACAATATAATATCCATAACTATTATGGATCGGGAATTTATATCCTCAACTATCAATATACAAATTAATATCCATAACTATAGTTGCGGGTCAAGATATGGCTAACAGTCTATTACCACCGTTAAATTTGTAACGGAGACTGCCATGTCAGCATTCATATTGGCGTCCACATCAGCAAATAATTAAATATATGATTTTTATTTTTAAATTAAAAAAATTAAAAAATTAAAGTTGAAAAACAAACTCAACCTCTCTCCCCTCTTTTTCCCCCTATCTTCCTCCAGCATCACCTTGCTTCCTCCGCCCTCCCCTGTCTCCCTCTTCTTCTTCTTCTTCTTCTTCCCCTATCTTCCTCCACCGTCCCCTGGCTTCCTCCACCCTCCCCTGTCTCCCTCTTCTTCTTCCCCTATCTTCCTCCACTGTCCCCTGGCTTCCTCCGCCCTCCCCTGTCTCCCTCTTCTTCTTCCCTTATTATTTACTTAATCAATTCCACAGGGATGCCACGATCTCAATTCCACCTCGGTTTTTTTTGTCAGGTCAGCATTGCAGAAAGACCTACTAATGGGGTATTAACGGACAATTAACGATTGGATATTAATTTGTATATTGATAGTTGAGGATATAAATCTCCGATTCATAATAGTTATGGATATTATATTGTATTTGCCCTTTCTTTTTTATTAGTGGTGGTATATTTTTCCTAAAAGGTGAGTATTTAACCTTTTATGTAGGATTGTGAGATTGGTTTCTATGGGTCGTGTGGGAATTTTATTGAGCTTTTATACTCTATCTTTCTTGACAATCAACTAACCAATAGCATTTAAATGAGGCTTAATTATCATTATGAAAATGTGATCAATGATACATTTATATATTTCATATTATTAAATGATTGTGATGTTTCTTTTAATGTTTGACATATATATTATTTCTTTATGTATCATTTCGATCGAAGGATTGTCAATAAAATTAAACAGGTTACATAATTAAACGTAACATAAAAATATAAATAACAAAATATGAACATTCCGGCCAACGGGCCGGGTTATAAGCTAGTAATATAATACGCCGAAGGGAAAAAAGAGAGCCCCATTTCAAATTTCCTGCAACGAGAGTGAAAGTAGGAAGGACATTTTGGTCTTCACAATTACTTTTTTTTATTCATTAAAAAGACACGTACTGGGATTCGAACCATGACCATTTTAAAGAAAAGCAAGGATAATAACCAATCACACTAAGCACATTTGTTGTATCTTTTTAAATTAGAAACATATAATAGTAGGGAGGAAAAAACCCTTCCCCCATTTCAAATTCCCTGCTCCATGAGCGTTTGTAGGAAGGGTAGAATAGGGAGTGTCAATTTTTTTTCTCTTTCCTCTGTGGAACGGGCCAACTTACCGTACACATGTGAATTTAAACGGGCCCAGGAGTGTCAATTTTTTTTTCTTTAAGCCCTTTTATTTCTCCGTGGTGACAAAATATATATGAAAAGGTAAAAGTAATACTCCTTTTTATTGTTAAAAATAAAACATTTAACAATAAACTAATGCATGGTATCTAATGGGCTAACCGCCAACCATACAATAAAAGAGTTGAATGTGCCTGACCTACATGGGATTTGGCCATCAAGTAAAATAAATGAACATCATTGGTTTGTCATTCTAAAATAAGCTAATTTCTCTGACATAATATATATTATGCTATTATTTTATATCTTAGTGGCTAAAATATAATGTATTTTAAATTTATTCAATGGTTCAACCTCAACCAACACAATTAGTCCAATTTTTATCATTTCAAATATATATTTTATAATTATTTGATATCATAATGATCAAATTATAATGTATTTTATAGGGAATCGTTTGGTATTTGTTAGTAAAAAATTAAACATAAAGATCTATTTGGTTATTTTAAACATTATAACGATTCTAAACATTTTCAGTTCCTTTTAAATTTTTATGGTTTTATTCCCGAATAAGTGATGTGCAAATGGCGAATTGTAGTCGTCTCTTTTCTTTCACTATTTTTTATTTTCAAATAGAAAGTTTAAAAGTAAAGAATAATTAGAATTTGGCATGGGTCGTCAAACAGGCTGAATTTCAAGTTTTGGCCCGTTTGTTTTATGCATTGAAAATTTATTAGCATTTTGATGGAAATGGCTTGGAAAAAAGACATATAAGTTGTACCTTTGCAGAAATGTTCTCAAATGTTTTAATGCTTTGTGAATCAAGTTCCGTGACTTTTGTGATGGTGTATGTGCTTGACAATTGCTCGATGTTGTAATTGCTTAATTTGAGAGTAAATCTTTTGATTTTCCCTATGAGTTGTGATACCAGTTCTGGTGGTTGCAGCATGTTGTCGTTGTTAGCCTGTAAAAGTTGTTCCGCCGTGGTGCTAAATACCTTTCTTTCTTTTTTAACAAATTGTGTAGTAGTGCTATGAAACAGACCACCCATGAACGCTACGCTTATTATGGTCTGGTCTTACTTCCGGTGGTGAGAAATTGTGAATTGAGATCATATTCGCCTACCGCACTGTGTCTGGCTGGTGGCTGCTTACTGTGCTCTCTAGAGTTATGAAATAGACTACCCATGAACGTTTCCCTTAAGAGTCCATAACTTTTGCGAAAAACCAAATTTAGGCAATCAAAGGTGGTGGATATGTGATGATTTTTTATGGCTTAATTGTTTGTGAATTGGATATCTGATCTTTGTATGATTGGAGGGGATGTTTGCTTAATAGAATAATCCATTTTAATTCATGTTTATTTTTAACATGAACTTTAGTAACTCAAAACCTTCGAGACACATATCACCTACTGCATTGTATCATTTTGCCTGGGTGCTTGCTGTGTTGTCAAACTTCTTTGTTGCTGCTGCTTTTACACTAACAGGGGAGGTAAGAACCCATGAATGTTTCCGTTTGACACAAACAGGAGGACTTGCTTCTAAATCGTGCACTAAAGATGATTGGAGGAAACATCTCTATTGGAGTTGATATACTTGAGACCAGAACAAAAGCAATGTATAACATCAAAACCAACCATCTGAACTATTAGCATTGTTGCTTTACTATTTTTTCGTGGTTGAGTCTCCTTCAAAAAATTTAGTTTGATTTTAGAAAATTTTGCTTCTGCAGTCCTGTCTTGCCACCAACGCGTTCAGTAGATGGAGATGGCAGAGGCGAAGGCTATTTTTGTGTTGTTGTTGCGGGTTTAGGGATCGGTTTGTGAAGAAGAGGGAGAAGAGAGGGGGAAAGGGAAATGCAGGAGAGGGGGGTAACTCTTTTCTCTGACAAAAATGGAGTGAAGAAAGGAATTATGATCAGTAAGGATATGGTTATCTTACATAACGGTCTCTATTCTGTTTGAATTGAGCTTGGGAGGCAGTGATAAGGACGAGCTGCAACCAATTCATAGTGAGAAGAGAGCTATGAACTGTGATCATGTCTTATTTCAAGTTAGAAGGTAGTTTCAGTATAAGGATTATTTAATTTGACAAGTTGTTTCGTCCATGATTCTTGGTAGTTTCAGTGCCATTCTAGCCATTGTTTAGTCTGTAATTTTTGAGAATTGATGTGCGAGTAATGACTTTCACTTAGCTTCAACTATTATGTGTGTATTTATTGACATGTGATAGAAATCTCTTTTCCTTTTCTTTGAATTCAGTTTCATACTCTAATTGTATCATTTGTACATAAGCAAATCATGCTCGAGATGACAACTCGCTGATAAGGCTGGTGCAAGGAACGGAGCCATCATTAGAATTCATACCGACAACGGGGAGGGATGCCCAGGACTAATTCAATGATGATTGATGATGGTATGATAAAAATTGCAGTCTGCATCAACACCAATTTCTAGGCCTAAGTAAAGTTATTCAACCCAGAACTCTGTTTAGCGCTAAAAATTTCCCTCACCCAACCTTGAACCTGTTTGACCCACTTATGAAGAGTCAAGATACATGAATATGACTAATCCTCTCCGTTCGTATTTTCTTATTGACTCTTTCTGACCCTTTAGGTTGGGGCGGGTCGGGAAGAATCGGATTAGTGGGTCGGTCCTAATCAAGTGGAATCCCAATCCCTTCACTCTCACTTGCTTTCTCTCCTATTCCACAAGTGGGTAACAAACAGTAATCCGACCAACGGGCCGGGTAATAGGCTAGTTTTATCTAAGGCAAGAATGCAAATCTTATCTTAAATCTTAATCTTAAAATATATTAAAGGGCTTTTAGATTTAAGCGACTGCCACGTACTCCTCCCTGTAATTTGAGACTATCCACGTCAGCCTATAATAAACCCGTTCCGCAGAGAAAACCGTTGTGTTCTTCCGCTGAACTATTCCGCCGCTTTCTCTCCTCCAAAATCCATAACCGCAATCACCTCCCGCCTGCCCTAGCCTAATCTATTACATGTTATTCCAATCAACTGCACCGCAACAGTGTGAATTCTGCTTTCGGCCACCGCAGGCGACCACCCCGCAGCCCGCTCTCATCTCCGCCGTCTTTTGGGCGCTCTTCTACCATATCTCATCGCTGCTCTCGACCTCTTTTGGTTAATTCCATAAGATTTTCTTATTGCAAATTTGCAATGTCTTTCGTTTGCTTTGATTTGGTGGTCATTGGATTATTTGTTGTTCTGCATAAAGGGCTGTATGTGCATCTTTGCAGGGACCTCCAGTGAGAAGGTAACAAGAACTACGAGGAAATTTTCTCCACATCAAAGATTCGTCCGCCATTGATTCGCAAAAGCACGCCAAATTTTGTACCATCCTTGCTATAGTGATATTATGTTCATTTTGTTATAGGCTTTGTATCTAATCAATTCGAACTAGAGGAGCAGCATATAAACAGATTCATGATAGCGGCTTTGGTCTACCATTGTCGCTTTTCTGACACACAAATGTCTTAGATCATTGTGCAGTTACGACGAATTACTCTAGCCCTTCAAGTTCGACTCCAACTCAAGCATCTTCTTCTTTGGCATCTACCGACAACTCCGAACTGTCATTTTACATAAGGTACCCTCAATTAGGTGATGCATTCCATGCATATATCATTGATTGTGACTCTAAAGTTGTTCAGTATGATAGTGCCTTTAGCATATAAACCCGATGTCATCACTTACAACTCCATCTTAAATGGGTCGTGTAAGATGGTAAACTAATGCATGTCCTGAGTTGCTTGAAAAAAAGGCAACGTTTGTGTTGTCGCCCTAATATTGCTAGATATGACACTATCATTGATGACCTCTATAAGGATGATTTGATTTCTAGAACTTTAGATATCTTTTCAGAGTTGACGGATAAGAAAATATAACCATATGCTTTCACCTACCATTGCTTGATTTGTGGCATGTGCATTTTGCTTAGGAGGCTTAAGCTTTAATAATGTTGACTAAGATGGTAGGAAGTAATATATACCGAATTTATTCACCTTTGTCACATTGCTTGATGATTTTAGCAAAGATGGAACGATTTTTGAGGCTAGAGCTATGATCAAAGTAATGATTTAAAGTAAAGTGTGTTGAAATATCATCGATAATCTTTTTCTTTTCTGACAAACCAAATTCGTATACCATTATAAAGGGTCATAAATTTTAGCTAGACTACTACGTACTATTTCCAAATTGGACTTATAAACCTAAAAGTTGGATATCATCAAATATAGCCAATTAGCCATAAATTAAAATAATAAAAATCAATGTCAAAATATAATAATAGAGCTAACTGCCCAACTGGCAGGGTTCAAGCTAGTAATTCTTAAAAGAAGGCTCGAGTTGAATTTCATTCTGCGGTTCAGATTAATTAGCCTACATAATATCTTTAAATTACATTGCGTTCTTCGTCCTTTTTCTTTCCCTTTCTCCCATTCGCATTGTTCACATACGTAAGATTACGAAAAGCCTTAGCTATGCAACTTCTGTCATATATATATATGCAATACTAGATGGTTAACTTCCCATATCACAATCCAACCATGTCTGAAACAATACTAAAACAACATACATCCGAAAGCTACAACACTTCAAACAACCAATGAATTAAGTAGGCGCAAAACCAACTCTTTTAGATAAAGAAAACACTTTGCAGTCAGTATCTTCCATCTTTTATTTTAGCTTTTACGTAGTCTTACAACCAGCATGTTGTGTAGCCTCTTGATCAAACCTTAGCTGAGTTATACCTGCAGACGTTCAAACATCATTGTCAAAACTCGCTGTATTTATTATAAAGACAACGCCAGGATGAGCAGGAGGGTCCAAATTCGACAGGGTTCCAACGTCAACAGAGCAGTGAGTCGGGACATTTACCTCAATAGAGGACGTGAAGGGGTCTGCGGCTCTTCTCCATTCAGTTGGATGCCGTCAGTTACCGGAGGAACACTTGTAGATCGAGAAAAGCAGTCCAGCGCCTTAAGACCCTGTGTATGTAATGGAAACGGAATGATCAACCCAAGAAACTGATGCCATAGCAAGAATGCAGGGCCAAATTGCAATTTCATATCAGTGTTTCACTTATAACTTTTCGTTCTTTGGTGACAGCAGCATGTTGAATGCAGTGTACCATGCACAAAATGAAACAGACAAGCAGAATCTCCTAATGCCTTCCCAGCTCGATTCTAGACATGGAGGCATTAGACAAAAGCACCTGACAGTCATTTCCATATACAGGCATTCAACATTGAAAACACTTCCTAATAACTATAATTTCCTTCACAAACCGAAACTACTAGAAGGAAGCAAGGGCCAGGGCATAATATAACCTACAGTGTCAAGTCACAAATTAACGTAATGATTGAGATTGATAGAAGTAAATCCCAGCTGCTTTAGGAACCCTCGTACTGATAAACAAGTTTAATGCATTAATAACTATAGAAGCATCCATAGGTTTTGGAAAATGCAACTTTCAGCGAACCACATACTTCGTTACATATCGAATTATAGCAGTGCATGAATAGAATACAGGCAGAAATAACAAAACCAACATCAGCACTAGCATAATTACCATGGGACCTGAAACATCATGGAATGTGATTGAACGAGTTCTACTTGGCAAAAACTCTTCCTGTAACAAATTCAATAAAGAAACAAAAACAAATCATTTTTGCTGCATAGTATCAATTTTTTTTACTATTTAAGTCATAAGGAAAATGCTAAAATTGTAAAGTAGGTCATCCATTCTTCTTGATGATTAACCAGCCGTTGCTAGAACTATATGAGGTGCATTTATCTGGACCTGTCCTAAGGATGATTCTTAAACTGCAACAGGGGAGAGTTATTTTTTTGCCATAATGGCTAAAGAGATCATGCTAACCTCCAGGGCCTCAGGCATTTTCACTTTCTTTCCCTGGACGAAGTTGCAGAGGTACTGAATACCAAGATTAGCTCGACTCTGTCACACAAAAACAACAAATCAGAACCCTGTGAGACTTGAACAAGGAAATACAAAACAAAAGATTTTTTTAAGGAGGAAGGGATGTCGCTCTTCTTAGAATCAACCAAATCTTATTAACCGCATACTACCAGATTCATTTATGAATCCAAAAAATGCACAATAGATTCTTTGTATCCGGAACCAAATTAGTAGTTCCGCATCTTACTAGAACAGATTAAATGTCTACAGGAAGTGCTTTTATCTATCTATCCGCTGATCAGAAAAAATACCTGTTTGCCCTCCAGTGAATCCAGCTTCTCATCCTGCAAAATGAAGGAAGTGATGTCTGAATCTTGAAACAACCATCACAGAATAAGGAACCGAAAGAGAAGGAAAATGACAATTAACTAGGAACACAGAGAGATTAGCAAATGACAGCAACAGTATGGATGACACAAACACCAGCGCAAAAACGAAATTAGGAAGTAAAACCTACCAACACGCTAACATAATTTATCAAATTCGCCATTCCAGAATCAAGCAACAGAATGTTGTCGTTGATAGCATTGACCTGCATCCAATAGTGGATGGCATTAAGACAAAATGACACCTTTAACACTTCATAGAGGTATTGAATCCATATTTCGACAAAGGCAGACATGTAATAGTATTATGTTCGCTTGAGTAAGAACCAAGGCAGGTAATCAGTTATTTTGTTTCGAGGAAGAGTTAAAAAAAAAATATATCGAGGAAGAGTTAAAAAAAAAATATATCGAGGAAGAGAAATCACGCACATCACTTTCAATTTTCCGAGACAGCTCATTCTGCTTATCCATCTTATCATCCAAACCCTGAATGCGCTGTGTTAAGTGTTCCTTTGCTTTCTGGGCCCAAAAGAACGCACAAATCATTGTTAGATGCTATAGAGGTAAGCAATAATGATTTCATAACAAGATAGCAACAGACTCCTAACGTCCCCAAATCATTGAGCTAATTCTGCAGTTTGTCTAGTCCAAGCAAAAACTTCACAGCAAGCTCAAATAAACAACCAATTAAATGATAACCTGATTAACTTACTAACTGACCAACTAACCAATTTACTAAATTGCGGGAGAGGAATAAAACAAACAAAAATCCAACACGTGAAACAACTTACAGCCAAAGCATCAGTTACGCCCTCCAGATGCTTTGTCAAGTTCGAAACAGCAGCTGTCATACTCTGCTTTGTCACATACATAAGATCTGAAAGTTTCCAACCCTAAAAAGCAAAGAGGAAACTTCAGTTGAAATTTTCACACTCCCTAGAAACAACAAGTAGACTATATTAGGGGATCAAAGCAATCCCAAGCAATTTAACTTACCTTCCACCATATATAACCATATCCTACTGCTCCCACTGTAGCTGCTGGAATAATATAACCAGTAAAATTACCTGCAATAACCACCAGACAGATAAAATTCCCAGCTAATCTAATTCATAACCGCATTTCACTACCCAGGTTTTGATTCATTAGATGTATATTCACACCAACGTGTACAAAGTTCAGCAACCTCATTGGATAGTGCTAAATGGAAAGTAGAGGCGATACCTGATTGACCAGTATTCAGAACCGTTATGTGCCGCGCCGAAGTGAGTTGTCGGACTTGTTGTGCCAATAGACGCACCTTCAAGTTTTTTCAAGAGCAAGAAAGGAGATCATATGAAACAATGCAAGCTACTTAACTCGCAACAGACAGAGACCCTAGAAACAGATTTTACGCACAAACAAAAGCCTGAATCCCCCCCTTTTTACCTGCTGCGAGAGCACATCCGCCTGACCTGTCTCGCCATCCGAATCCCCTTTCTCAATTCCCTTCACTAGAGCCTGACACAAACAAAAACGTAGCAGCCGTCACTTCTCTTCCAAAATCACCAAACAGAAACGCAAACAAGCAAAAAAATCTACCTCGCACACAGAATTTTTACAGTTTTAAGATTATGGATACTAGGTCCAGCAAAATCTACTAACTAAATTCGCGAGCAGATCGACAAAACAAAGGTAATTCGAAGATTACCTGAAGCTCACCGATCAGGTCTGATAATTTACCTTTCTGGATCAAAACCGTACCGAAATAACCTGGAAGCGAGACCAGCTAAGTCAGATACGAATCAGGGGAACAGAGAAGCGATGCTGTATCGAAAGATAAAAAAATGAGAAAGGAGCCAGAAACGGTGATCGAGCGGCGGCGGGAACTACCTGCTCCGGCGATTAGCAGGACCCGAGAACCCAGAGCAGCTTGCATAGCCATGATTGCGAGCTGAAAGAATCACACGAACTCGGAAACCTAGCTGGGATGGAGGGGAAAATAAATTTCCGTGGTTGCGAAGTCATAAAGGTTGAAAACAAAATAATATATATCAATTATTAATTCGTCTCGTGCTGGGCCAGTTACTGGGCCTGCTTAACCGACTCTGGTATTCAGGCCCAAAAGCGACCCATTTGATCAACGAATACCGCACCGCAAGGACGAATATGCCCCAGCTGGGATAGCTGCCCCGGATTATTGAATAGCAAACGACAAAACCTATCTTCCTTCCCTTCCCCGTAAATAATCCAACGGTCCAAAACGCAAATATGTGGAAGCAAGCTAGATCCGACGGTCCTGATTGGACCTCATGAAAGACCGCAGCAACAAAGAGAAATAGGGTTGTCCTTGGCTTCGTAAATTGTTATTAGCTGAAAAAACTCTCTAGAATACTCCACGCCGAGCTTCTCTGCGCCCTTCCCTACCCCAAACCTTTCCTCTCGCTCTCTCTCGCTCCGTCGTCCATTCCAGTCTCTCGTCGGGGAATCATGGGGAAAGGTCCCGGTCTCTACACCGATATCGGAAAGAAAGCCAGAGGTAGGGTTCCGATCGAATTCCTCTTTTTCTCTCACTCGCTGAAGTTTCTTCCGATTTCGTTTCTGGTCCGATCAGCGATTTGCGTTTGTGTTTGCCGAGAGCTAATCAACGGTTGTTTTGTTCTCCGTTTTGGCAGATCTTCTCTACCGGGATTACCAGGCGGACCACAAGTTCACCCTCACTACCTACACCGCCAATGGAGTCGTACGTTCCTCGCCTCGCCCCGCTTCGTTTTTTTTTTTCTTTCTTTCTGTTTTTAGGTTTTCTTCTGGTTTTGTGTTTACGGGGTGGAATGGGTGGATTGTGTTATCTGGTTTGCTCTTTCAAGGACGGTTTGGACCGTTCTTCCGACTATCAGCTGCGTGTGTGTAGTAGTTCTTCTTAGGGTCTGCGCTTCGTATTGATTCTTCATTGTTGGCTTAAAGTTGAAAAAGTCGATCAGCCACTGTGGTTCCTTTTGTTTCCGGTACTTTGCTGCTGGTGGTAGGTAACTTTTTGCTGTCCATTACAGGCAATCACCTCGACTGGTGTCAAGAAAGGTGAGCTGATCTTGGCCGATGTGACCACTCAGCTGAAGAACAAGAACATCACCACTGACGTCAAGGTGGACACAAGTTCTAACGTAAGTCAGGAAAGCAGGTGCAATGTAATTGGCATTATGGTCTTGGAAAGTTCATGTGTGAATATTAATGCATTTCTACCTTACTGTTCTAAACCTGGTTATGTTACTGGAAATTGCGTTTGGTTGTTGTTGCCAGCATATGTTCCTCATGCAGAATCACCGTGTTACACCTTGTCTTGCTCCACTCTACTCGAGTTTATATCATGGATATGTTTCTCGTGCATATTCACCTGGTTTTGTTGTTGGAAACTTGCGTTTGTTTGCTAATGGCATAGTGGTTTTATGTTTTTCATGTGGTGCACTGACGTTCCCATGATTGTACATTGAAATGCTCTTCTGGTTCGATTGATGAGTTGAACTATTCTTTCTTTCTGTCTCTGTAGCTTTTCACCACAGTCACTATTGATGAACCAGCTCCTGGACTGAAGACAATCTTTAGCTTTAAGGTCCCCGACCAGAGATCTGGCAAGGTAAAAGCTCCTCAATCCTTGTGGTCCAGTGTTCTCTAGTTGTCACTTTTCTGAATAGTTGCTGGCTAATGTGGAGAACAAATTTTTCCCAAAAAATTTTGATTGATCTGTTTTGATGAAGATCAAATGGTTAATGACTACGTATATGGAAGTCTTACTTGTGGCCTCTTGTATTGGTTGGCTTCGTTGTGGAGTACCTACTAATTAGTTCAATACCTTTGGTCATTTTCTGTTGGTTGATATCAGGTGGAACTCCAGTACCAACATGAGTACACTGGGATTAGCACTAGCATTGGTATGACTGCAAGTCCGCTTGTTAACTTCTCTGGCGTAGTTGGCAACAATATGTTGGCTCTTGGGACTGACCTCTGCTTTGACACTGCCTCTGGGAACTTCACCAAATTGAATGCTGGTTTGAGCTACACCAATGCTGACTTGGTTGCTGCTGTTACCTTGTAAGCCCCTATGCCTGCTAGTTTCATGGTCGTTGATTTCATCATCTGAAGTTGAGCACTTGTTATATTGTGTGAAAGGGCTCATGTTGTCCGTTTTCTAATAGAAATCATTTATGTTGTGTTTGTCATATGGTTTTTTTTTTTTTTTTTGTGGTTCATGTTCAATGAATTAGTGGACTTGTGTGAATGGTTGCAGGAATGACAAGGGAGATACACTCACGGCCTCCTATTACCACACCGTGAGCCCGTTGACTAGCACTGCTGTTGGTGCTGAGCTGACTCACAGCTTCTCCAGCAACGAGAACACTTTGACAATCGGCACTCAGCACGCCCTCGACCCTTTGACCACTGTCAAGGGCAGAGTGAACAACTATGGGAAAGCGAGCGCACTCATCCAGCACGCGTGGCGCCCGAAGTCTCTCTTCACCATATCTGGGGAGGTGGACACGAGGGCAATTGAGAAGAGTGCCAAGATTGGACTTGCAGTTGCCCTGAAGCCCTGAACATGGAGGTTCAACTTCTTGTCTGTGTTGGTGGCCTTGCTTTGTTAGGATTGAGAGCAGCAATAACTTGAACAGATATGATGGAGAGAAGATTATATCCCTTTTTCCAAATGGATCATGTTTATTTGTGTTGGGTTTTTTTCCCCCCTCCTTTCACACATTTTGGCGGATTATGGGTACTGTAGAAAATAATCCTTTAGTTGGTGTCAGGAACCATCATTGGTTTTCTTGGTTGCGAGTTTTGTGCATCAACCCTTTATGCAAAGGGAAGTAAAGTTTAGAAAGAAATGCTCTTCTTCACCAGCACGGTACTTTGGAAATTTTTTGGATGGAAATTGGTAAAGCTGAACCCTCCGTTTCATTCAGTTCATTTCCATATGATGTGAAGAGCCATTCCTCTTATGGAAATGATAGATTTACTATACAGTCAGATTTAAGTGATATGAAACTATTGAATCATGGTTGAATCCCACGAAATAGCGATCCTTCCTCAACAACCGAAGCACATCATTGTTCTTGTTTATCATTGAACTTAGCCTCGGATTCAGGGCCGCCTCGTCCTTTTCGGGCTTCTGGCCCAAGTACTTCTGCACCATGTTTGCTTTTGTGAAGGAGGAGGTGGTATACAAAGACTGAAGGGTTAATGCCGCATTTGGTCACTGAGATTACTAAATTGTGTCATGTTTAGTCATCAGAATAATTTAATATCAATTTTGGTCACTCGAATTACTAAAACCGGTCACATTTAGTCACTCCTAATGGGAGAAGTAGGGCTGTTAATGAGCCGAGTCGAGCCGAGCTTTGCCATATTTCGGGCTCGGCTCGTTAATATATTTTCAGGCTCGAGCTCGGCTCGTGTTCGTCACGAGCTTTAATATGCAAGCTCGAGCTCGGCTCGTTTATGAAAATGAAAGCTCGAGCTCGGCTCGTCAAATAAGCTTAACGAGCCCAAAATCAAGTTCAGCTCATAAAATGTTCATGATAGCTCAAGATTGGCCTAGAACTACGCATAAAATTACATTTAAATCTGTAGCAAAGTAAAACACAATATTTATCCCAATTTCAATACATAAAATCCATGAATTTCAATTCTTTTTTTATGCCAAACCATTAAATGAGCTTGTTCGCGAGCTTTCGAGCTGAACATGGTATGGCTCGAGTTCGGCTCGTTTAGTTAACGAGCTTGTTCGCGAGCCGGCTCGATTAAAACGAATCGAGTATAAAACGAGTTTTTCTCGAATCGCACACCGAGCCGTTCATGAGCGGCTTGGTTCATTAACAGCCCTATGGGAGAGTGACTAAATGTGACATGTTTCAGTGATTCAAGTGACTAAATGTGACATGTTTCAATAATTCGAGTGACCGAATTTGGACAGAGGCTATAGGAGAGTGACCAAATGTGACCTGTTTCAGTAATTCAAGTGACCAAAATTGATATTAAATATTTCTAGTGACTAAACATGACACGATTTAGTAATCTCAGTGACCAAATGTGGCATTTAGCCAAAGACTGAAATATACTAATGGTTGGTTGTTCAAAGTTTTTATATTGGTAAAACAAAAGCTCGACACTTGGCATTCTATATGGAAACTTGCACAATCAAATAATCGAGAGCAGGTCCCAGCTCCGGAGTTCCGCCCGACTCTCCAACCGAAATGACAGCGATCGGCGACGGGAGACCCTGGTTTTCCTCTTGAAAGAAAGTCCATATTCAAAACCCCAATATCTGTTTCCCAGTATTTCATCCAAAAGCGGCCATGAAAGCTGGCTTGAAAATGTTCTCCCTATCCGGATCATCCACCTTTAATGTCACCTCCTTTTCTTCTGCTACCTCGACTTTCCCTTCTATTCAATCGCTAAGTTCTTCTTTTTCCCCAATATCTCCCCTGACTGCCGATTCCTTGAGAATTCGACCTGCATCGTCTATTGGGTTCCCGATTTTCAGCGGAGGAAGGCGAAGCCTCTGCAGCGTTTCTGCTTCCATGTCGGGAAATGGGTCGCCGTCTTCATCTTCCCAGGTTTGGCCAGTCGTTCTCCTTATGATCTGATACCGTTGTGAATGAATAGACCGCTCACTCTGTCCAGTGTGTTTGGATGTCGATATGGCAGGAGGGATCAGACTCGTTTTTCAGGAGTGTTCTGGAAAACGTGGAATCGGTTTACTTGAGCAGGAACCCCACAGCCAAATCCATCTTGGAGCTTGTTCAGTCGGCTGATGGCGGTGAACGAATCTGTTATGATCACCTTGCTTTCAGAACATTTGGGGTATGTTTTGCTATTTCAATCAAGTCGTGCGGTTTGTAGTTTATTAATGGAAAATGGGTGTTGAAAATAATTCCAGGTGGATGGTCATGGGATTGATTCCATGGCTAGTTTCTTCCTAGATTATGGATACAAGCAAATGGAAGAACTCACATTCCCTGCCAAGAAACTCAAAGCACTGTGGTTTTCACCACCTCCCAGTGTTTCAGCTGCTAATGGTGGCAGCCGTATCCACGGGCCGTTGCCAAGGGTCTTCATATCGGAGTTACTTGTTGATCAAATGAGTCCACAAGCTCAGGTGGGAATTCCATCAAAACCATTGTACACAAGTCTCTATGTGAATTCTCTGGTTTGCTTTCTGGAAAATTGATTGCTTGCTAGCTGTCTCTCTATTAGAGAGGATTAAAGGAATGTCAGTTTAGACTTTAGAACATGGGAGTGTTAGTTTAGTACTTACCTTGTATCTTGACTCATCATCCCTTATGTCTATTTCTTAGGAAAGCGCATCATTGACAGAACATACTCACTCACCTGGCATGATTTGTTGGATGGTGTTTGAACTGTATTTCTTTCTTTCAGGAAATAATTAGAAAGTATGTCGAAATCTCGAGCAGCGGATACAAGTATGCAGCTCTTGCAAGTGCTCTTGGAACTTTGACATGGAAGAAGCCTATGCATTCTGAGTTTCAGCAGTTGGCAAGGTAGTTAAATTCCTATTGCCAGTTTTAACTAGCATTAGGTTTTATGGTGTAAAGAGCCTTGGTTTTGAATGTGTAGGGAGAGCGAGTATGCTGCATGGACCCTTGTCAATGGGTATGCCCTGAATCATGTCACCATCTCCACTCATCGGTTGAAATCTAACTTGAGGCAGATCAACAGTCTCAATCGGTTCATTGAAGAGAACGGCTTCAAATTGAACTCTGAGGGTGGTCTCCTGAAAGGTAGGATTATTAGCTAACATTGTGGCGGTTCTCTCTTGTATAGAATGCTGGATGTCACTGTCAACCATCTTCACTGTTCATCAAAGACAAGACCGACTGATAAAGGGCCATACTTCTGTTTTTTGTTCCGTCCAGTGAGCCCTGATGGTCTTCTGCTGCAGAGCTCCACTGTTGCAGATTCAATGCCTTTCCGATTTTCTGATGGTGCTGTTGAACCAGTCCCTTGTTCCTACATTGAGTTCGCAGAACGCCTTGTCTTGCCGCAGTACAAGAATCTTCCAAATGATGAGGTAATGAATGTGAACCCATTTTGTTCCAGTTATCCACAACAAATCCTGAAGATCTTCACATGTTTCTCTTAGATCTGTTTTAAGTGTATCTTCAAGATTAGCATTGCCTAAAAGTCGTACTGCTGGTAATTCAACAGGTTAAGGAGTTTCACAGGCGAGACGGGTTTGAGGTTGGAAATGCTGATAAGATCTTTGAAAGCACATCTCAAGGGCAAGTAACAAGAGCTGCATGAGAAACAGTTCCAACTGCAAATATAAAAGGATTTGGTCCTCCAACTGGTTATTATGGCCCTGAAGCATCTGAAGGCTGCTTTACCTTCTCTTGATAATTGCCTAGAATAAATGGTTTTAGCCTCTCATTGTGAAAATGCCTCCAATGTAATACAGTAATCACAGTTGTCGGACAGACTTCGTGTATCCTAGTAGTTGAAAGATGGTAGCTGGAAACAATGCCAGAGCAACAATAAACTTACTCCAAATCCAGAAACCAGTTTGACGTAACTGTTAATCAAATGTGAATTATTGAGGTGTGAAAATGATGGTTAGATGGGTTGTGATAATATCTTTGCATTCCAAACAGAGTAGCACAACTACAAACTTTCTGAATGCATTTTGTTTCAACAAGCTTCCACATGACCTACAACATTGTCCACCTGCTGGGAGATACCATCACTCTAAAACACGAAAGTTGCCTTCTTTCCATATTTCAGTTGTTCAAGAACAAATGATTTCACGGGGAGATACATCTCTACGGAGAAGGAAGCGGGAAAGACAAACAAGATGGAGATAACTACTACCGAACTCTGATCTAGTGTTTGCCATTGGGTTTAGGGGACTGATGATGATGAGGATGTTGATGATGGTAAGGAGAAGCATGTGATCCATTAGGTATCGAAAGACTTCTCGGTTGATGCCCATTTCGAGACAATAGTCCTGGCTGTGTTGTCCGCATGCCATTTTTGGAATTAGGACTCCCTGCTGCCATTCTCTCAGCTTGCATTGTCTGGAAGTAATACGATGAGCTTGCCATGTCTTTTAGATTCGGCAGAGGCTTCAGAACCTCCACAACTTCACTCATCAGTGGCCTAGCTTTTGGATCACGGCTTAGGCAGTGAGCAGCTAGCTGGGCAGCTTTCTGGGCACCCTTTATGGAGAAATGGCCTTCTAACCGAGGGTCTATCAGTCGATAAAACCTCCTCCTCTCTCCAAGATGTGGCCTCGCCCATTCTACCAGATTATGCTCTCCATTTGGCCGATTCTTGTCCATCGATCTTCTGCCAGTAATCATTTCAAGCAACACCACTCCGAAGCTGTAGACATCGCTTCTTGATGTCAGATGTCCTGGCAACATAGAAAAGCAGCAAAAGAATTTTCATAAAATCTAAAGATATTCCCCCTTGAGTAGCAACATGCGATCATGATACAACTATAGTCGTACCAGAAAATAAAAAACATTTCCATAAAACTTCAGTTAATTTCAGATCCTCTAAATATGAATTGCAGAAGATCATATAGGGTATACCTTTCTCACGTAATCACAAAAATGATAGCATAAGAGCACTGACCTGTCATTACATACTCAGGTGCAGCATAACCATAAGTCCCCATGACACGAGTTGACACATGAGTCTTGTCTCCTTCAGGACCATCTTTCGCTAGTCCAAAGTCAGAGAGTTTTGCATTATAGTCCTGTAATACACACACAGATCATAATTAAATCCAAATATAGGAAGAAAAAGGATTCCAACAGACACTACTACCTACCGCATCCAAAAGGATATTTGAAGTTTTGAAGTCGCGATAAATAACTGGTCTTTCTGCTTCTTCGTGAAGAAATGCAAGGCCCTTTGCAGCACCAAGCGCAATTTTCATCCTTATGGACCACGGAAGAGGCAAAGACCCTGGGAACAATGCACTTCTATTAGAGGGAAATAACCAAAGGATCATGATAACAATAGCAACTTTGTAAGTGGTGGTAAATATATGTGGTATAACCAAAACAGTTTCAGTTTGATCTAAAAAAGGCTACAACCAGATGGATAATAAACAAAACTAGTTTGATTCGTTAAAATTTCCTCGTCAAGGAAAATATACAGCTAACCCATATGGAATAGCAGTACAGTTAAATTAAGACCAGATTACCAAAGTGGCACATCTACCATAGGTTAGCAAAATTTGAAGTACATCTGATAGACAAACATATGAACCACTCAATGCACATACCCAATTTGGCAGAGTGGAAAGTTAGGGTTGGTGAGGCATAATCATATAACATTCAATATTCTGTTCAATGGTAGAGATTCCTGACTTATTTTCTGAAGAACTCCGAAATTATAACATGATGTCCTAAGGTCATGAAGTGCAGGAAGAAAGACAAAAGATCTAACATACTTCTAAATAAGTGATTCTCCAAGCTTCCTCGCGGCATGAACTCATAAACCAAAAGCCTTTGATCATCTTCAATGCAATAACCAATAAGCTTAACCAAGTTGGGATGTACAAGATCACCTAGATAATTCACTTCAGCCTGCCACATTCACAGAAATTGAGATCAAAGCCAAGACATTGAAGCAAAGTAGTTCAATTGTTGAAAAGAAACTGACAAGAGAAAAGGATGAAAAGAAACTGCACAATCATAACATGATGCAGATAATAGATTAGACCCACTCCATACCAGCCATTCTTTGTGACCCTGAAGTCCATCATGATTAAGGGTCTTAACAGCAACAGTAAGCCCTGTGCCAGGTTTCACCGGAGCAGTTCCATTCTCTTCAATCCAACCTTTAAACACACAACCAAAGCCGCCCTCACCAAGAAGGCTCTCAGGTCTGAAATTCCTTGTTGCTAACTTCAGATCATTGAAAGTGAACTTTCGCAACCGAGAAGCAACTTTAAGCTCCTCCTCTAGTTTGGAAGTAGATGAATGGCTTTCGGTATTACTTGTTGTTGTAGATGGGACGATGGGAGCAGTCGGCTGGTCTTTGCTAGTGTCAATTGTAGATTTACTTTCAGCTGAACCACAAATGAGTTGTCCATGTTATTCTCACAGCAACCGAAAACAAACAGGCAGGCTAGAACAATGACTGATTAACTCGAGCAGAAAGACAAACAAAAAACAAAAAAGAGTAATTCAAAGACATTCCTCTTTTCAAACAATTATTTTCACTTGAATTGCATACACATACTACGGCAAGCGTCATCCTTTGCTTTTCACTATTAGGCACGTAATCAAGCTCTATTGAAGACCATGTCCTTAACCATATTCATAACCAAGGCTCTAAAATCAGTACTGACAAACATAGCTCGAACCAAATTCCAATCAAATCAATGTACAAAATCGAACAATTAAACAACCACATTGAAGATACGAAAGCGGTAAAACTGAATACACTTAAAAATCAACAAAAACTCGACTGGAGGGAAGAGAAGGATTTACCATAACTAGTGCTGTGCCCACTAACAGAACTATCGATCTTGGATCTTGAAGAAATGCAGCTGCCTAGAAGCCTCCATTGCAGCCAGCAACCTGGGTCCGACTCTTGAATACAGTCCTCAGCGAAGCCAGAGACGCCACCACTGTCCTTCCTGTGCTTCTTTTTCTTCTTCTTCTCTTTCTTCTTCTTTCCTTTAGATTGAAACTCGAGACGAGATGGAGACTTCAAATTACCATTCTCGCCGCTTAATACCATCTTGGAGGAAGAACCCTAAAAGCCTAAACCCACTTCTCATCCAAGCACCGACAAAATCCCCAAACCATTTAACCAAAAAACTTCTTCAAAACCCAGAATCGCACCACTTGACAAGGGCAGAAAACTGGAGCGCTATAAAACCCAGAAAAAAAAAAAACAAACACACAAGAAAGCGCTCAACTTTTGCAATTCCTCATCAAAACCTACGAGGACCCAGTTGAGGAAACGAGGCGGAGATCACATGAAACGGATCAAACCACAAAACAAAACATTATTGGAGAAAGAGACAAGGAACAAAAGAACAAAGGCGCCGGGTGTAGCGAAGATTTTTGTTTTCTGGGTTTTGGCTGTGGCTTCACTCAGTTGTTCCTCGTCCCTGCTCAACGAGCAACAAGAAGAGCAGCACAAAATCTCAGTTCAGAACAGCAAATGTCTGTCTCAAAGATAACAAAATCACCCAAAAACAGTCCTCGAACGCACACAAAGGCAAAGCACACCAGCTCAAAAGCGTAAAATATTATAAACGAAAAACAAAAGACAAAAAAAAAAAAAAAAAAAACTCTACAATATTAAAAGGATCGAAAATGTAAAATGGAAAAAAAGAAGGAAAAAGCAGTAGTGAAAAACAAAAGGAGTATTTCACAATAATAATGGTTGGTTAGTATAATACTTTAGACAAATTTCATATAGACAAATCATTGGAGAAAAAAAATGATAATGGGTGCGGTTTTGATTTAACTGAACTAAATAATCGTTAATTGACTACTGGATCCAACCAGGATTATTGATTAGCTGAAACGAATAATCATTAATTTTTGTGCGGTTAATTGGCAAACCGTTAACCCGGAAAAAATGAATAGAAGGACAGGGGACACATGTTTCTCTTTCCCAAATCATACCCCACTATTCATCCCACCCCTTTATCTCTAAATTAGGAGTAGTAAACAATTTTGCAATTAACGGTATAATCGATAACCGAACCAGTACCGCCAATTGTACCGTTAACTGGCATAACCGGTATATGATCGCCAAAGTTCAGCTATTAGTATACTGATTTATACCTAGTTAGTAATCGGGGGTTACTCGTTATACCGAATAATCGAGTACCAGCCCTCCCTTCTTCTTATTATGTCTAATCGCCGCCCACCTTCACTTCCTCTCGATCTCCCCAACCCTCATCTCTTTAATCGTTGCCCACCTCCACTCTTTCTTGATCTCCCCAACCCACCTATCTCTCTAATCGTCGCCCAACAGATCTTCTTCCCCTACATATATTTCTCGCATGCATGTCCTATAGCATCGAGGAAGCACTTCTTCGTGGTGGACGTTGTCCTCTGCGAGCGGAGAGAACTCACTACGAATGAACGTCTCGATCCGCCCACCGTCGTCGCCACCATGGAGAGGCTCCCCGAGAGATTCACTGAATTAGATTTGGGTCTCAAGATTATGTCAGCGTCGGCGAGAAATCTCTCCCAAATTGCCACTTATGGTACCGTCGTCGGCGTCCTTCGCCGATCCTCTATGCACCATTTCCATTCTTTTCATCTATTTTACTCTTTATCGTTTTCATCTGCAAACCAGAACCATTAATGCATACCCACCAGTCTCCTTCTCCCTTGGGTCCCTACTACTCGAAAAATGACTAACAGGAAACAAAAGTCTTTAAGTGGACGAATGGAAAGCAGCCAAGTGGCAGTGCTCTATAATCAATTCGTCCTTTACTTTCCGCTGAGTATATAAACAAACAAGGTGATCTCAGAGAAGCTCAAGATCAACCCTTCCAAAAATCCTTGCAAGTTTTCTCTTATGGTATCAGAGCGGTCGTTCTAAAGGGATATCGCAATGTCAGTCACGCCATCACCCACTACAGCGCCAAACTCCGGCAGCGGAGCACGAGTCACAGATCCACAAAATATGCAGTTTGGATCGTTTGGAGCTGAAGGAAATGCGAGCCAAACAAGCAACGCAAAGGTCATTATGTTTAGTAATCCTCTCTACCTGAACCCAAACGAGAATATGAGTTTACCTATTGTTTCTGAGTTGATGGATGGGAATAACTATAGCATGTGGAGTAGATCTGTGATGAATGTTCTGAAAACGAAACACAAAATGGGTTTTGTGGATGGGTCTCTACCCAGACTAGCAATTACAGATCCACAATTTCATTTGTGGGATGGATGCAACACAATTGTGCATACCTGGATCTTAAACTCGCTAAACAAAGACATCAGGCATTCTGTTATAAGGCATGATAATGCTAAGGTTTTATGGGATGAACTGAAACGAAGGTTTGGACAACTGAATGCAAATAGGCTGATTAATTTGGAAGATGAAATTCACAAGTGCAAACGGGGCACACTTAGCATCACCCAGTACTACACTCAGATCAAGGGTTTATGGGATGGGTATATAGAGTACAACCCAATTGTAGCATGTAATTGTCTTTCAGGAAATACCAATCCCTGCACAACAGTAGATGCCTTTGAAAGGAATCATGAAACAAATTATCTAATTCGTTTCCTCAGGTGCTTGAACCCAGATTTTGAGATCATTAAGAAACAATTGTTGATGCTGAAACCACTGGCAACAGTCACTATAGCAGCAGATGATCTGTTGCAGTATTAGCAAGAACTGAAAGCACTTGGTAGAGCCAAGAAGGGACAATCAGTTGCATTGGTAGTTGGAGGAGAAGGAACACGAGACAATGAGATGGGAGACCAGGTTCAAGGGAAGAAGTTCTACAGGTTTTGTAAGCATACCAATCATTATATAGAAGAATGTTGGAGATTGAAGAAGAAGAAAGAGGCTGCTTAAAAGGATGAAAATACACAGCCTGAAAATCAAAGGTTTGTTGGTTTAGTTTCTTAGGGAAGTTCAAGTGGTAGTGAGAACCAAACTGAAGCCAGCTGTAGCAGTGATGCTAGCAATGTAAGTCGAACTACACTTGGTTTTACACATGAGGAAATGACAAGGTTGAGGTATATGTTGCAGGCTCGTACTACCTTATCCCTTCCTCTGCCAAATTCTTCACCTTCACCTCCTAATTCTTCTTCCATTCGACACCAAGCTTTCTCTATGTTAGTATTTACCACCCTTTCCCAACTTTGAAGGTAAATATATTCTTTCTTCTTTATTAAACATAGACAGTAACCACTTAGTCAATTTCTGGATCCTAAATACAGGTGCCTCAGATCATATAGCTTGTTCTATGGATTTATTCATTGATTATAAGTGAGTTCACAATACATTTGTGCATCTACCAAACACCGCCAAGGTTCCAGTATCACACATAGGGACTGCCATACTTCCAACAGGGTTGCATTTATACTATGTGCTCCTGGTTCCTAGTTTTTCTTTTAATCTAGTTCCATTCAGTAGGCTCACACATGATTTACCCCCTAGCCTTACACTTCCATCCTGATCTTTGTCAAATCCAGGACCTGTTAAAAAAGACGATGATTGGTTTAGCAAGAGAATCTAGAGGACTCTATCAACTCAGTTTTGCCAACCCTTCTTCCACACATCCAGTCTGTTTCCCTCAAGCTTCCGGTGTCTACAACTTTCATCATCACCAAGTTGGTCTATGGCATTAAAGACTAGGACATCCCAGTAGTGATAGGCAAACTTTATTGCATAATCTAGATTCTTCTGTTTACATTTCTAAGCCAGAACATTGTAATGTCTTTCATTTTTCCAAACACAAGAGACAACCATTTCCTGTTAGTACCAGTCATGCAACAAAACCTTTTCAGTTAATTCATATTGACATATGAGGCTTTTTTCTGTTGTTTCCTATGATGGTTATGTATATTTCTTAACTATTGATGATGATTGCACTCAAGTAGTATGGGTTAATCTGATGAAACACAAGAGTGAGGTCAAGGATTTGTTCAAAGGTTTCTGTCAATTGGTCAAGAACCAGTTTGGAACCATAGTAAAGATTGTAAGAAGTGATCAAGGTAGGGAGTTTGATATGTGTGATTATTACATGGCATAAGGTATAGATCATCATATGTCCTGTGTTTATACCCCAAAGTTGAATGCTAGGGTAGAGAGAAAGCATCATCACATTTAAATGTAGCTAGATCACTTAGGTTTCAATCTGGCACACCAATGTATTAGAGTGACTGCATCCTTCATGTAGTTTACCTTATTATCAGACTTCCCACACCAGTCTTGCACAACATTTCACCCTATGAGGCTCTTTACAAAAAAGCTTCATTCTTAGGCCATCTAAGGGTGTTTGGTTGTTTGGTGTATGCAAGTACCATAGCAGCTGGGAGATCCAAATTTGATGCCAGGGCTAGACAATGTGTCTTACTTGGTATTCTTGCATGACTTAAAGGATATAAACTACTTGACCTTCAAAAAAATCATGTTTTTATATCCAAGGATGTAGTGTTTCATGAGTCTATTCTCCCTTTCCGACATGATTCATACTCCTCCTGTTCTCTAACCGAGTCTTCTCCTCCTTCTGATACCACCCCTTCAACTTCTCAGCCTAGTTCTACTGCTCCCGGTTTGTTGATGCTTTCATCCTCTCCTAATCCACCTCCTGTATCACCCTCTGCTGATGGGGGCCAACCTATCCCTATTACAGATGCAGCTGAGAATGATGAGGATGCTGAAACAGTGCACCTGACCCACCTAATAACCCTAAGGACTTTGAGATGGAAGCAGAATTAGAACCACAGTAGGATTATGAACCTCCAATGAGACCACAAAGGACTCATAAGCTGTCTGCTATGTTTGACAACTATGAACTGGATCTTGATCTAAGTTTTGGGGCTTTTGACTCATGTGTTGCAATATCTAAGTATCCCATCTATCTTGACTTAGATCACTTAAACTCTTATGAAAAGGCCTTTTCCTTGAGTGCCATCTCTCAAATTGAACCAGCTACATATTATGAGGCAATGTAGTCAGATGTGTGGAACATGGTTGTGCAGGAAGAACTTGGAGCCTTAGAGCATAACCAAACATGGGACATAGTGAAGTTGCCAGATGGAAAGAAAGTCATTGGATATAAGTGGATGTTCAAAATCAAAAGGAAGGCTGATGGTTCCATAGAGAGATTTAAGGCTAGACTGGTGGCAAAAGGATACACTCAAGTCTATGGATTGATTTCCTAGACACTTTTTCACCAATAGCTAAAATCAACTCAGTAAAAGCACTCTTAGTAGTGGCATAAAAAATTGGACACTGGAACAACTGGATGTTTCAAATACATTTCTCCATGGAGATTTAGAGGAAGAGGTGTATATGAAGATACCTTTGGAACTTGATCTGTAGGGTGTAAATCCAAAGGGAATGGCTTGCAGGCTCAAGAAATCATTATATGGCCTCAAACAAGCATCAAGACAATGGTTTGCAAGACTAACTGGATTCCTATTGAAGAATGGATTTGCTCAATCAGCTTCAGATTACTCACTCTTTACTAAATGGGTGCATGGCAGGATTGTTGTGTTATTGGTGTATGTAGATGACAATGACATCCTCATAGGTGGAGATGCACCAAAAGACATAGAGCAAATCAAGAAGGCATTGAGTAAAAAGTTTAAAATAAAGCTGCTATGACCTCTACAATACTTTTTGGGTGTGCAAGTAAACACGACTGCAGATGGAATTAGTGTTTGTCAAAGAAAGTACGTCTTGGAGTTACTGAAGGAAACTGGATACTTGGATGCAAAGGGGTGTATTACATCATCAGACCCTAAGGTAAAACTAGCAGCAAACCAAGGGACCCCTCTAGAAGATGCTGAAGTGTATAGAAGACTGATTGGCAGGTTGCACTATGTAACAATCACAAGGCCTGATCTGACATATATTGTTCAACAATTGTGTCAATTTCAAAAACAACCATGTAGTGCTTATTTGCAAGCAGCTTAAAGGGTGTTAGGTACTTGAAGAATAGCCTTGGCCAAGGCATACATTTCAGCAGTAATGCCGACTTGAAGTTAGTGGGGTTCACGTAATCAGACTGGGCTAGCTATCCAGACACAAGGAGGTTGACAACAGGCTATTGTACTTTCCTAGGTAGCTCTTTATTGACTTGGACGAGTAAGAAGCAGACCATAGTGTCCAGATCTTCATCAGAAGCTGAGTATAGGGCTTTGTCTCTTCTGGTTTGTGAAGTTGAGTGGCTTAAGGGATTACTAGCAGAATTAAGTGTGAAAGTTCCCCTACCTATCTCAATCTATTGTGACAACAGGTCATCAATACATATACTAGAGAATCCAGTGTTCCATGAAAGAGCAAAGCATATAGAGATTGATATGCATGTGACTAGAGAAATGATTAAAACTTGATTGATCAAGCTTCACCATGTGACTACTTTCAACAAATTGGCAGACCTGTTCACAAAAGGATTGGATAGAGCACGAATGCAAGCTTTACTGGTCAAGTTAGGAGTTAGAGTGACTGCCACAACTTGATGGAGGCTGATAGAATAGAAATCCAGATTGTAGAAGGATTGGAGAAGGAAAGGTTCGAAGAAAATGAAGCTGGACAAAACGTGCAGAGAGGAAGAAACGTTTTCATTCATTGTTGGAATTGTTGGAGTCGTTTTTAGTACTACTACGTCATTTTAGTAATAGTGGTATGTAATAGCAGTTAGCCGTTTTAAACACTATTTAGTCTTTAAATGGACGAATGGAAAGCAAGCAGGTGGCAATGCTCTGTAATCTGATACGAGCACAGGTGGTTCTTGTTTGAGATCAAAGTACGCAGCACGCAATCCACTCAACGAATGGATTGAATTTGAACAAAAACTTAAAACAAAACGGTCCAAAAGTGCAACTTCTCACTTGAGAAGAGGCTCGATTGGTTTTAGTCGAAGCTCGGCCACGATTGAGGTGGTTTCAATTGGTACGAAGAAATCCTCGTTGCTGGAACGCCAACACACAAAAGGATTTGGTGACAAAGGTCACGTTTTCATTCAACTCACTCTACCATTACAATGACTCAATCTTCGACTTAAATAGACCTAAGATGTCTAGCACACCTCAAAGACTCCTAATTAGATTTAAAACTCAAGAGGAACTCAAACAAACAAAGAAAAAGAATTAAAACACAAAACAGACTCGTAATCCTAATCCTATAAGGATTCAGATTTGCTTGACTCCAAAGACAGAAATTAAATGGCAGCTTCGATATGATCTTTGGACCTTTCGTTCGAGCTCTTCCAAACTTCATTCCAATCATCCAATGCCTCATCGTTGTAGTAGAAGATGCATACTTTCATGTGGTATCAGCCTTGAACTTGACTCATGCTCAAACTCGTCGAATCAAAGCTCAAAGTAGCCTCCCCGAACTCGATTCCAGACTTAGCCAAATTCTGGCAATTTTCAGGTTTCCAGATAACAACTTTGAACGTCTAGAA